TAATACTTCAACTTGCAAGGACAAAATTGTTCGGCCGCCAGATCGCGTATTTTGAATACAAAAAGAAATTGGAACGTTTACGGCCTTCAAGTATTATTAAAGATACTTGAAGTATAAAAACTAGATTTCGGAACGTTTCTTGTTTATTTGCCAAAATCTACAATAGAAATAATAAACAAAAAATCAGCTACGTTTACTCCTGGTGATATTATAACACTTAAAAGTATCCTCCATAATCAAAATGGTGACGTTTTAACTGATGGTGGAGATTTTATTAATATTTGGATGACTGAGAAAGGTGCAGGATCAGTGGGATATGTTATAGATCATGGTAATGGTACGTATATTGCAGCGATAAAGGCATTGTGGACCGGATCACCGCACATCAAAATTGCATTGTCATTTCCTAAAGAATATCTGATTATTTGTAAACTACATATACAAGGATGGAATGTTGCGGACTTTAAAACGAGTTTTTAAGAATGCTCGTGGAGAAACTGATAAAGGTATCTGTGGGATTCACACACTGATAAGACACGGTATCTCTGACTTTACATCAATTAATTATGGAATGCGATGGTTTTGTTAATTACCAGATGCACCCGGTTTACTTGTAGCGGCTGGTATTCACCAATAGGAGATCTGACCATATCGACACTAACAAAGACACAGAAGCACTTCTTAAGTTTTACCAGTAATGAAATCATAAAAGAAATTAAAGTTGATGTACATGGTGATAAAACCATATATCCTGCAAAGAACTTGTGCAGAGAAATTAATCATTCAGTCACCTGGAACAGTTCATCTCCGAGGGGATATTTTTATAACAGAACATGGTATAATCTCTTATGCCAAAACATAGTTGAACAAAGTAACAATAGGTATATATCTTATCTTAAAAACAGGGAGATTCTACACTGCGACAATGGTTTGTGCGAATGGTTGAGATTTTAAATCTTGCGCTCACGGTTGGGCGGACTTCTAAGCTTTACGAGGTTATCATAACCCAATCAAAACTCTCAGTAAAAGTAAGACACATAACATTACTGTTACTTGGGCTGCGCACGAGTTCCCATTTTTCACTTATAAACCTAATGTGACGTGACATGATTTTAAATCTGCAAGATATCGCCTCAAGGCCATACGTTCTAAGAATCCGATCGTAGTCCTGCATTGGTATGTACGTGTAGATTTTGCTCCATTATCATTCTATGAAGAAAATGTAAGGAACGCTAAAGATGCTTACATGTTCTTCATACCCCTTATATATGTTTTACGTCATGTCACGTGAAAAAACATATAAATTAGTTGTACTTGAGGTACATGTATACAATAAAGTGTATATGATATGGCGTTTTCAATATCACACTTTGTATCAACCCTCAACCAATATAATCCCTCGAGCAGAGCTCTTGTTATAAACGTGAGGGTACCCAAATTGCACCTATTTTGACAGTTTTTTCACCTTTGTTTTTTTTTATGATCCAGACAAAAGTTTCCATTCTGTGTTTATTTTGAAAACGTTTCCTTATTAACTTTAAAGTTACACCATTTTAATTTTGAATTCATATTGAATCATAGAAAAATGGGTTTGAACCGACCTCAAACGATCAATGATTCTGTAATGAGGTGTACCCAAATTGCATCCATGTTTAAATTCACATCCTTAAAAATCGAATAACAGATGTTTTGTTTTATTTCTTCAAATATTTTGAACAACTTGACATTATTCCATGCTTACTATTCATTTTTTAATAAATTGATGCTTGCAACATGTTTACATCAAACATGAAGGTGAACTGTGGGTTTTTTTTATCAATAGTACCGCTTAAGTCGACGCTAGGGGCCGTCTTGACCTTGTTGTAGGGTATCATGCATGATTCGTTCATTGTTGAAGACCCTACATCAACTGTCAAGATGAAGAACAGGAATAAAAGCCCTGCTCATTGATAATTTTCTGTTTTCTATTTATTGTGTGCGATTTTGTCCCATGTACATTTACTCCATATCCTTTCATTTTCTATTAATTTGCTAATTTTTATATATATATTTACTTTTTCCAGGGAATGCTTAATCTGTTGATATATACTGTGAACGTTTTATGAATATTTAAATATGTTTACCTATGTTGAAAGACGTGTATAATGTCAAATCATAAAAATAAAAATTGTTTAGTCTCAAAGAAAACTTGTAAGATTTCCGCAGCTATTTTTGTTGAATAGGTGCAATTTGGGTACTCGGTGCAATTTGGGTACTGTGACGTTATACTGGTGTCTCAGGTTGATACAGGTGTGATATTGAAAAAGCCATATGATATACTCTATTTACTGTTTATTCCATTTTTGGTAATATACTTTTGGCGTGGCTCGGTATTTATACATCCCGCCATTGTGTTTTTGTGCTATGGACTTCTTTCATTTTTGCTTATGTACTTTGTCTATATGCCATTTTGCTTTTCTTTGTTGAAATAGTTATTTGTTTTTATAAAAGATTGTAACACAATGTTGACTGCTGTACCCTGAATTTTTGACATTTTTACCTATTATGTCTGTTTGTTTTGCTCACACATTGTTGTCAATATAATGGAATTCTATGCGACTGTCATACAAGTGAAAGGTTAAGCTAGCTATAAAACCAGTTTTAATCCACCATTTTCTACATAAGGAAATGCCTGTACCAAGTCAGGAATATGACAGTTGTTTTCCATTCGTTTGATGTGTTTGTGCTTTTGATTTTGCCATTTGGTAAAGGACTTTCCGTTTTGAATTTTCCATGGAGTTCGGTATTTTTGTTATTTTATTTTTGAGACATTTCAACAACCAAATAATTATCAGACTGATATTCAAGTAAATAAACCTAGTAACAAAAAATTTAAATGATCATGAGAAATTAGGTTTTCATCAAATTAGAAATGGAGTTCTTCGAAATGGTCGAAGACTTCTGAGAGTCGAATGGCAAGACGGGACCCAATAAAAGGACATACAAGGTCAAAATTGAATGTGCAATTTCCCTATTTAGGAGTAATACCACCATTGTTTTCCCCTATTAGTCTTTGTTAAATTGGGGTATTTTAAAAAAATTGTGCAGAATTTATCATATTATGGCTTTGTTTCAAATAAAGAAATACTTGCTATTAGTAATTTTTTGTCCTGTTCAGTACTACAGTAAAAAATTCACATAACATTTCATTGCATATAAGATCATTACCATCACTGGAAGTTAAATCAATCAAATTTTCACCCCCTTTTTTCCTGTTTACAAACTTTGGTAACCATGTCAACTCAAGTTTCCAAAAAAAATAAATCAGTAAAATGCAGGGTTAATTTCCTACAACCGTCAAATTCAAGGGAATATTTTTTTCGACCCTTTTTCTTATGAAACCGGGTGTGACGTCCTATGATTTAATGGTATAACGCCTGTATCGCAAAAGAAATTCCAAATGTACCCAGGTTTATTAAGAAATAACTTCCGGTGGTAATTGTGTTACTATTCCATTAATTAGCTTATCATTGTGTCCATCTTACTATGATTTCACAACACCTTCAGTGGAAGACATTACATTGTCAGTCTTACCTCAGTGTAAATTATTTTTTATATGTTCCTCATTTGTTTTAACAAATAAATTAACAATGAAAACTGTACAAATACCAAATTCTGTCAATATTGGATATTTCAATTGCAGCAAGCTCAACAAGATTTTAATGCAATCATTTAATGCGTATGTACTAGTAACTGATCAACGATTTGCTACTGTATTTAACCCATCATTAGTCTAGTTCAATAATTGCTTTATGTTCAAATGATTTTTCTTACAGAATTAAATTCATTGTTTGGTGTCGTCAAGAACGGCCAATTAAGTTGGTTTCTCTGTGAATCCCTTTTACATTTCTTACTTTTATGTTATAAATATATTTTTTCCCTATAAACTAATAAAAAAACAATATTTTTAATTGGCTAAGAATTTTTATGTTCCATGTTCATATATAAATAAGAAGATGTGGTATGATTTTTAATGAGACAACTCTCCGCCAGAGACCAAATGACATAGAATTTTAAAACTATAGGTCTCCATAAGGCCTTCAACAATGAGCAAAACCCATACCGCATAGTCAGCTATAAAAGGACCAGAAATGATATATATAAAACAATTCAAACGAGAAAACTAACGGCCTGATTTATGTACAAAAAACAAATATTTTATACAGCAACAAACGACAACCACTGAATTACAGGCTTCTGATTTGGGACAGGCACATACAGAATGTGGCGGGGTTAAACTAGTTTACTGATGCAAAAAAAGTCCCTCCAACCTGGGACAGTGGCGTAACAGTACAACATAGGAACAAACTATAAAATCAGTTGAAAAGGGCTTAACTCATCAGATCGATACAAAGCAACAAAAAAAAAACATCTCACAAAAACACAGACCTGACATGGCAGGGTGTTTATACATCCCGACAACAAAAAAGACACTAAGTACAGATATGAAAGTATTCGCAGTTACTGACAGCCAGTTCAAAGCCAAAAACAAATAACAAAATCATGCATCTAAGATTATTTCATTTTATGGTAGGATGAAGTTGTCACTGTGGAAGTCGATTAATGAAGACAAAGGGAGTCTTGATGTTGGATATATGTTTTAAGTAGTTTGTATTTTTCTGTCACAAGCCGTTTTCATGCTTTTATGACAATAATAATAATAATATATTATTATTATTATTATTATTATTATTATTATTATTCTTTCAACTGGTTGATCTTACAGACTACCATACAATAGGATGAATTAGTGTTATAAAAAAATCAATACACCAGTTTCGAGTTTATTGATTGTTGATTGCTTAACGTTCAGTGGCAAATATTTCATGTATGTTCCTATTTGTGTTACTGTATTTGTTGATGCAATCTTGGATTTTAGCACATTTCCTATGTTCTTTTCTTGAAGAATAAAGTTGTGTTAACCGACAACTACTGAATAGAAGATGAAGCTAAGAACAAGAACCATTTGCAATCTGTTTAATATTATAATAAATAAAAGTAACGGGGGCTTTGGTAGTTGACGACCAGACGTATCACAGCATATTGACAAGTTCCTGTAAAATAAAAAAAAATTAGTATGTAAAATAAAATCAGGTGATATATCAGATTTAATTCATACGTGCAAAGAAATCAACAATTAGTTTTAGAAGGCCTATCGAATGATAGCTTAACTGTTTGATATCTCTCATTCCTTACTACGTGGTATTTTTAATACAGGTTGCATAAACTTAAAAACAAATTCATATTAATGATAGTTATTGTAGACGGCACTAGTAAACACAAGGAATCGATTTCTTTAGGCCCAACTAATTGATTGAATTCACTGTTTACCCCTAAAAATTTATTGAGTCGACCATAGTACTAAGCAATCATGATATGGAGACGGACATCGTTCTTCAGAAAGATGGCCATCAGTACTTATATACATAATTTAGTAGGCTGTAGGCATAATGGTATAATCCCTCAAATATAAAAGATTCATCTCCATTTGTTTAAAATCTGATGAAACTGCCCTTTGCCCCAAAGAATGTATTTTAGAATATGTATGTAAAAATAGTATGTATACTCACCTATATACATTGAAAAAAGAACGAAAATCGTATTGTTTCAATCGTTCCTGAGAGCGGAAGCCAGAGCAAGAATCCCTATAGCAACTGAAATATAAATGGAAAAACTTTATTGATATATTATCTCATGTGGTATTTTTACTTTACATACAATAATTAAAAGTAGCTTCTAACTTCCATTTATACAGAGTCAAAAAGCCAAATTCTTGAAGTTACTTGATAAGTGATTGTTTCCATGCCTGAACGGGTAGATATACTGTAGCCCGAACGGGTAGATATACTGTAGCCTGAACGGGTTGATATACTGTTGCCTGAACGGATAGATTTAATGTAGCCTGAACGGGTAGATATACTGTAGCCGGGTATACATAAGGATTTTTCAATAGCTGAATGATCATGATTTAAATTGTGTTTATAACCTGAACTTTATGTCTCTGAAACACCCCCAACGCGGGAACCGTGACAGAGTTTTGTTATAATGTTGATATAACAGTAAACGAAATACCGTACGAAGAAAGACAATAATTAAAAGATTCAGGTCAGAGACTCGTCGAAGGTACTCAGTCATGAGAAAACTCCAAAGTATCAATACAAAACCAAGACGGTTCAAGGACATCTTGAATACTTACGCCATAGCCAGTTAAAATTCATATTATTCGGTTGTTGGAAATTATACTGCATTGGAACTTCCACTGGGGTAGGAATATAAGTTGCTAGATTGTTATATCCCATTCCTTTTCCATAACTGCCGTAACCACCATAGCTCTGACCACCATAACCACCATAGCCTTGACCACCGTAGCCACCATAACTGCGACCGCCATAACCACCATACCCCTTACCACCATAACCACCATAGCCTTTACCGCCATAACCACCGTATCCATAGTTTCCGCCCCCGTAACCATAGTTACCACCACCGTAACCATTATTACCACCACCGTAGCCGTATACACCCCCATAGCCACCACTATATCCGCCATAGCCTTTTCCATATCCTGCTGCTAGTAAACTTCCCGCCATAGAGGCGAGAAACAGAACGACAAGGGCGACCCGCATTCTGTAAAATAAAATTTAGGATTATCAAATGAAAAAAATTTGTATTTGTAAATATGAATGAAAGGAGATGTTTCGAGTTTGAATGTACGTCATTGAAAATGGAAAAATAATACAAAATCCATAAAAAAAATTAAATATACCGTCATCTATATTGTTAATATAACTTAAGAGCAACGACAGAGATGTATAGCCTCACCCAAGGAAATCATGTTTTGCGAACCCAAGGTAGTTACACATAAAGTACCGATCGAAAAGTACTCGCTGTTACTGATAGCTAGTTTGTTTCAACAATAATCGGCTAAAACATATTGTTTCTGGGGTAACAGTCGTTGAAGCATGAATAGATAATGATTTATATATATATATATACAAGTCTAAATTGAAAACAACGTTCAAACCTATGATTGCGTTGGATAAAAACCGCAATTTTTATACGTGTGCATGCAAAACAAATTTCTTGTTAGAGGGGTCTAAATACAGCACAAACAACATTTTCCAAAAGACCAAAAAAGAGAAAAAGTATATTTAAACAAAACACATTTGACTAACAGGTCGAACAACAAATGTTCTTAAAGCCTGCTGACTGCCATTGGCGATTGCCAAATAAACGGATCACCGATGTAATAAATGGATCTTAATTATAAATTTAATACTAAACAGAAAACAACAAACTTGCGGAAAAGATGATATACCGCTAACAAAAGGTGCAAAGGTTTTTGTACACCATATCCGGATTTCGACAATTAATGTCGCTTCAGTGATGTTAGGAATCGAAACGGTATTTGGAAAGCCATACAATTTACCTCAATTTAGGACAGACTCTTGAATTTTGAGGAGTCAAAATAGGATGAACGGATCATATGAACCCGAAGGCAAATATAATACAAGCCCAAATGAAAAAATATAAACAAGTCTAAATTGAAAACAACGTTCAAACCTATGATTGCGTTGGATAAAAACCGCAATTTTTATATGCAAAACAAATTTCTTGTTAGAGGGGTCTAAATACAGCACAAAGAACATTTTCCAAAAGACCAAAAACGTGAAAAAGTATATTTAAACAAAACGCATTTGACTAATATATATATATATATATATTATAAATCATGATTTTTAGTGCAGTCTTTCTCTCAAAAAATTCGACCTTTTTTAAATCCCTACCTGTTCTTGTGTTGGTGGATGCCGCACTGAATTTCTCGTGAATTGCACCTTATATAGGTTTCTCGTCATGTTTCATTGGTTTGTTATGTAAATGAATCTAATCTGAGCTTCCGAGTGTCTAAATTGATCTATCGGGTACAATGTGTTTCTGCTACGCTATATAATACACATAGTGTAGTAGATGATACGTGTAAGGTCAAGTAGAGTTGAACGTTTTTTGGGTAGATTTATTTGAAAACTAGTTTTTTTATTTTTATAAATCTTTCATGGCTGACGAGAAATTGACATCTAAATATTGTTCATTTTACTTTAAGTTGCTGTCGTGTTTAGCTTTAATTAAACGAATAATGTACAACACATGGTTCTGCACTAGATACCGGCTTGAGAACAAATGATTGGAAAACAAATACAATTAAAATATTCATAAGCTTGCAAAGCAAAGCTGTTTCCTAACTGAAGTATTAAAGTAGTAAATTACATTATATTTTCAAAAAGTGTGAACTAATGCCGTTTATGGTCCAATATATAAGGGTAAGTGTACCATTACAGTTTTTTTTACCGTATATAAACCTGAAGATCATAAAAGGCATTTTCTTAAAATAAAATAAATCAACAGGATTATTGTTTAAAACAATTTTTTATCAACTTATCAAGTACATATTTATTGACTCGACACCATCCGACCGAATACCTCCAACCAAGAACTGTTTAAGTTATTTTTTTAGTATGTTCATCAGTTACAGCAGGCGTAAATATAGACTATAATTCTCCTTTAACGTGTGACTGTGAAAGAGCGAATATAAAAATAAGGAGATGTCGTATGATTTCCAATGAGACCAAAATTCAAATAAAAAGAATGTTAATAATTATAGGCCATCGTACGGCCTTTAATAATGTGAAAAACCCATACTGTATAGTTATCTATGAAAGGCTCGATATGAAAATGAGAGGCGAAAGATACCAAAGGGACATTCAACCTCATAAGTCGAAAATAAACTGACAACGCCATTACAAAAAAAGAAGAAAAAGACCAATAGACAAACAACAGTATACAAAACACAACATGAAACATTTTAGACTGAGCAACACGAACAACACATAAAATCGGGGGAGATCTCAGTTGCTCAGGATGAGTAAGCAGACAGTGTTCCACATGTGGCACCCGTCGTGTTGCTCGTGTAAGTACAAACCCGGTGATAAGTCTAATTCGGTAGGTCACATGCGGGAAAAGGCAGGACGAGATTGTGGTTACTACGATTGGAACATATCCGTCGTCATCTGTGAAACAGATATTCCATAACGGTCAACCAACTCGTGATTGCGTCCGTAAAATTTTCGAAGGGATGATTTCAACTTCACCACTTGGAACTCTTGGTTTGATAGCTTCCTTGTGAGCAGCAACCCTCTATCATGTAAGAAAGTCATTATTTAGTTATTATTTAAGATATCGTATCAACTGGGAGATACATACTGTGAAATAATTCAAACGAGAAAACTCGCGGCCTAATTTATAACAATGCAGTTTACGAAACACAAATATGACGGACATGAACTACAGGCTCCTGACTTGGGACAGGCGCATTAAGAATGTGGCGGAGTTAAACATGTTTGTGATCGCTCAAAACTTTCTGGAAAAGGACCAAAATATAATATACCATCAAAAATAAATTGATTATTAACGATTCGTTTCAGTTGTTGGTAAAATGAAATGTAAACGAGAGAAATCTGATAAAAAATCACATAAGTTCTATTGCAATCAACGTAAAAATGTTGTAGATATTCGCATATCACATTTAAAAAAATAATTTAGGAATTAAGATAAAAGGGTTTGTAAAACGTCCATTTGAAGTTCAAGTACTAAGTTGTACAAGGAAGGTCTTTAGAATAGAGAATGGAAACGGAGAATGTGTCAAAGAGACAACAATCCGACCAAAGAGCAGAAAACAGCCTATGGTCTTTAACGCAGCGAGAAAATCCCGCACTCGGAGGCGTGCTTCAGCTGGCCCCTAAACAATAATGTATACTATTTCAGCGAAATGGACGCCACGCTCAACTCCGAAACATACAAATGAACCAAAATTTTATAAATCACACAAGACTAACAAAGGCTAGAGGTTCCTGACTTAAACAGTCTAAAATTCAATTTTTGTCCATTTTACCACTGTGACAACAGGCGCAAAAATGCGACAAGGATAAACATGTTTTGAGAGATTTCAACCCTCCCCCTATAGCCAATGTGGAAAAAACAAACAAACAGCAAAACGCTCAGTAAAAGTCAGTTTAAAAAGGAGTCAGAGTCCGATGTTAGAATATGTAACAGAAGAAACTAAGCAAAATGACAATGATATACATAAATTAACAAAGGACTACTAGCAGTTACTGACATGCCAGCTCTCGACTTCAATCAAACTGATCGAAAGATTATGTCTTCATCATATGAAAAACAACAACAATCCCTCCAATTAGGGGTTTAGTATCATGCCATCATAAATTATACGAGAAGAACATAACCCGTATCATGCCAACAACTTGTTTTAGAATAAACGTGTTTATTTCCGATGCAAAGACCCTATGAGTGAATCAATATTAATTCCGAAATATACCATTTTTATGACTTGACAACAGTATCAAACTATATCCGTTGTGAATAAGTCTGTTTAAATGTTTGGTTAGCTTTTGAGGTGAATGACGATATTTTTGATATTATTAAATTTTGTAGTAAACCATATGAAATAATAGTGTTGATTACTTCTCCAGTGTAAAAAAAACTTTGGAGTTTTAGATAAATTGCATGCTTTTAAAGGCCCTTTCAATTCCGTTGACTGTTAATACTTTTTAAATCTCTGCACTACACTTGCTCATAATCTACTGGTTGTGTTATTTAATCAAATGGTCTTTAAACTATCTGATTGCTGCAACCCATATTAAGCCATTTTTCGGTGTAACGCAAGGTATACTTACTAGAGCTATGGTGAGACGATAAAAGCTGTTTTATACCTATATGAGGTTATTTTCTTTCAAAACGATATGTTTTTCTTTTGAAGAATCAACTCGGACGATACCAAGTTTAAATGAAATTTGCTTCATGGCATAAATTAATGACCCGTGTATTTTTCCTCATTAAAATGCAAACTATAATTTACTTATACATTTAATTCGTTTCATAGTTATCATGTGTTGTTGCCAATTGGGGTTTTACTTTTTAGACTTCCATCTTTGATATAGGTTTAAGGCAGAACTGAAATACCAAAAAGTCGTCGTTGACGCACATTTTGATGTGAAGTTTTTTTAATCGCTATAATAAAGGGACATTATTTGAGATGAATTTAATAATGCACAACTTATCATAATACTTTTTAAACAAGACAGATTTAACACATTCGTGTGTAGGATTTTGAAAATCTTTTGATTCACATTGTATTGGAAATCAAACTTCGACTTATGGATATTCGTTTTTCGTGTAACATATACATGTGTCGCGACTTCGTGCTCTCTTCGTGCTTTTTCTTAACTTTTTACATCTATATATACCTTTTACTCCATCAAATGATCAACTGACCAAATAATCTTATTTTCTATAGAATAGAAAGGCCACTTTTTCCTGAATTTATTTTACACTAGGGTCATTTTCTAGACTTCCTTTAATCTTTATTTTTTTCTAAAATTCACATATTCAATTTTTACTGAAAGGTTTTCACAATATTTTGGTGTACTTTCAAACATGTGGACAAACTCTAAACTGCAATTTTGACAGACTTTGACAAAGGAGAAGGTCCGTTAAGGGCTAATTTCGGCCTAAAGTTCAAAAATTTTACCAAAATACATCTGATGAAAGATTTTTTTAAACACTTAAGTGTCTACTCCAGTCGATTCAATTAGTTTATGTTAAAGATTTGAACTAATTTGGTAATTAAAGACGCTCAAATTTAAGCTTAAAAATGAAAAATCTATCAAATATGCCATAAAACGTCACTTTTCATACGGTTTTTGTCTAAAATGGAAGTGGCCGCATTCGTGTTCAGTCTCAACATTTATATACGTTGTGTATAATCATTAAATACAACATATATCTAAAAATTAAGACTGAACACAAGTGCGGCCACTTCCATTTTAGACAAAAACCGTCTTAAAATAAGCACTAATGCTAAAATTGTGAAGATTTCATTTTTTTTGCATGACATAATGATGCTAGTACCTGATGCATATCCATTGTATTGTCAAAAACAGCCCATATTTATGTAACAAAAGTATTCTACTCTCCAATAAATAGCTAATGAAAGTTTACATTTTTAACATCTTTGTAAAAACGCTATATTTTGGGGCTGAAAAGGGGTCTTACCGGACCTACTCATTTGGAATATATACTAATATTTTGAAACGGTATTGAAAAGACATCCTTTACATAAACACAATTTATATGAGAAGTAAAGGAATATAATTTCTTTCGAATACAAATGATTTTATTTTGTATAAAGCCGTCCTATGAGGCATGTACATTTTGCAGTATTATCTTTAACAGCGCAGAATAATACTTTTATATTACTAGTTTTATAACATTCAAAATTGCTGATAAATTGTAAGAGAATATTATTAAGATTCTTTAACTACCGAATACCAGTAGAAGTTTTAAACAGTTTTTAGATTTTGACCATGCGTGAGTGAAACAACTACAGAAGAAATTGGGCTGACCGTTAAAGCTTTTTGGATATTTTAATAGATATAAGGTGATGTGGTATGATTGTCAAAGAGACAACTATCCACCAAAGTTTAAATGACATGGGATGCCATCAACTATAGGCAACCGTACGACCTTCCACAATGAGAAAACCCCATACCGTATAGTCGGCTATAAAAGTCCCGACAGGAAGAATGTGAAACAATTCAATTGAGAAAGATAACGACCTAACGTAAAAGATATTGCTTTCCAGAACTAGCGCTTATGGTCCTACATCCTGTCGACACCTATATATTGCAATGCATTGCACAAAGTCGTTCTTTTATCAGATTGCTAAGGATGTCTTTACATTGCATCCATTTGTGGTGTACTGATTGATATTTTAACATTTGAAAACATGGTCTATTTTTTTTAGCTAAAATTAGACTTTGAAGTATCTTTCAATAACGACAAGTACACTTATATTGGTACTAAGTGTGTACTGAACAAAGAGTGGCCGGATCGGAGTCAAAATAATGTGTCTTGGTATGGCGATATGTATTCTTGGGAACTGTCACTTTAGTTTATCGGTTTAGTACAAAGCAGGAAATATTCATACACAAGCATTTAAAGGCAAACGCCAGTCAATAATGATAGTCAAGTGGCCATTCTATCTGTCAACTTCTAAATCGGTCAACTTCTAAATCGTTGCGAGTTTTCAAAAGTTGTTAAACTAATTAAAGATAACAAAAGATCTCAAGAACTGCACCCAACACTAAATTCCGAAATGTGACAATAAACATTGAGATAAAAGAACACCCAACGACAAGGTTCCAGCTTTACAAGAAGCAAGAACTGCCTACCCTCCCTGAGAATCTGAGTTCACCCTCGATTTCAACAAAAGCCACTGACCAATTCCAGACATATGGCGGGCTAAAACTGCAACATATGATACATATTCCAGTGTACACTACACCTGTTTCTGGAGAGAAAAAATTCATCGTATACGCTCGAGACCTGAAGTGAGTCTTATTTTCTATTTTAATTTTTATCTAGCTGAATTGAATTTGGAGTGAGATAAGTTATGATATCAACAATAAATATCAAACTCAACAATCAACAAGTAAATTTACAAGATTGTTTTAGTTGTAAAATCTATTAGACAAAACTGATGGCTTAGAAAGACACCCAGTGAACATGCTAATAATTCACAGTAAAACCTTTGTGCAAGGAAATAAAATCTAAGGCGACAACTGGTTATTTTTCTTTTCTTTTATTATTCTACATCAGTATTAAATGGTTTAAAATCATTAAATTTGGTGAAAATACAACAACAAAGGAGCATCCCCCATCCCCGAATTTTGTGTTTCTATCTTATTAAATTGTAGCTTTCCATCATATCAATTGATTTATAATCACAAGTTTTCTAAGAGTAATTTTGATTCAAGCGACATGTTCAAGCACGATTTGACCAAGAGATAATCCATCAAATCGACTGACCAAAACATGAATTGCCTATAGAAACAAATCGACTGACCAAAACATGAAATGCCTTTAGAAACAAATCAATCACGTCCATTTGGAAGTCACGTAAAATTACATTCTATCACCTTGCAATAGGACACTTCTTACTGTAAATAATGATTCATAAAATGAAATATATATCTATTAATAAAATATTTCTCACGATAACAAGTTGGATTCAGTAACAAGCAAATATTGTTTTTTTTTTGTTTCTGTATCATAATGATGTCCTAGTAATGTGCGTGTTTGTGTTATAAAAATGAATTTCTCTTTCGATACTAGTATTTGTCTGTATTTTTCCGTGTGTATGTTCTTTGTCTAAGAATTTGTTTTTTATGATACAAAATAGGGCAGCGTAGAAAACAAACCATTGTTAAGCTGACTTCATTTTTATTAAATGCGCTTAATTAACAAATTATCCACTAGACGTTAAAGCATATATATAGACAAACCGTGTTAATATAGTAATTTATACAGTAAATTGTAGACTAAACTATAGTATATATTACACTGTACTTAACAGCAAAATCAAAATATAGTACTGAAAACCTAATCCTAGTGACGTATACCGGAAAGCTATGTGATATATATTATATCGATATGTATAGACATAGACAATGTATAGGCAGACATAGACAATGTATTGGCAGACATAGACAATGTATAGGCAGTCATAGGCAATGTACCTTAGAAATCATAATCGTTAATTTTACGTCACATATTGAACCAATGAATCACCTAGGATTTGTCCGTAAAGTCAGGTTATCTAATAACTACAATAGTCAAGCATGTTTAATATCAACAATTCGCGGTAGGCTATGTGTCATACTGTTGTAGGCTGTATACGATAAATTTCATTTCAGTCGTACATTTGAATTGTTTCTTTGTCGTCCAGAATAGGCTGAAATAAAAAGAATAGTTTGACTTTGTTAAAATATCATTCAATGTACAAAAACACTGCTTTAGCCATATATACCCACAGTATTCAGCAAATAATTATATTGCTTGTCTATTGTTGATATTGTACATTGTTTTCATTTTAAATCTGTGTTGTGCGTAGATAAATATCATGTGTTGTAGACATTAATATATCTTACTTTCTTCGCTTTTATGGTGTGGTTGTGTAACATGAAAAGAAATACAAAGAGAACAGAGAAAATGTTTTGCAACTTTAACGGTAATTAATTTGCCTGAATTACATTTCGAATTTAAACAATTCTGTCATCTAAAATCTAAATAAAACGAGACCAGGTAGTACAAAACTATAGATCGATGAAAGTCTGACAACGCCATGGTATATTCTGCCCTCCTGCAACAAACAATCCTTTACCAAGGACATCCCGATAGGAAGATATCGTTTTAACTTGGAGATATATGCTCCATTTGATTAGGCTGTTGGATTGTTGCTTATTAGAAATGGAAGGTTTACAATGGGAAAATTAAAATCAAATCTTTTGTCGTAAAGTTAACTCTCAACCGACCCTCACTGTCAAAAAGTAGTTGAAATAAAGATATGTAGCAGACTTAACTATATCTGTAAGAGTTGTGTTTTAGGCTAGGAGCATCATTCTGAATGTCTGAGCTCTTTTGTGTTTACTTTCAACAGTTTTTAGTACTTCGGTACTGACATGATTTATAACAAACCTTTCTAAAATTGTCCGTTGATAGATTTTGAAATTGTTAGAAACTAAGGTTTCAACTCCCTCAAGCAAAGTTGACCTTAGATGGATTTGGCTACTTTTTAGGTCCTTTTTTGGTGTTTAGCTCTTCAACTGTTTCGGTTCTTATACATCCTTGGCTTTCAAATATTCGGTTTTGAAGGTAAATCCAGAAAAGCGCTTCGGACACATGAAATTTATAGCGTGTTGTTTTAATTTTTCTAACGTCAATAATCACTAGTTTAGTATATTATACTGTTTGACTTTTTTCATCTTTTTTTTTTTATTATGGAAAGATGTGTGAATTTGGGGGAAAATAGATTTTTCCATTATTCAACAAGAACGTTCTGAATTTGACGAACTTTTTACACAATGTCAATATCCCATTGTAAGTTATTGAATGGTTATTTTAAATTTAATGGGTAATAAGTGTTATTATTTTCCCTTGCGGAAGCTAATATTCATTCTTCGACGGGTTTTGTTAAAACATACCAATCATGGAGTTTGTGAAATTAATTTATGCATCTTTAGACTATACATTATTATTAAGCATGATTCAAAAATGTCTTTTCCCCAAGAGATTTTATATCATATAATTTTACTGTTAGAAGATGAATTACCTTATTTTCTTGTTCTACAGGTGGTCTTTTTAGGAAAATACAGATTGGACTAACCAAGATGATTACGGAAGCTAGTACCCACATGGACCTGAAAAAAGAGTCAGTAACTAATATCATTAAACTCGAGATGTGTTTATGCTATAGGTAAAACTTCCTCTATAAAATTGAAATATCCATATAAAAACACAGAGGTTTGTTTTATAATATATATAAATATAAGCTTAAAATATTTATGAACGTTTTTCGCCGATTTTATGTAAAAAAAAAATATACAAATATTAAGGTATTTTGAAAGAATTCATTCAGTAAGAAATAAATAAAAAAAAAACAAGTGAAACTGCAAGCTACTGCTCACTGATGATACCCCCGCCCAAATATTTCGGTAAACAGGAAGTTGTTGAGTGATGAATCTGAAGACGCATCTCACGGTATAGATGACTTATATAAACCCTGAAACCAAATTTTAGAAATCCTTGTAATGTAGTTCCTGAGAAAAATGTGATGAAAATTTTCAACTTGGCTATCATGTGTAAAATGATACAAGTGTTCAATAAACAGGAAGTTGTTGAGTGGTGAATCTGAAAACGCATCACACAGTATAACTGACTTATATAAACCCTGAAACCAAATTTCAGAAATCTTTGTAATGTAGTTCCTGAGAAAGATGCGACGAAAATATTCATGGGACGGACGACGGACTGACGGATGGACTGACGGGTGAATGGACTGACGGATGGACGGACAGACAGAGGTAAAACAGTATACCCCCACTTTTTTTAAAGCGGGGGTATAATAAGAGATAAACTTTGATGACTATTAAATACTTACCATGAAAAGCCAAGACCTTTTACAATCTGTCCAGCTATTCCGGGTCCTGAAGGAAAGATATGTAACGATAAGATGTATATGTTGGACTATTTCAAGGTTAAAAGTGCGATACATTTTTGAAGTTCTAATCGTCATCTCATATATCTGTGTATGTAGTTAAGTAGTAGTGAAACCTATAATACAGTGTACCTCAGCTGCTAAGGCAAAAGATAATACAGAAAAGATTTTTATAAACAACGAATTTTATATTTCAATTTTTAGCTCACCTATCCGAAAGGCCAAGTGAGCTTTTCTCATCACTTGGCGTCCGTCGTCTGTCGTCATCATCGTTAACTTTTACAAAAATCTTCTCCTCTGAATCAACTGGGCCAAATTTAACCAAACTTGGCCACAATCATTATTGTGGTATCTAGTTTAAAATATGTGTCCGGTGACCCCGCCCGCCAACCAAGATGGCCGACATGGCAAAAAATAGAACATAGGGGTAAAATTCAAGTTTTGTCTATTATTTAGAAAACTGTTATAAATAGAGAAATTCTGTCAAGGGCAAAAGTGTTCAGAATGTTGAGGTCTACCAATTGTTCATTGACGTCAAAACTCAGGCGACTTCTGATAGGAGTTATTTCCCTTAAATGACAAATGTTACCATATTCATTCATTTTTGCCTTTAATCTTGAACCCTATAACAGATGGAGAGAAACTTTAAGTTGCAAAAATGATCAGCAAACCAACATTTACGAATAAGTATGCATGGTTGAAATCGTCAGTCGACTCCTAGAGTTATTGCACTTTGATGACAATTTATACCTATTTTTTGCGTTTTTGCCTTATATCTTAAAATTATAATAGAAAGATAGAAACTTAAATAAGCAAAAATTATCAGCAAGACAAGATCTACATTTAAGACCATATGGAGGAAATTTTCCTACGACCCCTTATTGGAGTTACTAAGTTGCCCTTTAATGACGATTTTTATAAATTTGTTTTGCATTTTGCCTTAGATGATAAAAATTATAATAGATAAATAGAAACTTTAGATAATAAAAATGATCAGCAAGGCAAGAGCCACAAACAAGTCAAATTTTTCCGATATAGTTAGTAGACTGTCACGTTTCATAGGAGTGATTGCCCTTAAATGAGGATTTTTTTACCCTCTTTTGTGTTTTGAGAAAAAAACAAAGAAGATAGAGAGAAAATAAACAGACAAAATGATCAGCAATACAAGATCAACAAAAAAGAAATTTTTGTCATGAACTCTATTCTTGTCTACCATGTTGAGAGAGTCCATTGTTGATTATGAACATATACCTAGGTGAGCGACACAGGCTCTAAGAACCTCTAGTTTTGTTTGTTTAAACATGATTAAACGAAAAGTATTTGTCCAACTGTGTTCACTTATGAAATATCCAATATTATTATTAACTCGAATAATTCAAGCCCTTTCTGTGTCCGATTTTCTCCCACACGAGGGCTTGAACTCCTTATGATCATTGGCCACGTCGCCTGCTCTCTGTGAGAGAGAGCCAATCGGCGGCGATCAGGATAATGAGTCTGCGCAACTGTCTTGTAATTGTCTTACCAAACACGTGTGTTGAATTAACACAAATCCGATAATAATTAATTAACATCAATTAACATCAGTTTACATCATTTAACATCAATTAACATCCGGAACTCCTCCTTCTTTAGCTGCCAACTTAAATAAAAATTCCCATATTGCATAGCGGTGTGAATTTTCCGGTTGACGGTCTTAATCGAGGAAGACGTTCAGGCGTTAATGTAGCCTTCGTAGATCAGCGGAATATAACGACTGAATTATTCGGGTTATATTATTATATACAGTAATACACTTGAATTAACAATAGAAACACAGTGATCCAATGGTGAATGGTGTTTTTGTCGGTTTTAATGGAAAAAATTATCGTGAAAGAATAAGTAACGGCGGACAAGTATTGAGATCGGATTGTGAATACAATTAAATGCTATCCAATTGCAAAATATATGGGGAAATCTGTTGTATTGTCAAAAGGCTGGGAAAATCCGAAAAAGAATTATGTCTGTCAAAATGGTTCAAAATTATGATAAGTATCGGAAAAAAATCAAAATAGTTCAATGTTTATACAAAACTACAAAAGGTAGATAGCTCATCAACATTTCAATGACATCAACAATGTAAACAGACTTGATTTTTTTCATAGTATAAATGGCTAAATGACTATTCTCTGAACATTTGGTCAAAAAACTTATTTGGCATATATTTTCAAAAGTTCACATCATAATGAACATGCGTACTAAGTTTTTCATGTTTAAAAAAAATGTCTTGTTGATTTGACCACAGCTTCATGGTAAACTACCTTACCTGCATGATCATCACGTGACAAACGGACGCGCGCACAGATAGGAACACATAATGCTACCTACTATCGTAGGCGGGCCATACAAATTATATCCTTAACTTTTTACCTATAATCTCCCAAAAGATTTTTAAATGCAATTTCACTGTAATTGTCTTTACCTAGTCCATACGCTAGACATACTGAAAGTTGGTTAATGGCATACACACATCCATACATGGCTACATGACGAGTGTCTACTAGCAAGGCTAACAATGGCACTATCGCTGCATCTATTATACCTAAAAGATATATGATTCTTTCAAACTATCATCTCTTTTTAACTCTAATGAGATACATATTCACTATTGTCGAAGACCGTATGCTGATATATGTCTCTTGGTTGTTAGGTTGCTGTCTTATTAACGCTCATATTATAAATATAAGAATTTAATGTACGAAAGTAAAAGTTTTTTTTCTTTTCCTAGAAGTACACGATAGTGAGAGTGTATCGGAAAGTCTAAGGGAGATAACTTAGAACAATTTTCTTGAAAGGATATTTCGTCACGCCATTTGGTAGAATTTATCCTTCAGCTGCATTTATGAGTAGATGGAAGTTTATGAAATGTAAAACAATTTTCATTATATATTATAATTATTGAAAGCGTATTTCTGGACTTGGAAACGGTTTATCTCTTGTATCTCCTGGAAAAGAATATTACGGTCGAAACTTTCGACAAAGAGATGGTAGATACCAAAGGAGTTTAAAAAATACAGACATCACCACGACAAAAAAGAAAACTGCGGAAAGAAAGCGGCATGGTATATGGAATCTAGGTTTGGCAAATATGAAATGCAATAGAACCCACGCTGACATTGCTTGTTAATAAAAAGTTTCCTAAATATGTTGTGGAAAACTGTAATATTCTTTAAATTGAAATCAAAATGATATATTTACCTAGTCCTAATCCAAATCCAAAATGAGGGACAATTAAATGTGGCAGCGTTGTGGCAAAGGGAATCTGAAATGATAACACTGAAAGTAAAAGGCTATGTATCTGCTGTACGAGCTTCCATCTGCAGTATTATGAGCTGCGTGTGTACTAAAAAATTGGTAAGCATCTCATTATAATTCGTCTTAGCAAAAGAAAAACTTGACGCATTTCATTATGGCTTGCTTTAAATGGTGCATATTTTATCTATAATCTTGAGACAGTGGATTTCGTATTGAATTTTTATTTTACAAATACAAAAATCAGTTGAGTGGCTATATAGTATTCAAAGCTTACAATGAGTCCATTAGAATTGTTTTAGAAACAGATATTAAACATCATAAAGACCTTCAGACTATTAATTGGTACTTAATGATATCAAACAAATACCGATTAACAACAAACACACCATACTGACTATCCATCATAAAGACCTGCAGACTATTAACTAGTACTTACTGATATCAAACAAAATTTAACACCGATTAACAACAAACACACCATACTGACTGTCCATCATAAATACCTGCAGACTATTAACTAGTACTAACTGATATCAAACAAATACTGATTAACAACAAACACACCATACTGACTATCCATCATAAAGACCTGCAGACTATTAACTAGTACTTACTGATATCAAACAAACACCGATTAACAACAAACACACTATACCGACTATCCATCATAAAGACCTGCAGACTATTAACTAGTACTTACTGATATCAAACAAATACCAATTAACAACAAACACACCATACTGACTATCCATCTGAAAATAATCATATTCACACTTTTAGAAGAAAGATGGGTCATTGAAGTCAATTGAGAGCCACTATCTGAGAGCTGTATGAAAAAAACTATTTTTAGTCTACAACCAATTCGGAAAATTTTTTAAGTTTTGCATATAACTTTTGTTTTACGATCCGCAGAACTAATATATCCTTCTCGGCGTCTGTCGCATTGACCTTTGGTTGAAACAAATGTAAAAGTTATGTCCGGTGTTTGTATAGGAGTTATTACTTTATTTTTGATTTTTTTTATGTTGTTGATAGATTTTATTGGAATTGTTGTGTTTATTTAGCATATAACATTACATGATTATAGAATAAGCTTATAATGTGCGAGCATTCTTTGAAATGCTATTGTTTATTATTGTTTCTGTACGTACTATTGTTTTTGTAATCTATATTATACGTTATACTAAAGTACTTTTTTTACTCTGAGAGTGCTGATCCAACTGGATAAATCATGTATTAGAAAAGTCAAGATGACAAAGGCTTTTCCAAGTAAAATATATCTGGAACAATTGTATCTATTCAGCTGAATTAAGAATGAAGGTAAACAACTTCATGATGTGAAAAAGACACGATTAAGAAATGTTGAAGGAATAGAATAAGAATCGTGATTTTTGGGGTTGATTAAAAATAATAATTTTTAATTATTAATGATTAATTGAATTCATCTTTTCTAAATCAAGTAGAATACCTTCCCATTTTTAAAGCTAGATTCCCGAAGAAGTTTGTTCCTATCACGTAACCGGCACTATCTGGGATAAATAACACAGCTAAAAAAGAAAAGAATAAAACGATTATTGTAATAAGACATTTTGCACTACGTAACTTTTCTCCGACTTAAACTTTTGATCTTGGTCGTACCCGACGAAGCTTATTCCTGAAACACGGGTCGTCCGCATTGAAATCGGTATATAAGTTTTAACTACGGCTGAACCGGGGCTGTTAGTGCAAGAGAGGACTATTCTCTAGCAGCATGTGCTTTCGCATTGGTATGCAACATTTTATCTGTAAACTTCTAGTTTATAATTCATGTTTAAACAATACTAAAGTATTCACTCATCTTATCAATGAAACGAAGACGAATACCATTCTTGGACCAATTAAAAATGTTAATTAAATCCACCTGGTTTTATACACTTATGGATTTTAGCGCAATTAATGGACATTTCAGGAAATATTTGCCGTATCTCTTATTTTGTAAGTGATTAAAGTGTTTAACCAGTTTTTAAGCCTGGCAAGTTTGGGTCAACTTTGATCAACATCCGAGTCTTTGCTTTACGAAAGAAAAAAAATTCCTATATATTTTGAATATGTGCATTCTGACTTGGTAAATAATTGCAATAGTAGATACATGTAGTCCTTTCACTAATCAGACCATTAGGGACAAGATGCACATATTGACTTGTTTTATCTTACCTAGCTCCCATTTTTCAACATCCATTGTATCAAGAACCCAAATAGGTACAGTTGCTTCTACTGTTGAAATAGACATAGTAGCTAACATAATTATACCTGTAAACATTAAAACAGTAAATAACGGTCAAAGATACTAAGATAAATACAGAATTGAACATTTGATAGACGTTTCAATAGAAATAATCTCTTTCTAAGTATGCAAGTAACGTACAGCATTTTGTGTTATGTGCTGATAGAGCTCTTTTTGCTTAAAAAGTGTGCTTCATCACTTGCTTTTGAATATGAAAGTTTGTGACACCACGAGGTATATGTTTCGAACAATAGAAAATACAGATTTTGTGAAATGTAAACTTGTATTTTTTTTCAAAAGTGACATATTAATATTAGAATTAGCTCTCGAAGATAACACTGCGATGCACACAAAAGTTCAGACATTCTGTTAAAATACAAAATCAATGTTTAATGGTTCTAAGGCGTTCTTAAATTGAATACCTAGATGAAAATACAGGTACTTGGCGATATGATTAAAATGTGGATATCAAAGAACGTCATCGACATTATAATATACAGAAATGGTATAAACTTACATGCTCCAACTAATATGTATGGGTCTCTTAGAAGGACTGTAATTGTTGATCCGTGATAACTTCTCTGAAAGTAAAAGGAAAATATTATTAAAGTATTGCTACTTCAAATTTATTTTTAGGTTGCGGAAAACATTGAATCAATGATTATTCATAAGCGACTGCGTAGAGTTACAGCGATAATAGTAGCAATATTGAAGATCTTACGGTATCAGTTTTATGATTGGTAGTTGTTTGCTTTAAAGTCTAGTAAAAATATGTCATGCATTATTAATTACCAATCAATATATCATTGAGAGAGGATTTTGCAAAGTGTGTTGACCGGGGTGAATTAAGGGCGTGAATTTAGAAAAAATAAGTAATATATATATATGGATAGGGACAGAAATTTTGCTTTACGGACCCCTTAAACAGCCGTTGCAAAGGTTCTTGAGTGGACGGAGATCATGGTAATTTCCTTTCACGAGGCGTCGGGATTAAAGTCCCATTCCGACCAAACGTGGCTGTGTATGTATACATCCCGCATACTAAAACGGACGCCCTCTCAGCATTAGCCTTATTTTTGCAACAAATACGTTCATGTACGATATTTCTACACACAAGTCAATCCTTCGATTGATATTTATTGAAAATATTTCATTAAAGTAAAAACAACTACTTAATAAAAGATTGACTGATTGTTGACAGTGTAACATCCTCGGGGAAAATAATCATGAATTTCCTCGACTGTTTACTCGAAAAAGGAGAAATATGATATGGCATAATCTTGCATTAAATCGTACCTTTTCTAAAAGCACTGGTTTACATACAAGGATGATAAAGGCTGAAACACACAAAAAAATACTTAAAAATCATCAAGATCAAAAGTTGTAAGGATAATACTACAATACATTACAATACAATACAATAAACGACACTACAGTATGGTACCATTATATGTGTTTCATATTGATTTTTAAAAGATGAGATTTTTATTCAGCCAATTATACTTGTGCATTACTATTTCATACATGATTTTAAGACTTATAAAAGAACACTCAGCCCTGATACACCAAGAGGTTCAACATACAATTACAAAAAAAAAAGGACAAAACATTACAAAACCAATAACAAATTAGAAAAAAAAAAACAAGTTAACAAAAATTATTACTTAATTCATGATGACAAATTTTTATAAAAACAAATTAAACAGATTAAACTACTTAGTTCAGAATCTTGATTTTAAGTATACATTGTATTTGTAAATGTGTTTACAAATCCTTTCCGATTACACTCTTAAATATTTAAATACTAGTACCCGTATTTGGAAAGCTTTTCTTGACCATTGATATCTAATCCATTTATATTTTGTTCTTAATTTCGATCTGATGAGTCAAGCCTTTTTCAACTCATGTTTACTGGAGTCTTTACTGTTTTTTTCTTTATGATGTGTTGTTACACAATGTAAGTGAGAGGGTTGAGCGATCACAGACATGTATAACCCCGCCACATTCTTTATGGGTCTGTCCCAAGCCAGTCTAGTGGTTGTCTTTGGTTGCCGTCTTTCATAATTATGTTTCGTTTAATGGTAATAGCTTACAGTACGACCGTTTGTTTTCTATATTGAAAGGTTTCAGTGTGTTATCCTGGAGCCTTTTATAGCTTACAATATGGAATGGGTTTTGGCTTATTGTTGAAAAACCGGACAGTGACTGGTAGGCTTTTGATCTTTTTTTGGTAGGTAGTTGTCTTATTGGCAACCTTACCACATCTTCTTCTTTTTAAATTGCCAAGGATGAAAAATATAAATAATTTTACCATTCTTACGAAGATATGGAGTCCTATTTATTTGTTTTTTATAAAAGAATTACCACCCGATTTCCCGAATCCTTAAAGTCGTTTTACAAGCCACAAATGAACATATATATACTTGCCAATATCAAGAACAACAAATACCAAGATCAATAAAAATGGTGCACTCGATCCTACATAGAAGTAAAGCAAACTTCCAAATGGGTATCCAACTGAAAGGGAATAGAGATAATATACTCCAAGATGTTATGTTAGTGGCATAAGTATGGAAAAGGTGATACCAATTGTCCTCAAAAGAATGGGAGAAACATTATCATATGACACAGAAAAAAAATTAAATAGTAAGGCTGAACGTTCTTCTGTAAATCTACTACAATCATCACATCCTGGTAGACACGATAGTCGCTGTTTATGCTGTGAATGAATATATTTGAATTGACAGGTGACACAGTGTTTGCTTAAAAGCTTTTTTAATTTGACTAGAAAAGAAAGTTCATCAAGGGACATAAAATGGTTCATCCGGTTTGCGAGTGTATAGACTAAATTGATAAGGGAAACGTCTAAAATGAGAAATTAAACCTAAGTATCTTATGAACGAAATTAAAGTTGTTTACTTGCATGTTTTATGAAGGACTACATGATTACTGCAGCTATAGCTTATCCTTCAAGTAAGCGCTTGTTCACTAACAGCCGACCAGATTATGTAAAAACATAAGAAAGTCAAGTTTTCGTTTTTGTTAGGACCACTCAAATCTTGGGACTGGTTACAATAGGGTGACCAAAAATCATCTTTTGGCCGTTTGTTTCTTTATTTACAATTAATATAGCTAATCACGAATTCATGGTTCATCTAGATATATATTAAGCAAACTAAAGTTTTATAAAACTTTTCCCAGAAATATAATGCAGCGATTAATATAAGAATTTATCAGCACTTTTGCACATTGACTCGTATATCTCCTAAATTTAATTTTGTCTAATACACATGAGTTGGAGTTTGACCGCTGTGTTGTAGTTGTCATCACTTACTCAACACTCCGACTGCTATTCCTGCCATTGCTGTACCCATTACACGACTTCTCTCGCCGTCCTCGTGATATCTCTCAGCCAATAAACTCATACCTGAAATGAGTGAGATATCAGTTGTTATAAGATAAGAACAACTGAAATACCCGTTGATATTATCATTCATAAAATGCTGATTTCATGTAGATATTTATCTGTTTTAGATTAAATGCAGAAACATTAGCTCAGTGCAGACACAATTAATAAATACCAAAGATCTCAAACCAACTTTGCCACAATTTCTTATCCACAAAATATCATTGTACAATGTATATAAAAGAGAGGCGAAAGATACCAAAGGGACATTCAAACTCATAAGTCGAAAATAAACTGACAACGACATGGCTAAATAAGAAAAAAGACAAACAGACAAACAATAATTCACAAAACACAACATAGAAAACTGAAGACTGAGCAACACGATCCCCACCAAAATTGAGGGTGATCTCAGGTGCTCCGGAAGGGTAAGTAGATCCTGCTCCACATGTGACACCCGTCGTGTTGCTCATGTTGGTACAAACCCGGTAATAAGTCTAATTCGGTAGGTTACATTCAGGAAAAGGGGACGGGATTGTAGTTTACGACATTATGAACATATCCGCTATCATCTGTGAAACGGATATTCCGTAACGGTCAACTAACTCGTGACGGCGTCCGTAAAATTTACGAAGGGATGATTTCAACTTCACCAATTGGAACTCTTGGTTTAATAGCTTCCTTGTGAGTAGCAACCCTTTATCAAGGAAATCATGATAGGAAATACAAGCCCTGGAGTATCGTATCAACTTGGAGATATATACTCCGTATGCAGGCGCTGCTGGAATGTTGCTACATAAAAATGGAAAGTTCACAATTGGGAAGCTGAAATCATCTCTTTTGTCATAAATTTTTGTTTTCAACCGACCCTCATTGTCAATTTCTAAATGTAAGTCAAGATATGAGGCAGACTTAACTGTATCTGTTGTATCCTTTATCTCAAGTTCGATGGGATAGATGCGTTCAACATAGCTACCAAATTTTTAATTATTTAGTGAGAGAACATCATCTATGTAGCGGAAAGTAAAGTTAAAAAATACTGCTAACTTCTTTTCTTTCTTCCTGTTTGAAGTCAGCCTCATATGAATAAAGGAACAAGTCGGCAAGAAGAGGGGCATAATTGGTTCCCATGGGAATGTCGATTGTTTGTTAAAAAACACCTCCTTCAAACGTAACAAATATGTTGTCAATCAAGAAATCAAGCATCTTGATAATGTCAGTTTCAGAGATTTTTTTGGTTAGAATCAGAGTGATTTTTTACAAAGTAGGATTTATCCCTCCCTAAGACAAGATATTTTTCTACGTTGCCAATTCTTTTTTATGAAACAAAGCAGGACCAACTCTTTCGATTTGGCTTTTAGTTTGGAATGGAGAATACTTTGTGTAAAGTGTAGAAAAGTCAAATGTTTAAATACTATTGCAAGATGAAAGAGTCTTAGATTGTATGTACTCTAAAAGATCTTTGGAATGTTTTAGTATCCACATCTGATTCACGCCACCTCTAGAATCTGTAGTTTCACAATAACTTTGAAGCCTGGCTTTGATTTCTGATAAAATTGATGTTAATAATTTGGAACGAGGTTTCGTGGAACACTTGGAAGACCCAGCAATATACTGTTGTTTGTAAGGACACTTATGTAGTTTAGGTATCCAATACAGTGATGGAAGATCCAGTTTTCATCTTTGGTTGAAATTCCAAAGAAACACAGAACAGAACTATGATTATCCAGGATTTCCTCTTTAGTAAGTGTCGTGGGATATATGTTGAGTTTCCAAGTGAATTGTCAATACCTAATTCATTTATCAAGCAGTTTATGCATTTGTGATTTACACACAAAAACGATATTGTTTAGGGCTTTATCTGCGGGGACAACATATTTGTCATGGAGGTAGGAAAATGTACGTGCATGATGTTATAATGTCTTTTGTAATATAAGATAAGATCGAGTAGGTTAATCTTAAATAATTTCAAGCGACTAAACAAAGTAAGCATTTACTCTCAAAGACGTAATTTAATTCTTGACAAACATATTACTCACATTACATTAAGTTTCGCACTCGCATTATATTTAGAGAATATCATTATATTTAGAGAATATCATTATATTTAGAGAATATCATTATATTTAGAGAATATCTGAGAATATACCTGCAACATTAGTAGCTGATGATCCTAGGCCGTGCATTCCTCTAGCAATCAATAAACCGGCTACCGAAGAGGAAATGGAATAAACTGATCCAATAGAAAATACCAAAATAAATGGTCAAACTAGTTTTATCGTTATCAAAAGTGGAAAATACAATGACACAATAAAAATGTGTGGTCAATGAAAATTAGACAAACTAAAATGATAAGAACGGTGACATTTAGAAAAGTAGAAAAAAATAATACAAAATGTTTAAAAAACTTTTTAAGAGTTGTGTTACCTTACGGTATATAACAAATACGATTTTTTGTTTTCTTTGTTACTTAGATACGATAACGTAACCATGTGTCCGCTTCTCTACCTGAAGGGCCATGTGTCCGCTACTCTACCTGAAGAGTTACGTTTTCGTATCTATTTGGTACTGTATAAAGGAGATGTGCGATTTGGGACGTGAGAAAACGGGGGAATTTCGGGAAATCAAAGTTTTAAAATGACAACAAGTAGAAAAACATGTTCACAGAGTTGTCCTTCCTACAACCAAGGTGAAAATCTTACAATTGAAAGTTGTGCCGTTATATAGTTATTAGTCTCCTTACCATAAGGAATTTAACATTGTAAACCCCAGATTTTGTCACAAAATTTAGATATATATGCCATAAGAACTGTGAAGCCCGAATGACACTGGCAAACGCTCTGTAATTTGTATCTTGCCAGACAGTTATAGTGGCTCTGTGTGTGTAACTTAATCCTAAAGATGCTTCAAGGTAACTGAATCTACTATTTAGGTGATTCGCGTCTGAACAATCACTTATCCAGCTGACAATGAAAGACGGATAATCGAGCTGACAATGAAAGACGGATAATCATAGAAACAGACGTACAAACAAATAAACACCAAGGAAAATTCAAGCTTGGGCAGACTCTATAAAAACAAACATTGGTATCGGATGCTTCGGAAGGGTGAGCATATCCTATTGTCCATAAATTTGTAACATGTGTGATATGAAACATAATCTAGACGTTCCGCTTACATTTAAACCATAGATTATCTGTATAAATTTTATTACATACCCAAAGAAGAAATGCCGATTATGATAGTTCCTCCGAGCAGCACAATGTTATTTCCAAATCTACAATAAATAAGATAAACATTTCATCATGATAGTTCCTCCGAGCAGCTCAATCATCGTGACTTGGAACAGGCACATAAAGTATGTGAATGGGTTAAATATGTTTGTGATCGCTCAATCATCCCCCTAACGTGGGACAATTGTGTAACAGCACAACATAAGAACAATTTGTCAGAAACATGACTAAACGCAATAGAACAGTACGAAGCATAAAAAACAACTAGCATAAAAATAGACAAAAAGCACTGGCTCGCAGTTTCTGAAAGCTAGTTCAAAGTCAATTACAACTATGATAAATAAATCATGTTCTCCCAGACTTTAGTCAACTTCAGTGTATGAATAGCCACCTCACCGAGATATAGTCGTTTGTGCTGGTGTGGCATAAAACAACCATCAATCAATCAATCAATCAATCAATTAGAATAAACATTAAAACATTGAAAAAGTAATTAAACGACGGATATATGATGTATGAAAGGTCGTCAAGTTTATTTACTTATTCCTTATTCCTCAGTATTCCATGGGGTCTGTAATATATGATGAAGGGAACTGTACGCAACAATTTGGTTACTTAGTATGATGTACTTAACGATCAAAAGCCAACATACTTACAAGATGAACATCATTTACAGTAAATACTAGTCTAATACTTACGAGTTGGCTAAATATCCAGTCAAAGGGTTAAAAACAATCTGAACTAAAGCCTTTACTGCTAATATCCATCCTATTTTACTGTTCTCTGTCGCTGGATTAAATGACAACTCAAACAGTCTTTTTGCAAAGCTAATGCTTGAAAAACTTGTACTTGGTGCATCTGTTGTCATATTGAGGCTAATGTTTACAGTTTGCTCGTCGCCTGACAGACACCTTTTAACCATTAGTTCACTCATGCTAGTATTTGTAGTGGAATGATTTTGTACATTCAAACAGTCCTCCATCATCTGTTCATCTTGGATTACAAGCATCTCGGGTATTATGGGTACTTCAAACAAACAAAATTGACTTTAGAACTATAGAATAAAATTCGTAAGGGTTCCGCGGAACCCAGTGTCTCGCCTACTTTTTCTGTTAATCGCAGACTCAACAAAAATGAGGAAGTAAATCAATAAAAATATTCCTCTTGATACTATCTTTTGATTGTAAGAAGCTTCTGTCCAAGTTTGGTAAAATTCTAGGATAGTTTATGATTTAAAATAACTGTTTAAAAACTTTAACTGCAGACTGAATGTAATGTTAACTGGAAGAAAACAAAATTTCCTTCTAGATACTAGCATTTGATCATAAACAAGCTTCTGTCCAAGTTTGGTACAAATCCAAAATAGTATAAGAAAGTTATTAAAATTTTAAAAACTTTAACCACAGAGTGAATATGTTGTTTCCTGGCAGAAAATCGAAGTCCATTTAAAAGTAATATACGGAAAAAATGGATTTATATTTTTACAAAATTTCCTTCTAGATACTAGCTTTTGATCATAAACAAGCTTCTGTCCAAGTTTGGTACAAATCCAAATTAGTATAAGAAAGTTATTAAAATTTTAAAAACTTTAACCACAGAGTGAATGTGTTGTTTCCTGGCAGAAAATCTAAGTCCATTTATAAGTAAAATAAGGAAAAAATGGATTTATTTTTTTACAAAATTTACTTCTAGATACTATCTTATGATCATAAACAAGCTTCTGTCCAAGTTTGGTACAAACCCAGGATAGTTTAAGAAAGTTATTAAAATTTTAAAAACTTTAACCACAGAGTGAATGTAATATTTACCGGCAGAAAAACTAAGTCCATTTATAAGTAAAATACGGAAAAAATGGAATTTTATTTTTACAAAATTTACTTCTGGATACTATCTAATGATCATAAACAAGCTTCTGTCCAAGTTTGGTAGAAATCCAGGATAGTTTAAGAAAGTTATTAAAATTTCAAAAACTTTAACCACAGAGTGAATATTTGTGGACGCCGCAGACGACAACGACGACGACGACGACGACGACGCCGACGGAATGTAGGATCGCTATGTCTCGCTTTTTCGACTAAAGTCGAAGGCTCGACAAAAAGCAGGAAAAGATCCGTATCTAATGCTAAGTTACCAATATAAGTAGAGGACCAAAGGTTCTATAGTGAAATCAATCGATTGTTAATACTGTGTGTAATACGATTTTTTTCAATATTGGGTGCCTATAGAAACGCAACATATTATTTTTCAAGGCACTTAAGTCCCTTTTGGAATAAAATGTTCCTTCAATGCATTCCTCAAATATTTTGCTACTTATAATTTAAACGAAAATCGAAAAGCTTTAAAAACTAATTACAATCGAATGCATACATCTAGTTTAAAGAAGTCTTCAAAGTTTTAGAACGAATGGTCAACTTCCAAAGAAGATCCGTCGCTTTGAATTTTATTCAATAGAGCAAAAACATCATCATGATAGTAGCGTTTCTATTTACAATCAATATATATTCTTAGCTTTATCATGTTAATTTAAATTAAGTTATAATTCTAAATATAGAGGATGGGTAAAATACCTATGACCATCTTTCGGCTGTGCTGGATGTATAAATACGCAGCCACGTTAGATCGGAAAGGGATGGGGAAAGTGCCATGATGATTACACATCTAACATCTTTATATGACACCCGAATATAACGTAAACAGAGTCGTCCACACATATATAGAAGAATCAACCTTAATCGTAGTTGTCAAAAGAAACTTTGTTTTTTCCGAATCGAGTTTCTCTTCCCGCTTCGTTTTTTTTTATAAATTTGTGGGTTATTCTACCCTCTCGATTTTTGGCGTATTTGAAGTATTATTTTTACTTAGAATTAATGCAATATTGGTACTTTACACTCATGTAAACCAATCTTATGAACAAAATTGTTGACATAACCCAATATCAGTATACCAATTTTCAAGGTATATAGACAACTTTTGTTATTTAACCATATGATTAAATGCTAGGAAGATATTTAAGATTTTAGTCTAGTTTTTGCAATTCAAAATTCACCAGACGGGCTGTATAACAAATTTTCTCTCTCCAGCTTTTCTCTTCTATTGATCTGCCAATGTTTAACAAACTGACACTGAAATAATCACACTTAATCATTTAAGGCATTTAACAATTTTATAAGGAAATCCCAAATTATTTTCTCAGTTGTGAAAAAAAATACATTTGACAAGTATATTAAGATATTAATCAGGCGATTTCATGGAAGAACAAACGTCTTAATAGTATTTTCAGGAATATTGAGTGTTGGCGATCTCATTTATGACGACTGAAATAAATCAATTCTTTCTAAATATAATTTTCTTTCGTTCTTGTTTAATGAATGATAGGTGTCCTTTAGTTAAGATGTGAAGAGGGAAGGTTGGAATGGGTACACCCCCCACTAAGACAAACAATCATATATCATATCATATACCTCTTATATCCTTGTTATTATCAGAAGTCCGCTACTTGCCTAATAATGGACTTCTGATTTTATCTAGACTCCGGGCGCTTCAAAGTAGAGATTATGATATGCTGCAGACGCTGTAAATAATTTACTCTTGGCGCTTTAGAGCTTATGGTATGGTGGAGATACTGTATATAATTGATGAAGACCATGTGCTAGCCGATAAATGACTTTTCTATTTTCTATGTGTTGTGGAGTTGTAGTCTCTTTGACATTGGATCCTTTTATTCATATTAAAATAGAAATTCCATCGCCTTCATTGTTGTTCCAGCCAACATCTCCTATAATAATCAAATCCTTGTCCCCTCACGTGTCCTAGAACTGAGGTTTGAAATTATCCGAGATTTATCTATCCATTGTACATTACTGTCTACCATTGTACTTACCAATGTACATACGAATACTGTTTACTATTGTACTTACATTTGTAACAATGCTGTTTACAATTGTACTATCCAATACTCTTTACAATTGTACTAACCAATACTGTTTTTTATAATTGTACTAACCAATGCTGTTTACAATTGTACTAAGCAATGATGTTTACAATTGTACTAAGCAATGCTGTTTACAATTGTACTAACCAATGCTGTTTACAATTGTACTATCCAATACTGTTTACAATTGTACTATCCAATATTGTTTACAATTGTACTAACCAATGCTGTTTACAATTGTACTAACCAATACTGTTTACAATTGTACTAACCAATGCTGTTTACAATTGTACTAACCAATACTGTTTACAATTATACTATCCAATATTGTTTACAATTGTACTAACCAATGCTGTTTACAATTGTACTTACCAATGTACTTACCAATACTGTTTACAATTGTACTTACCAATACAACTTATCAGTAAATTGTCAATAATATTGGTACAAAAAACAATAGCGACAATAAACTTTCGGTCTTCTTTTATGTTATTAAGGTACTTTACAATTCTTTCCATTTTAGAACCAGAATAATCTGCAATAAAGTAAAAATATCAAGATAATACATAGAGATTATACCACACTGCTCGGTCTATATCGGTATTTATCCACTGGTAATATTTTTTTAAAACTTTTAAAAAGACCCCAGGGATTACTGGAGTATAGAAATATGGTCATATTGATCTTCTTCCGTTCGGCAGTAAAATCCTTGCCAAAGTGTGACGTCCCTTTGGCTGTTCCGTATTCGCAGCCACATCTGGTCAGAATGAGGACGTTTGATCCGATGCCTCGTGTAGAGAGTGTGCAACGCTATCTGCACTGAAAAAAAAATCATTTAAGGGTCCGAAGGTGGACAGTTGCAAGGCAACATTTCTGATCCTATCTAACATACCCTAATTTTCAGTTGCAGTTAGATTTTCCTCTGCTTCATCCCGCTTTGCAGAACCTACCTATTGTATTTATTGTTAATTTCTTCTCGTCCCTATATGCATGAAACGTTTGCTACTGGACATGAAGCAAACAACATTAACCAATCATCAAACTGTAAAATGCTCGGGGAGATGCACTTTCTATGTAATGAGTGATAGGGGTGATCCGCTGGAATAGGTCACTATGCCAAGCTTCATGATGTATATGAGAAGGTCGAGGTGAAATATATGACGGTTAGGTATACTGGATGTCTCAACTTCTCATCCCTACCATAAAAGTTTTGAAATGGTCCTCCGAGGGTTTACCGAGCATTTCATTTTTTTAAAGGCTGATGGAGTTATAAATGTCAGGCAATATAAAACGTTGCGTTATTTTGGTTTACAAATACAGGGTGTTGCCTAGTTATGGGATAAAAAGTCAAAGTCGAAGATAGGCAAGATACTCACCGAAACGATCCAAACCGATTTACAAATACATGATTATCGGTCACAATTGTAATCTATTGAACAGTGCTATCAAACAAGCAGAGTGGTGTTATCTATTGAACAGTGATATCAAACAAGCAGAATGGTGTTATCTGTCGAACAGTGCTATCAAACAAGCAGAGTGGTGTAATCTATTGAACAGTGCTATCAAACAAGCAGAGTGATGTAATCTATTGAACAGTGCTATCAAACAAGCAGAGTCGTGTAATCTAATGAACAGTGATATCAAACAAGCATAGTGGTGTAATCTATTGAACAGTTCTATCAGACAAGCAGAGCGGTGTAATCTATTGAACAGTGCTATCGAACAAGCAGAGTGATGTAATCTATTGAACAGTGCTATCAAACAAGCAAAGTGATGTAATCTAATGAACCGTGCTATCATTTAAGCAGAGTGTTGTAATCTATTGAACAGTGCTATCAAACAAGCAGAGTGAAAATAATTTGTAACATACAACCTGCTCAACCCTATGAGACATAAACAAAGGAATAAAAGTTTGACGCAGCAGACATTCGGGAATACAAAATTGTAACAAAAGGCAGACTTTGCACGTACCAATTTATCTTTTTTTAATGAAAATATGCGTTCATTAATGTGTGGAAACATGGTCCATTTCTCCACAGGAAATAAAAAAAAAATCACCAGTTTCTATTCTGGACACGGTCTTATATATAATTCATTTTCCTACTTCTCAACCACGAATCAATTAAAGTTTAAAACAGATTTAAGAAGTCTTTCCTAATGCCGTATAAACAATATATCAGGAGGAGAAGACGCAAAATAATAAACAATAAAAAAACCTCTTAAACAATCATCTTTTTGGGGGAGGGGGGCAATCTTCGATATCGTATTTTCGTCGATGTCTTTGTATTGACATAAAATTTGCGAAATCTTTGGTTATGTCATGGTAAATTGCCGGATGAAAATGAGGGTGTAAGAAATATTTCTTACCAGATCTAAAGCTGAGAAAATTGACATTTTTCAAACAATTTTTATAAATATGGAAATTAGGTTTTCTTTTGATTTTTAGGTAGATAGTAATCGCTTATCAAGTTCAATCATAACGAGTCTTAATATGTATTTATCAAATTTTGTCACCTGCTCCTTGATTTAGTTGTTTTTTCTTTTTTATTTGAAAACAAATAAATAAACACGTACAGCAATACAATGCAAGGAATGAAAATAATACATTGTAGCAAGCATGCAAAAATAATCAACTTACCAAAAGAAGATACGTCCCTGCTAGAAATCTTGGAAAGTAATGAAAACAGAATCATTTAAATATTTTACACCCGATTTAATGTCATAATGGAATCTAAGAGGACAAATGTGGTTATAACATATTTAATCAATCGTCAAAATAATTATAAATGGGTGTTATAAATGATATATTCAATACCGAATGCAACTGTACAAAACTGACCATAGCATGAATAATCTGACCGAAAGTTATCTCATTACATCAACGCCATTTTATGTTAAAAATGATTGATTGTGTTATATGATCACGAAACAAAATTTTAAAAAAATCCAGAAAATATATTTGAAACTGTCGAGCAGAAACTTAAAATACATATTTTCATAAAAACAATAATCTATAACATTACTTCAGTATGTTTTCAACTTCACTTTCAACTGTATACATAAGTATTTCACCTCCTCTACGTACGTATGTTAACAGTCGTAACACGGCGGTTGTCACTAGTGGAGCAGAAACCGATGATCTTTCCAAAGTTCACCACTGGTTTTTATGTGGGGTTCGCGTTGTTTAATATCAAGTGTTCTGTTATTGTTTTGTTGACTGTTGATTGTCATCTTGCCGTTTTCCTTTTGGCCATTGTGGTGTCTGCGATTCTCTTGCTTTCATCGCCCCTTTTTCATTAGAAATAAAGATAGGGTTTTGCGATATATTTATGAAAACTTACGAAGACAATTCATATGATGAATTTCTTGTAAAAAGCGAAATAGTGAATAGTCAATTTTCCAGTCCTGGATCTTTGATGGTGTATAGAAAATGGCTGCCGCCAATAGTGTCTAGTGACAATCAAATTTATCAGACAAAAATAAGATAATTTTAACTGCAACTAGAGAAAAAGGCTTATTTTGTAGTATGAGAAAAAACCCTTCGAAATGGTAAAATATTGACACTTCACGTTCCAAAACAATCTAGTAAAACTCTCGTGTTGATGAATTGTGCATTTCTTATCTAGAAAAATATACATGACATACTAGACGTCGGACATTAAGCAGCTAATATAGCCAAAAGTAAAATAACAAACTCCAAGGAAACATCAAAAAGGAAAGTTCCTTATCAAACGACCTTTGGTGGCATGAGTATGACCATTCGGGGTGAAATATGCTGATTATTGCTAATCAAGTATAAAATAAAATTTAAAAAAAATGATTGTTAGCTTAGGTCTTACTGTCGAATGTAAATAGGTCTTATTTCTATACCAAACTTTCTCTTGTAGTACGGGTGGTTTAAAACAAATGCAAATTTTGAAAATTAACCATTTCCCTATTTTATTACGTAATAAATGAAAAACCTTTGGGAAGAAATAAACGTTGCATGGTTTCAACTATCCGGTGAATTCAGTCAGTTCTTGTCATTGCACTCTGAATGTATCAAGTGCTAAGCATAGATAAAGTAAAGTAATGTATCAAGTGCTAAGCATAGGCCAAGTTAGGTAATGGAGCTCTCAATAAAAGTACAAACACATTATAAATTGGTTTTAAATTATTATTATAAAGAAATATATGCACTATTATTACATAGCATTAAATTGTATATAAATATATGTAACTAAAACAGACTATGTCTATTATTCAACAATTATTAACAATTAAATCAATCGAACAAACGGACGGACTTCTTTGGTTTACTCTTCTGACCAACAGACCATGACTTGGACTTTACCCGGAAGTGACGTAGATCGGAGGCATGACTCTTATCAAGCATTGGCAGGTAGCCTTCCGCAGTACATAGTTCCTGAAAAAGGGAAAAATATAATGTATGTTGTAAAATGTATCCAATAATTGTCTCGATATAAGTATGTACGACTTGCCAGACGGAGCTTATAAAATACTTAATCAGTGCTCAAGACCATGCAAAAATTTAGCTTTACTAACAATTGTTCCAAATGCAAAGAGTTTTTTTTTTTTGTTTTTTTTTCTTTAATCAAACCCTTCATCGTAATCAAAATATTCAGACATATCTTCTAAAGGATCATGAAAAAATTGCATAGATTTTCTTGGTGTAAGTTTGTATATTCACATTGCCTAAGGCTAAAGTTTTCAGTCATATTTATATGTGAAGTATCATCCATGTGTATGATGGGTTTTTGTTTTATTTTAATTTTGTTTTAATTTTTGGTGTTTGCATAGCTCGTTTATTGCCTTCTGGGCTATCTTTACTCGGGAACCAGTTTAGTATCTTATAATTCATAATTCCTCTACTTTTCATTATATCCGTCTTGGAATGGCCAGTCCAAAACACGTCAAGTATCAAGACTGACTGCCGGACCGTAGAGGACTCATTAAACTGTTATATTTTTTAAAAATCACATTTAACTAAAATTATGTACAGTATACATTTAGAAAAAAATATATTTAATACTGTATGTAAACTTAAATTACCGGGTATGTCTGATAGAAGGATTTGTAACCGCCTTGTAGAAGGTAGATCTCTGGGTAAAACAGATGTGGGTAGTTATCAGCGTTGGTCTCTCGGTCTTTCTGTCGCAGATTGCGGCACCTATAAAGAGAGAAAAAAGACAATCTATAAAAGAAAATTACAATTTGAAAACCAATGTTCTATATAATGTACCAGTAACTAATCTAAACATATCTTATGTTTTGCAAAAAAATGCTTGTGGATGTAATAATCAACGAAGACGTTACCAAAAAGTGAAAGCTATTGATCAGAAAATACGATCGTTTTTTTTTAAACCCACTCCGAATAAACGAATGTCCTCCCCATAACAATACATCGACAAAAACTTTAGAAAAAAATGCTTCTTTTGGGGAAAAACTATTTTTCGAATGGAAAGTTAAACCAACTGTAAGAGGTGAATTTAAATTTCTAAAGGAATAAGAAATCAAAAGATGTAGGTTTGCAGGGAGGTAATTAGCTGCTGGTCAATGCAGAGAGTCACAATTAAGTAGCAAATACATTCATAAATACTAAATTGAAAACTTGAAAAGTCTACGTCTAATTGTATAGTATGTAAATGATACTTACATAGCTGGACCTCTTTCAATGGAGAACTCACAATGAAAGATCAACACAGTAGGTGATGTGTCGGTAAACAGACGGCTCATATCTTCTGGCTTAAACATGTTGTCTGCATTCTACAATGTTAATTTGTCATTTTACGATAGGACAGAACATGAGGAACAACTCACACATACAAAACAAATCATATGAAAACTCTAAGCAAGCTTTTTTATCATTTGAAGAATTAGTGTTAATAGAATATTTTTGATATTCTCTGTTGAAATGATTCAATTTTTTTAAGTGTCGAAGCGATTTAGAATTTGACATATTTAATAGACATTTGTTTATTAATTGTAGGAGACGGTATGTTGACCTTTAGATGTCATTTGTGTATTGTGTATTTTCACTAAAAACTTGCATGTTTTACGATAATAATTGTATTATGATGTTTATGTATCTTGCCTGACTAGGGCCCATGATTGGTTCATAAAATAATGTCTAATGTCTAATGTCCTATGGTTTTTCGTCTCGTTTTGAGTTGCTGTCTCATTGAGGCATACCCCACATCTTTTTTTAAACATAACCAACGAATTAAATTAAACTTAAAAAAACTATAATGGTGAAAACTAATAAACCACGGCGCTCTGATAGCTTTGTATTGACTTCTGATGTATGCCCAGCATATATCCTGTTATATTTGCCTCCAGACCACGAACGGTTTAGCTATATAATATATAGGAGCAATATATTTTTTTCACAGTACATGTATTACTTATATCTTTGTATATATTTATGTATGTACATTTTTGTAAGAACTGCCATTGGTATGTCTACCTGAACAGGAACGTATATGGATACATTGTACAAATAAAACTTACAATAATATGTCCACCTTGAAACTCGTACGGATATCTGCAGTCAATGATGGAATAGCTACCAATGTTGTGTGAACCTCTAATGACGTCAGCTAGCTGTTACAAAAAAAAAAAAACATAGTAAATTATTATTAGGGTAAAATGTGCCTACTCATAAAAACTGTGACCACACACCAAAAACATCGTATGATAAGCAACTAGTCTTTTTATTATAATAGATAATTAAATGTTTGATCGATAGATTCAATGATTGCTAGTTGATTAATGTCCAGTAGCAAATATGTAATACAAGATTGTGAATATGTAAGACTATTATCATTAAATGTACTTTAATTATGGAGAACAAAAAATAGAACCAACATTCATTTTGTGAACTTCACATAGCATATACTTTTAATACAATGTTATCAGTCTTGTTTCTAGAGTGTAGGAATTAAATCGTCAAGTACCATGTTGTCACATCATGTGTTTGGTTTTTTTTTTCTTTATTGTTGTTTTTGTTTTTGTTTTTTGTTTGTTTTGTTTTGTTTTTTTTTTTTTTGGGGGGGGGGGGGGGGGGGGGTAAAAAGTGGGTTGTGTGTTTGTGGCCTTGTCTCGATAACATAAGAAGAAAGAAACTGACATAGGACTAACAGGAATGTATTGGTCCCAAAACTGATCCCCAAATAATGGTTCTAGTAATTAAAACTATTTTAAATTATTTATTTATATTTACCGTATCTGCTGAGATACATTTGATGTCATGGCGGGAATCAAACACCGTGGGCAGACGACAGTTTCTGGAACCGTCACCAATCATATCACCATCAGTTATAGGATCAGTAGCTTGGGCCTAGAAGATAAATAATAGATTAGATTATTTTGTTTAAAAATTGTTGTTATTTGAAACTGCATATACTATCATGAATCAATAGTTCTTTAAAAAAAGAATCAGCATTAAGATTAAAGAAGAACTTAAACTTTGGAAAAAATAGATTAATATGAAAACAGACGAGTATTTTAACTCATGCAGTCTTGTTCATAGCTGAATACGTTTTTATTTTCGATTTTATCTATTTTCTAGTATATTTGTTTTTTATGTTCTACAGTGAGACATAATGTTCATAAAAGTTTGTACTTTTTGACATTTTTAGTCGTTGAATATTACATTTATTCCCCATTTATACATGGATTCAACGTAAAATTTCCAAATTCTGTCATTTAGACGCTGTGGTAAACGCAACACAAAACGAAATTTCGATGAGACGAAGCCTAATTTTGTTATTTCAGTTTTTAAAATCTGTGTTGTTATATTCATTCGACAAATAGTCTAAAATCAAATTATTTAATAACGATACTTACCTCCGACTTAGCAGCTATAAGATCATGGCTCTGTTTGCTGTAGGTACCAGTTTCTGGAGAGAACCTCCTCTGACGTTTCTGTGATATAGCTGTTTGCTTGACTGGTGAAATGGCGCCATCCTAATGAGAAAGTAAAAAGACTATTACTGCATGAACTTCAAGCATAAGAAAATAGGTAACTGTTATATTTTTAAAACTTAAACTCAGTAAGTTGGCTTGATTGTTGTTCTTTTCAACATAATGATCGATTTTTTTATTCTTTAGTTTTTTTATTCAATCAGAGCGCTTTCTCTGTCCTTGAAATCTTCCCATGTCTGTCATTTATTTTCATTTTTTGAATGGTATTATTTAAGTTAGTCGTGTCTTTGACTTTTTTATATTTTTTTTTTTGGGGGGGGGGGGGGGGGGTAATATTTGCTCTTTATTTTATTCACTATTTCACAAAAAAAAATTGCAAACGGACTTAGCGTATTGATAATTGGTTGTTAGGTAACGGTGTTTTCAAAGTTTCAAAGTATAGTTGGGAATAAGGATTTTTATAGTAAAAATCTTTAGTATTAACAAGTTTTATTTAGTTTTTTTTTATGGTTTTGTGAACTTGATTCTACATTACAAATTGCTTTTGTTTTGTTTCCTGTATATTTCAAATATTTGAAAGGCTAAATAATTTCAGACAACGTTGAAGTCGGTGTTTTACCATTATCTTGAGAACATTATATAGTAGTATCTTAATACTTACATTTCTGAAATCAAAGTCCATTCCAAGACCAGAATCATCATCATCAAATAAAGCTGCCATCATGTCGTCACACTTTTGAAAGAAACTATCACATGGAAGATCCATAACGGCTGGTCTTAACTTGAAGAAACTATGGAAAAACACAAAACACAAAGAATGACAAACAGAAATAAAAAAAATAATGTAAAAGCTTCTGGTTAGTAAATTAAACAAAATATATAAAAAAAAATATTCTCCCCATATCTCAAATAAAAAAAAAAAAGAAAAATGGTAAAAAAAATATTAGGTGCCAAAGTGATTAACCAAATGCCGAAATGACTTTAAATAGGTGCCGATTTGATCGTATGCCGATTTGACCGGGTGCCGATTTGACTTTTTCTATAGGTGCCGATTTGACCAGGTGCCGATTTGACTTGTACCCGACAGACGGACAGAATATTTTATTATAGTGTCACCACATACCAATATAATACAATATCATACATCATAACATCAGTAAAAAAAATACGAAAACACATTTTAATCTGAGTTAAAATTTCGGTATCAAGCCACAACTGACTTATGAGACACTTTGATTTAAAGACTTATTCTAGACATTCATTAAAAATGAATAAATCAAAGTAAAGCTTTTACAGTAAAAGAAACATACTGTACACCATATTTCCTGCGATTAAACAGAAAACATCAAGATTTCTCTAAAAATGGTTGTATAGAGTCATGTGACATCAAAAAAAAATTTGTCATCATGATTATAATCGTTAAAATTTGGGTTATAATTGCACTTGCTTTCAAAAATAAATCATATCGCAAACCTGAATAAAATTCATAATGCATAAGAAACTGATCAGATGTTTAAAAAATTCTTCGTAGGAATCTTTTATCATTATTTGCGTTCGTTTTTGTTTTTTCAATCATCGGCTATTTTTCCGGTTGCATCTTATATAAAGTAAAGGTTAGCGACAATTCGATAGAAAAACAGGTTATTGTATCGCTTTTTTCAAGTTCTTGAAATTTGATACCGTCTGGGCTAAGACATATGTGTCTCTGCTAGGACCAATAAAAATTAAAGAATATAATTTATTAGAAATTATTTGACAATTGTATCATGTTGTTTTTGAATAACTAATTTACCTTTATTTAAAAGCTTAACATATCAAAAATATTTAACCTTATCACGGCAATTTATAGGGAACAAATGAAAAAAACAAAGCTGTGTCTTAATTCGGTCCTCACAGTTGGAATCGCCATGTCTTTAAAACCTTACTCTTTTACGATAATCTAGGCAGTTTATAATAACGATGATAATTGTTTCATATTGCCGCTTGGTAATAGCATGGAACCAGAATTAATGAATTACTTATTTTATGCTTCTTAAGACTCAAGACTAGATTCTTGCCCTTTTCCACTTGGTGGTTCACATTTATTGGAGAAAATTTAATATTTTGTAACACAACCTTAAATTAAAAAAAATCCATTTCCCTGAAACATACTATTATTTAAGATTGAAAGATTTTTTTCAAATTTCAGAACGTGCTAAAAGTTTTGTTCGCGAAATTCTTTGACGAGTTAAAAGGGGTTAGCCTATCAATGGTACGAGTTAACTTGCTTCCAGCCTATCCAGATTCATTTACTCTGTAAATAAAATTAAAAAAAAAGGTATGTTGGATATAGAATAAAAAAATGTTCGAAATAAATCAATTATAAACTATGAAAGATGTATCTTTTCTATTGCAGTTATTTTTTTTTACTATCCAGTTTTGAGTTATATGTTACATTGACCACAGAGTGACTCTACTTTTAAAATTTGGGTTAATTGCGCTTGCTTTCAAAAATAAATTATATCGCAGATCTGAATAAAATTCACAATGCATAAGCGACTGATCAGATGTTTAAAAAATTCTTCGTTGGAATCTTTTATCATTAATTGCGTTCGTTTTTGTTTTTTTTAATCATCCTCTATTTTTCCGGTTGCACATTATATAAAGTAAAGGTTAGCGACAATTCGATAGAAATTCAGGTTAATGTATCACTTTTTTTCAGGTTCTTGAAATTTTATACCGTCTAGGCCAAGACATATGTGTCCTAGGACCAATAAAATTAAAGAATATAATTTATTAGAAATTATTTGACAATTGTATCATGTTGTTTTTGAATAACTAATTTATCTTTATTTAAAAGCTTAACATATCAAAAATATTCAACCTTATTACGGCAATTTATAGGGAACAAATGAAAAACAAAGCTGTGTCTTTGGTCCTCACAGTTGGACAATTAATAAGGTTATTGCCATGTCTTTAATAAAACCTTACTCTTTTACGATAATCTAGGCAGTTTATAATAACGATGATAATTGTTTCATATTGCCGCTTGGTAATAGCATGGAACCAGAATTAATGAATTACCTATTTTATGCTTCTTAAGACTCAAGACTAGATTCTTACCCTTTTACACTTGGTGGTTCACATTTATTGGAGAAAATTTAATATTTTGTAACACAAACTTAAATTAAAAAAAATCCACTTCCCTGAAACATACTATTATTTAAGATTGAAAGATTTTTTTAAATTTCAGAACGTGCTAAAAGTTTAGTTCGCGAAATTCTATGACGAGTTAAAAGGGGTTAGCCTATCCAGATTCATTTACACTGTAAATAAAATTTAAAAAAAAGGTATGTTGGATATAGAATACATATAAATGAGATGTGGTATGAGTGCCAATGAGACAACTCTCCTTCAAAGTCACAATGTATAAAAAGTAATGCATGTGTCTATACAATATTTCAAACTGTAAATCGTGCCGAGTAAAAAAATGTTCGAAATAAATCAATTATAAACTATGAAAGATGTATCTTTTCTATTGAAATGATTTTTTTTTTACTATCCAGTTTTGAGTTATATGTTACATTGACCACAGAGAGACTCTACATTGACCATAAGGTACAAATATTATTGGTAAAATTACTGTAACATTTAAATTTTAAAAATTGACCTGTCATAATATTATAAATTAAAAGCAATCAACCAGTTTCTATATTATGATGATGTTAATTTTATCCAGCGACTCTCTCTTTCTCTCTTTTGCCTTTTTTTTTTAAAATTTAACCCCTTTCACAGTAAGCAGTAGAAAATAAGAGATACGAGTGCAAAAACAAATCAAAATTTTAAAACGTCAATTGCTTGCCTTTATTTGAATTAAAACAAAATTTTATCTAACTTATTTAAATAATGCTTATTCTTTTGGTTATTATCTTCAACTATCTTGTTTAACTTTAGATCTGTGTAAAAGCAATCTAATAGATACATTATTTAAAAAAAAATGTATACAAATAAATTATTTTTAAATAATTAATAAAAAAATAAGATCTATGAATCAGATAATGTGAATTTAAAAAACTGATGCTTCATCCTTATAGCGAACACAAGCCAAAATCTTAGAAGAAGAGATAACAGAAATTGATAAATACGGAAAAACTCACCTTAAAGAATATATACTATGATGTTGATTGTCAAATACCTGAACCACGTATGTAAATAAAACAAAGGTGTAATCGCTTTTAAATAAGGGACAGGAAATTACAACATCCGACCAATAAAAACTGTTTACATGACAATCAACAAAACCTAGAAAAACCTAGGACCTCCGTCTCAATACCCCAAGCTAACATACACCTGGCAGACCCAAGCTAATACCCCAAGCGCGGCATCTTATCATCTTCTCATAAAATGCAATTCAGAAATAAAAACCATATGTTAAATTTAATATTTTCAAAAGACCAATAATAATAAAACTTAATAATGATGAGAATAATTATCATTGTACCCAAATTATTGAAGTAAAAATAAATATTGACTCTGCATAAATAATGTAAAATGTGAATTTGTGAATTTATCGTATGAATGATGTAAGTCTGTAGCAAGGAATCAAATATTTAGATAAACAATTCCATGGTCTGAAGTAAATGGACGTTGAATAAAGTTCATAAACAGTTTTATAATAAGTTACACTACAATTGCTAGAAATAATAACAGAAAAATCAAAAGAAAGCAAATTTATTAAATCTGGGACTAACTTATTATTACGTATTAGTCCCAGTTTAAAGTTTAAATATCTTTATTTTTAGCAGTCCACATTTACAGTTAATATAAATTTTAATACTTTAAGAAGTATATATAGTAACTTTCAACTTTTATTTACAGATATACATGTATTTTCTTTCACCTTAGTTTATGCATATACTGTAAATGTGAACGAGATTATTACTTCATTATCAAAACACTACATGAACCCATACATGAATCCATAACACATTTATGAATATGCTTAATTGTAATGAGTAACTAGCTATCAAGACGTGTCGCCATTTTATTATAAAGAAAACAGAAAGTGTGTCTAAGTGTTGACACAGGAATTAGTTCTAATTTATAGTAGAAGTGTGCCTTTTAAAAGTATTTAATGGTTAAAACAACAATCTCTTAATGGTTCCGGAAACGCTGTAATATTCGCTAACAAGTTTTGGCACCATTGCCTATATCAGAGACATATAATACAATATAATTATATGTCTCTGCTTATATTGTAGAGGCAATTAAAACTATTAAGAAATCTAATTTTAATTTTTTAACTCTTACATAAGATCCTTGTTTCAAAATTCCAATAGGGGACATATATTATATTATTGTAGTAAATATTATGGTATTATCTTACATAAGATTTTGTTTTAATTTTTTAATTTCACCAGAGACATATAATAAATGTCTCTGATTTCGCCCCATTGTTTTTCCTATTTTACATGTCATATAGTTAACAACTAAAGTTTGCACACCTTCTGTATAATCAGAAGTCATATTGGTTTGATATTTAATTGATTTATGGTCCTACCTTAAGACTTTTGTTTAATGGAAATATATGACATGAATACCTGACGCTCATGTGAATTGAAAATTATAGGTTCTTACTAGTGAGCTTAATTCTAAATTATTTTGATTTTTATTTCGGATAAAAAATATAAGATCGTTAAAGTTATCAATATATTAGACACTAATGATGAATTTCATTTCCCTTTTCAGAATAAAATATTTTGGTAGAAATGGAAAGATATTCTAAGCATTTTTGCAGCATCAGAGTTTCGAAATCTGTCATAACGACATTTACTTGACGCTTATAAATTTTAAGTATTTTTATTTTTTTTACATATATTTATTATTTCCCCCTCTTATGCAATCCATTGATATTATTTATTGGGAGTTTTAAGAAACCATTTTTAATGCTAGAATCTATTATTGTTTTTTTTTTGGTGTGCAGTATATTGAAATAAGATAAGTCTTAATTGAAGATTATACATTTTTATAAGTTTTGTGAAATGCCAGATGTGTAAAAATATGTTTGAAAAGTGTTCCATAAGTCAACTTTATGGCTTGGTATTGAATGGTTCTAATGTATTTACATTATATGGTATCATTTATGTAAAGTTTAGGTGAAATTGTTTTTTTTAAAAAGTAAGTACCAATTCCGACTATCTGGACCATGTACTGTGGTCAAAGCTAAATAGGCTGGATGTTGCAGAAAATTTATGATTTGCCATAGTTTATTTATAGAAACGTACTATGTTCAGAACGATTAAACGGTAATTTTTTTGAATGTTTTAATGTCAATATTGGTCTTTAACAAGGATGTTCATCACCGCCTTTGCTATATAATTTCTATATAACTGACCTCATTTCGTTCTTGAATTTTGATATAAATGATGAAAACGTTTGCATTCTACTTATGCTGATGATGTGTTTATTTTAGCCAATGGTAAATTTTTTTTACAAACTCTGTTAAAACCATAAGATAAATGTTGTGAAGATAAATGGTATGAACATTAATGCTAACAATAGTAATATTGTGCATTTTAGAACACTTTTTTAGTGAATATTACTCTTTTAAATATGTTGTTAAGTTATATCAAGTGATAAGGCATGAGGCTATAGCGGCTTGTTATCGAGTCTAACCTAACTCTAAGACAGTCATCACAAAATTCACAAACCATCCGTCATGTAAATTTTCTAAGCCTTAAACTTGACCGAATGAGAAATTTTGAAATTGAAACAAGTTTTCCAGGACAAAGGATCGACAAGACTGTTATCGGTAGAAACAACACAGACATCGAAAAAATAAAAAAAGCACAAAGTACAACACTAAAACCTAAAGCAAGAGCAACACGAACCCCTTTTAAGCAATTATGGTCGATATCAGGTGTGCTGGAAGTGTAAGCAAATGCTACTCAACATGTGACACACATATAACCGACTTGTTTTACGGGAACCATTACTTGCTTACACCTGTCCTTATGCTTGTGTTTCTAGTAGGGATTTTAGTTTTGTATGTCCTTATAGTTTGTATTGATATTTTCTGCTTTTAATTGCTTGTGTATGTTTGATATGTATTTGCTGCTATGCTATAATTGATAATGTTATATTTATATACACGTCATAGGACCAAAAGGACATAGGTGTAAGTAAGTAAAGGTTCCCGTAAAACAAGTCGGTTATAAGATCTCTAACGAGCTCATGTTCTGTATTATTATTATATGTATTAAATACCCGACTTTAAATAAAGGTTACTCACTTACTAACTTACTTACATGACATCCCGTGAAATAGGTGTGATCAAGTGTATTTCGTTCATTCACAGCAAGAGCCAAAATCGGAAAGTCGATACATTTATTTGCAAGTCATTAAAATATTTCAAACCATTAAACTTGTCCGAATACAATATTCCTTGTAATATCGGACAAAGTGCGATAAACGGATAACTCATGATAATTGAAGCGCACGTTTTCAGAGAATATGAACATTTTATTTTATGAAAGTTATGCATTCATCGAATAAGGCAAACACTACTTGGAGAAAAGATCCAACTTTGAGTCAATGCCGTATATATATAAAAGTCGAATACTGAATTGATTTCCGATTGAATTGTCCATTCGTATCTATCCCCCAAAAAAGGAAATTAAAAAGATATCAGTGTTAATTGCGAGAGTTGGAAATCATCTTTTTTTTCTAACAAAACACATACAACTAAATCAATCGTTGATTAATTTTGAATCACTTATTACAAGAGAGGCAGACGATGCCAAAGTACAAACTCATAAGTTGAAGATTAAGTGACAACGCCATGAAAAAACCCCCGGAAAACGACCAAAAGACAAACACCAGTCCACAATATACAACATAGAAAACTAGACTGAGCAAAACGTGCCCCACCAAAAATCGGAGTGATCTCAGGTGATCTGGAAGGGTAGGCAGAAACTGCTCTGCATGAGGATATTACAGTGAGGACATGCTTTAACAACGCAAATTTCAGTCGAGTAAATATCTAAATGTTTCGTGAGCTAATCACACAAGGCAGGGGAAATTAAATCAAATCTTTTGAGGTGATAGAAAATATGTTAAATGATTAAATGAAATAGAAAAAACTGAATGCGAATTACCCAATATCATTTGCGCAGTAGACAAAAAAATATGCAGAATACATAAAATCATTCGAGTTACCTCTCATCACAGCCAAATTCTTTATTTTGTTAATAATATGTTAAGCAAATAAATGCTCAAATGTATCAAAGTTTGATAATTTCATTGAAAATATACCGATCATTTGAAATCAGAAGATGGACGCAACAGTGTTATCACCAATCGCCAATTAACTTTCAATTGTGAGAGTCACTTTTAAAAAATTGAAGAATTTTAACATCTGTTACAGAAGAACTTCAACAAAATTTAGGCTGAGTAACAACACTTTGAGTATAGAAACTGGGAGACATGAACAAAATTCAAATACAATCTCAAGAAAACTAGTGCTTCTGTTAAGATGTGAAACTCCAAGGCTCTGTCAACACTGTTCACATATCTTAATAGAAAGTGAACTGCGTGTTCAATTTTGTTCAAGTGCCCTCTTTATAATTTACCAAGATTAGAATTCTTAGAAAAAAACCAGACACAAAACATATTCCTCCGAAGAAAATAACAATCTACAAGTTAGCTGGCTATTCAGAACAAATAAATTAACCACACAACAAGCAAAAATGAGATATGTATTGAGTGACCACTGTCCTTGTTAATGACCTAATAGTGTAAGCAACAAAATGATTAATGGCACGAGATAATCCGTGTTTAATCAATGCCTAAATGTTGACTTAATAATTTGTGTTTTTAATTGCTAATTTCTTCAAAACGGCTTTTATTTCACACATGAAATTTGGCACACACATGCACTGTGTCTATTTGCCGTTTAATCAGAGTAAAAAATATCGTGATGATACACGTAATAATTTTGCTTTCGATGAAAATGTGGTAAATTTTGGGTAAAATTTTAGTCTTACTAAAATGCTGAAATACGTATACTAAAATCACTTAAATACTTTCCGCTCTCGTTATATGATATATTTAAATTAATATATCAACTATACTGATTATAAGTCAGTACTATTTAACCACCAACAAAGAGCGCAATAATTTTATTTTTCATGTTAAAGATTCCCCGTACAATACGGTATCTGTAAAAAACACGAAATTTGGAAAATCGTGACCACGGGAACTAACGATGACAATCATGATTGTAAAATATAATGATTTTCCTATAATTTTCAAAAACAATTAGCCGTGTGTTATTCCGTTAACTTAAACTCGTAAACTAGAGGACTTTTTGGACACTAGGCACCCTACTAAAAACCAATGCATAACTGTCAAACATATCAAATTATATAATGTACTTTACTAATATTAATAGTTAGTGTAACTGTGTTATAGTCCAAATGTATATACGCTCTGAATAAGCCTCCCTTTTAGGAGCACCACCATGAGTTGTGGTGTACAAGATAACATTTCAACAGCACACTGTATCGGTACATATTAATGTGAACATTTGCCTACCTAGATCCCAAATTCTGGCCGGTTCCAGAATAACCATCCCTAAAACATGAATAAATACAAATATAACAAAACTGATGAAAAATCGGAATTTTGTTTTTGCTTATCCTGCTTACATTTTTCATTTTACTTTCTAGTAATAGTCTCCACTGTGTTTTTAGAAACATTGACTAAAAGGCAAATTAAAAGATGCTTTATTACACTGACGATTTTATTTGTCGAAGAAAAACGTGAGTTTTATAACAAAATTTAGTATGCATTGTTTAAAAGATCGAGGACGGTTCTTCACAAAAGAAAAGAACACAACACGACCTATCAATTGGATAGAATCTAGATAAAATGATATGCTGTTTACAGATAATCCTAAAAGCGCTTGAAAAAATCGCTGTTTACTTTAGTGATGGAAAATAGCCTTCCTTACAGTTGTTCAAAAACATTTTCACCCTGTTTTTCATTTACGTAATATATGCGATACATTATTTAAGTACGCATTTCCTTGTTTGTATACTATGCCGACTCCAATTAAAGCTAATTTATTTATACTTTTCTGAACCTTCATGACCTTAGGTCAAAGTTGACACAATTAGTCTCTTGATGCATGCTTGCTTTGTCCTATTCTCAGAATAATTTTTGAAGCTGATTCGATAAGTTATTTCTCACTTGCTTGCTTTGTCCTATTCTCAGAATAATTCTAGTAAGCTGTTTCGATATAGACGATAAGTAATTTCTCAAGGTACGTTTGGATACTTATGTAGATTGTGCATGATCTAGATTCAGGGCTCACTAGATCTTGAAATTACTCTGTACTTGCTAACTATTGAATGTGTGCTGTTCCTTTGTAGGTTTCTTTCTTTGGTGGTGACAACAGTGTTTCTTATGTTTATTGGAATGTTCGTTGTCTCAATAAATTATTTTTGCTTATTAAATACCTACAAGTATATCAGTGTATATTATAATTAAAGAAATACATACGGTAACAAAAGAAAACAGTTCGACAAGGCGTAGTTTAAAAAAATCAAACCAAGTTTTTCTTATTTTCAGTTTTTCCTAATTTGTTCCTCAAAACCATGTATTTCACCCTAAAAATTAGATTAATACTATTGATACTGGTTTCTAAACAATGCTAAAGGAAAACATATATATATAAAAATAAGATAATATGGTATATCTTGTAAAAGGATCAATCATATTCCAAAAGTTTTAACCTTGTACTGAGTTTTTCTATCTGAGATTTTTCACAATTTTCTTTAAAATCCACAAATTTCATTCCTAAATTACTTATGTTGTGTGTGTACATGTATAAAGATCTCACTTCAAAGTTAACCATGAATAACCAAGCTTTTCTTCATTTCCAGTTTTCAGAAATTTTTACTCTGACAAACATACATTTCACTTAAAATTAAAATTAATTAAATGATGTTTTCTTTTATTTAACATTGTTTAAAGATCACATTAAAAAGTTTTTACCATAAATAACTGAGCTTTTCTTCTTTTCCAATATTTAGTGTTGTTTCTCTAGTAAAACACACATTTCACCCCAAAATTCCTTAATGAAAATAATTTTCACCTGACGAACACATAATGTAATTATAAGATACAGTGTCTTGCCTTCATCAAGCTTTCAGTCTTTAAAATGTAATCATAAATAACAGTTTTTCTTCATTTCAAGTCTACATTCTAACTTGCACTTATAACCTTGTGTTGCAATTTGTTGCAAATTAAGTGATGTTAAATCTAAATTAACCATGTTAACTAGCCTGTTACATTTCTTGTATTTTGGACAAATGTGTAAAAAGTGTTATTCAGTTATCTTCTTCATCACATTCACAATGTGGCTTGAGTGATTGACCTATTTGATTGCGTTGCTTGTTCAGTCTGTTCTTAATTTCAACAGAAATATGCATATATCAGGGATTGAGATAGTTGACAGTTAGCAAAGTATGTTTGTTTTTTCAGGGTTTACAAAGGAAATAAAGGGACCCACAGCAAATACAATGGTCTTCCATTCATTTTCACATAATTTGTTTGTTGGAAAGTGTTTATATTTAGGAAATAAAGTGATCCACAGCAATTACAATTGATTTTTATACGCCCGTTTACGGGACGTATTATGGTTTACCATTGTCCATCTGTCCGTCTGTCCGTCCGTCTGTCTGTCCGTCTGTCCGTCCGTCATCAACATGTCGGACATTAAATCAAAAACGCTTTAACCAATTTGCATAAAACTTTGGTGAATTGTTTATATCTATTGACGTGAGCTCCCTTTTGTTTTTTTTAAATTTTTGATTTTACGTTACTGAGTTATGGGGTTTTATTCATTAAAAAAAGGGGGATTTTCCAGTTTTCGGACAATAACTAAAGAATGCTTTCACCAACTTGCAAGAAATTGTGGTGAATTGGTTATATCTATTGACATGAGCTCCCTGTCGATTTTTATAAATTTTAGATTTTACGTTTCCGAGTCATGGGGTTTAGTTATGGGGTTTTATTCATTAAAAAAAGGGGGATTTTCCAGTTTTCGGACAATAACTCAAGAATGCTTTCACCAACTTGCAAGAAATTGTGGTGAATTGTTTATATCTATTGACATGAGCTCCCTTTCGATTTTTATATATTTTAGATTTTACATTTCCGAGTTACAGGGTTTTATTCATAAAAAAAGGGGAATTTTCCAGTTTTTGGACAAAAAAATCAAAAACGCTTTCAGCAGTTCTTATGAAACTTTGGTGAATTGTTTATATCTATTGATGTAAGCTCCGTTTAGAATTTTATAAATTTTTCATTTATCATTTCTGAGTTATGGGGTTTTATTCATTAAAAAAGGGGGGATTTTCCAGTTTTCAGACAATAACTTCAGCAGTTCTTATGAAACTTTGGTGAATTGTTTATATCTATTGATGTAAGCTCCGTTTAGAATTTCATAAATTTTTCATGTATCATTTCTGAGTTATGCCAATATGGGGTTTTATTCATTAAAAAAGGGGAGATTTTCCAGTTTTCGGACAATAACTCAAAAATGCTGTCAGCAATTCTCATGAAACTTTGGTGAATTGTTTATATTTATTGATGTAAGCTCCCTTTACATTTTCATAAATTTCTAATATGACATTGAGAATTAATTGAACTTTATTTGTTTATAGTCTGACAACAGATTAACTAAGTATTGCGCAACAGCACAGTGTATTGCACAACAGCAAGAAATCTTAAATTGAATATAAATTCAATTCATATAACCAATTTCAAGTTCATTGACTACATTTATTCAGAAACCTATAATATGTCAAACATTTAATTACAATCCAAATTCAGACCTGTATCAAGCTTGAATATTGTGTCCATTTTTGCCCCAACTGTTCAGGGTTGGACCTCTGCGGGCGTATCCAGCTGCACTCAGCGAAGCAGTTTATTTCTCATTTTATCCTATTTATTTCAGTGTTTACACAGCAGTTGTGTTCAGTTCCTGATCATTTGTCATCATTAATGCAGAACATATGTTGAAAAAGGTCTTACAAAGGATAACACAAGTGATTAAATCTGTTAGAATGACTGATATTTCACCTAGTAGTGTAGCTGTTCAGCAGGTAATTAATCTGTTAAAATGACTGATATTTCACCTAGTAGTGTAGCTGTTCAGCAGGTAATTAATCTGTTAAAATGACTGATATTTCACCTAGTAGTGTAGCTGTTCAGCAGGTAATTAATCTGTTAAAATGACTGATATTTCACCTAGTAGTGTAGCTGTTCAGCAGGTAATTAATCTGTTAAAATGACTGATATTTCACCTAGTAGTGTAGCTGTTCAGCAGGTAATTAATCTGTTAAAATGACTGACATTTCACCTAGTAGTGTAGCTGTTCAGCAGGTAATTAATCTGTTAGAATGACTGATATTTCACCTAGTAGTGTAGCTGTTCAGCTGGTAATTAATCTGTTAGAATGACTGATATTTCATCTAGTAGTGTAGCTGTTCAGCAGGTAATTAATATCATTTGCTTTTTATGGCAATTAAAAACATGTAAAAGTGTCTTTTGCATGGCATGGTGCATTTATACATGAATGCCACTTTAAATTATCTTTACACTTGTACAAGAAATACAAGAGATTTCAGCGATACAATGTACCGGTATGATAGACTATGAATATTTGAAATGCTGATGTACTGGCATTTGAAAATCCAATGTAAGAAAAGGCAGTGAGGAAGAAATATACAGTATCACCATGTTCCAATGAATTTGAAGTAATAACATTGTTAAGTTTTAAGTTTTTATACGACCCCAAAAAATTTGCGTTCGTATAATGCTATCACGCGCCGTCGTCCGAAGACATTTGGTTTCTGGACAATAAATTTAGTTTAAGTATATGGATCTCTATGAAATTTAATTAAAAGGTTCAAAACCACAAAAGGAAGGTTGAGATTGTTTTTGGGGGTGATGGTCCCAACCGTTTAGGAATTAGGGGCCAAAAAGGGACCCAAAACAAGCATTTTTCTAGTTTCAGGACAATAACTTGTGTATAAGTATTTTGATTGCTCTGAAATTGTACCACAAGGTTCAATACCACAAGTAGAAGGTTGGGATTCATTTTGGGGGTAATGGCTCAAACTGTTCAGGAATTAGGGGCCAAAACGGGGCCAAAACAAGCATTTTTTCTAGTTTTCAGACAATAACTTGTGTTTAAGTGTATGGATGTCTCTTAAATTGTACCACATTTTACAAAAAGAAAATTTCTTCAAATATTAATTTTTTTTGAGGGGGGAGGGGGTCAATTTTTTTCCTCAAGATTTAAGAAGTTATCAATTTTCGAAAAAAAAAATTGGGGGTCACAATTTATTTTGCTAATTTTTTATACGACCGCAAAAAAATTTTGAGGTCGTATATTGGTATGACGTTGGCGTCGTCGTCGTCCGAATACACAATGGTTTTCGCACTCTAACTTTAGTTTAAGTGAATGGATCTCTATGAAATTTTACCATAAGGTTCAATACCACAATAGGAAGGTGGGGATTGATTTTAGGGGTTATGGTACCAACAGTTAAGGAATTAGAGGCCAAAAAGGGGCTGAAAATAAGCATTTTTGTAACTTCCAGACATAACTTGTGTGTTAGCATATGGATCTCTTTGACATTGTACCACAAGATTCCATATCACAAAGGGTCAATGCTGGGATTGATTTTGGGGTTAATTGCCTCAAAATTTTAGGAATAAGGGGCCAAAAGGGGGCAAAAAACAAGCATTTTTCTAGTTTCATGACAATAACTTGTGTGTAAGTGTATGGATCTTTCTGAAATTTTACTACAAGGTTCCATTTCACAAAGGGAAAGCTGGAATTGAGTGTTGTGGTAATTGCCCAAAACGTTTAGTAATAAGGGGCCTAAAAAGGGGTTTAAAATAAGCATTTTTTAGTTTCTAGACAATAACTTGTGTTCAAGTGAATGGATCTCTCTAAAATTGTATTACAAGGTACCATACCACAAAGGCAAGGCTGTTATTGAGCTTGGTTTGGGGGGAAAGGGGGTGGGGGTGATGAATCATAAGGGGGGCGGGGGTCAAAAAAGGGGTAATTTTTTTTTTCCTTTTTTTGTTGTTTAAAATTTACATTTTAAGTTAGTTATTTTTTATCACGAAGAGAAAGTAGGAATTGAGTTTTGGGGTTAATTGCTCAAACATTTATGAATAAGGGGCCAAATATTGGTCGAAAATAAGGATTTTTTTAGTTTGCAACAAAAACTTGTGTTCAAGTGTATGGATCTCTGTGAAATTGTATTGCAATGTACCATACCACAAATTGAAGGTTGTGATTGAGGTGGGGGATGATGAATCAAAAGGGGGTTGAAAAAATGTGTGGGGGGTAGGATTTTTTTTTCTTCCTTTTTTTTTCTTTAAAATTTTCCATTTAAAGATGGTTGTTTCAGATTTATATATGAAAGAAAATAATAATGATACGGTTATATATCATGAGGAACTGAAATTTAAAATTATGTATATTGGAAATTTAGGTTACATTGGAAAGTAATAATTGGCTTTGGGGGGGGGGGGGGGGGGGGGGTGGGGGTGGGGGGTGGTTATGGCTCTAATGTTTAAGGAATAAGGGGAAAAAAGGTTAAAAAACAAGGGTTTCCATTTTGATAGACAAATAATTGAGTAAAGAACATTATTTAAAAGCAGTGTAAGGTTGGTAATTCAAACTCATTTAAATATCTCATCTACACTGCTTTTAAATTATGTAAATTGGAAATTTGCCAATAACTTTATTGTTAATAAATGCATTGGAAATTTGCCAACAATTTTAGTGTAATAAACTTCATTGGAAATTTGCCAATATAAAATTTTGCTGATGAAGGTTTTTTGTTTACCTTTAGCCTTGACTATGAAGTCATTTTCTATTTTTATAGCCTTATGATGTAGTTGAATTATTTAATACTTTTATGATGTGTTTAAATGGGGTTTTATCATGTTTATGGTTGCAAATTTATTGTTTTAGTATAATAAACTCCATTTAAAATTTGCCAATAAAAAAAAATTTTGTTTATTTTTAGCTATGATTATGATGTCATTTTCTATTTTACTTTTATGGTTGCAAAGAAATTTTTATTTTTAGATATTACTGTTAAATGATGCTGATTAAGGTTTTTGCTATGTTTAGCCATGACTATGATGTCATTTTCTATTTTAATATCTGTTATGATGTATTTAAATGGGCTTTTATGGTTACAAAGGAATTTTATTTTTAGATATTACTATAAAATGTTGCTGATGCTGATTAAGGATTTTGTTTATTTTTAGCCATGACTATGATGTCATTTTCTATTTTAATACCTTTATGATGTAATTTCCATTTTTAGATATTACTGTTAAATGATGCTGATTAAGGGTTTTTTGCTATGTTTAGCCATGACTATGATGTCATTTTCTATTTTAATATCTTTATGATGTATTTAAATGGGCTTTTATGGTTACAAAGGAATTTTATTTTTAGATATTACTTTAAATGTTGCTGATTAAGGATTTTTGTTTATTTTTAGCCATGACTATGATGTCACTTTCTATTTTAATACCTTTATGATGTATTTAAATGGGCTCCCAAGTATTTAGATTTTTGATTATTTATACATGTTACCAAATTGGTCCACATTGAACAAAAACGGTCCAAATTTCAACTTTATTACATTACATCAAACATTGAATTCTACATATTCTTTGATATATTGAAATTAACAAACAATTTAGTTTATGGATATTCCACCATAATAGGTAAATAAAATTTTTTCCAGTTCTTACACCACATTCATCCTGTGTCAGAAACCTATGCTGTGTCAAATATTTAATGACAATCCAAAGTCATAGCTGTATCAAGCTTGAATTTTGTGTCCATACTTGCCCCAACTGCGGTCGTATCAAGCTGCGCCCCAGCGAAGCATTTTATTGTATATAGTCTGAAAACAGATTTACTAAGTATTGCGCAACAGCACAGTGTATTGCACAACAGCAAGAAATCTTCAATTGAATATAAATTCAAATCATATAACCAATTTCAAGTTCTATATACATTTATTCTGTGCCAGAAACCTATAATGTGTCAAATATTTAATTACAATCCAAATTCAGACCTGTATCAAGCTTGAATATTGTGTCCATTTTTGCCCCAACTGTTCAGGGTTGGACCTCTGCGGTCGTATCCAGCTGCGCTCGGCGAAACACTTTTTTTTATGAGGTAAAAGTTCTTGGTAAGTGAAGTCCAATCAAATTGGCATTTTCTTCAGTTATATGGACAGTCTATCTGCATGATCACATTGGTTTTTTATTAGTTTTTTTTTATACAAAGCAGGTGTGACATCTCTCTTTGGGAACAGTTTTATTGCATTGAATTGATAATAACAATTGTAAATTTTTGTTCCAACTGTATTCATGGGGCTCCAGTAGAGTACCCCCTTAGGTTGTAAGGCTGCTATGCCTGAGGTCACCAGGTCACTTATAAACAAATTTATGTAATATTTCTTGGTAAGAGGGTACATTTTTAAAGGTCACAGGTCACAGGTTGTTTAAAATGAGACGTCAGGTCGCGAAGTCCCCCTCCAAAACACCCAAGGTGGCAGGTTAGATTTGACCATGTTGGAGCCACATTCATACTAGTTGTTTGTATGTACAAATTATATAGCATATTTTTCTCATAAGCTAATAAATGTACAAAGTTGTCTTATACTGATTGTTTTTATTTATTATAGGATGACAAAGGAAACAAAAGACCCTTAGATGAGGAACTGTCAGACCATCAGAAAAAACAGAAGGTAAAGTATTCTCTATACTGGTGAGCAAATGATGAACAATCATTATCAGCTTATGTATATAATCAGAAATGGTTAAACAATCAGAAACTTTGGATTACACAAGATTACTAAGATTAAAAATATAAACTTTGATGTATACTTGGTAGAAAATGGAATGTTCAAATAAGTTTTATGAGAATAAAGTATTCATTCATTCAAATATCAGAAACTGTTGTGTCTACCTATAATACAGAAGGTTTGATATGTTTTCTTTCCAATAGATAATGACATTTTACTATTGACTATAACATGATTAGTAACAGTGTATCTGACCCATCATCTGTCCATAATGATTGCTGTTAATGTTCAATAGCATTAAAAAAATTGTGGTAGTGTGCACAACTTTAAAGTGCTTGGAATAAAGGAACTGCTTGGAATAAAGGAACTTTATTACAACTAGATTCCTCTTCTTATATTTTTATTGTTTTTATCGCAGTATGATAACAGTATTACCAAAATTACCAAAAATAATGTTATCAATAGAAAGTATGCAATTCAAGTTAAATTAAAATTATGATCTTTTATTTAGACTGAATCTGGTGAACAGTCCAAAAGACTCCCGAAAAGAAAGATTGCTATGTTAATAGGATATAATGGCAAAGGGTATCATGGGATTCAGATGTAAGTGCAGATAATTTGTAACAGTCGCAATGAGTCTATTTCTTGGAATCAAAAGATAGCAGGTATTACATTGAGGGTTTTCAAAGTTACATGTAATTATAGAATAACTAATTAAAGAATTCAAATATAGTAAAATATTCAACGAGTGACAGACATGACAGAACAACACATTTATTCACGTTAATTATCAGTGTTGTTCAGTCACAAGATGAATATTTTTTTTATATTTGAATTCCTTGATTAGTTATTGTTTTTATTACATTGGCCTTTGGGTTTTTATGGAAATAAAATATAAAATAAAAGGAACTATATCTTTTTCTACGCATTCACAATTCTTTTTGATGCAATGTCATTGACAATGCCTTGACAACACCCATTGTTGAATGACTTCAGAGGAGTGAAATTATCGGGTTTTATTTAACTGGGAAATCACAGTATTGCATTGCAACCAATGTACTAACAATGGATATTAATTTCGAATGTAGAAAGTGATAGAGACAGATGAGAAGGCAAGCAGATCATTGGGTTTAAAGGTCAATTCTGATTTACATTGTAGATAAAAAAGAATGCAAGAAATGTACTATAAAATCAGAGTTTAATTAGTGCATACATTTATACATATATTATAGTAGAATGTTAATAGAAAACTTAAAAAAAACATGTTATCATTATTGTGATGTCAACCCTATCACATTTTTGTACATCAATACATTTTTTCTGAATTTACAAATGTCTGCTCTTGGCTAAATTTATGTCCATTGTAAAGGTATTTTTTTTTACAAAACTTAACAGTCAGGATCATTTTATGCTGTCCCTGTCTAGTTGGATTGTCCATTTTAATGCCTGGGTAACATAGATGTCCTACGACAATGCAAACTCAGTGGCATACTTGGATTGATGAATTAAGAATACATGTAATAAAAAAAAAGAATAAATTAATTCAGTTTTCACGATAAACTTTTAAATCTACAGGCCCAGAGCTCAATTATTAGAAAATATTCTTTAGATTCTGTTGGCCTGTAGATGATTTTTACAGGCCTGAAAGCAATTTTATAATCCTGGGCTGCTGGGCCTTGTGGCTAAGTGTGAAGACTTGAATGATGACCCTTATATAGACAATTAAACTGTATCATTAGATTAGCATATCATTGCAGCCATAATAAACATAACAGTTTAATAGGTATGCATACAGAGGGATATGTAAATGCTTATAGCATGTATAGGGTGTTTGTAAGTGTGGCCTTTCAGGTGTTTGTGAAATATAGATTATAACATGGTATTCTTCATATCAGACTCCTTATCAGTCCTAGGTCATGATATCAGCCTGAGAGCCGACAGGCTCGAGGGTTGATTTTGACCATGGGCTGATAAGGGGTCTGATATGAAAAATGACATGTTATGTTCTTTTTATCATATATTTCACCAGAAAGCAATCATCAACCAGTTGATGTTTTTCTCTGTATATAAAGAAGAGAAGAAGAAGACATACAGACAAGAACTTTTTTAAAACTTTGAAAAAATTTATTTATTATATCATTTGTTTTGCATTTTTTAATAATATATCTTCCTGTTTCCTAATATTTGATTTTTTTATTCTTCTTAGTTAAGGTTTCACTAGAAATGTACCATTGAGGCGTATTTTCTGGAATTTGTAGAATGACGTCGAAATGCCACTTGATAATGTTACAGGAAGGCATGCGATAATAACCGTATGCAGTTGATATAAACCGGAAGCAGTTGATAACGAAAGTCATATCACATGACTAAGACAATTCTTCAAATCTATTGAATAGATATACGTACAAATCAGTTTTATCAAGGGGTACAATTATACCATTACTTTCTATAAGTATATGATAAAGTGGATTATAGAGTGTGAATATTTTTATAAAACCATATAACTTGATATTATTATTTATTCAGTAACAAAGAAGTTAACACAATAGAAAATGAGATATTAAAGGCTTTGGTAAAAACTCAGTGTATACCACAAGAACATGCCGATGTTCCACAGAAGGTAATCTTTAGGCATAATTAAACATGCACAATATAATATTTGTTTAACGCTATATACATTTTTGAATATATGAAGATTGCTGGTATCAGATATTATATCCTATAGTTGTATGGTAAATGAGATTTTGATGTTTCATGTATAACTTTGATTAATTGATGACATCAGAAATCTTGAGTTAAGTAGAGAAAGAGCTATAAACACTAACATCAGTGAAATTATTCACTACCACTTCAATTGTATGGGATGTGCATATTTATTTAAAGGATAAACATGGTAAATATTACTAATAAGTTTAGTTAATTTTATGGATAACAAATAAAGTCCCTTTTGGTTGTCTCCCTTTGAACAGAGAAACAAGGCACAGTTAAACAACCAATTACTCAAAATATAGGGGACAATAAACAACCAATTACTCGAAATATAGAGGACAATAAACAACCAATTACTCAAAATATAAGGGACAATAAACAACCAATTACTCAAAATATAGGGGACAATAAACAACCAATTACTCAAAAATATAGGGGACAATAAACAACCAATTACTCAAAATATAGGGGACAATAAACAACCAATTACTCAAAACATAGGGAACAATAAACAACCAATTACTCAAAACATGGGGAACAATAAACAACCAATTACTCAAAATATAGGGGACAATAAACAACCAATTACTCAAAATATAGGGGACAATAAACAACCAATTACTCAAAACATAGCTGACAAAACAAATTTAAATAGTAAATTTTGAAACTTCAATACCGAACTAGATCTTTTTATGTTCAAGCTGATCAGGATTAACATTATTATGTTCATCATGTTTATGTACCAAAACAACTAGTGTCATTTAAAAAAAAACCTCAACATTTTCTTTTATTTAAAAAAAGAAACTACATGTTAGAACTTAGACAAGACAATTTTAATATTAGAATCAAATTAAACTGAATTTATATAACATAAAAAGCAATGTGCTGATAGTCTAGTGTTAAAAAAGAACATATAAAAATAATGAGATGTTGTTTAATTGCTAATGAGACAACAATCCATTAAAGACCTAACAAAAGACAACATGAAAGATGTGAACAATTACAGGACACTGTATAGCCAATGAACAATAGTAAACTATAAAAGGCAAGGTGATGACCTAATTTGAAACAATTCAATTGAAAAAAACAAAAAAGTGTGATTTAAACTACAACAAAAAATAAAAAAACAATTAAAACAGACGGCAACCGACGACAAACACCATGGCCCCTGGATCACAGGCTCTAGGTTTGGGACAGTCAAATTAAGAATGTGGTGGGGTTAAACATGCTTTTGCAAGCACAACCCTCCCCTAAACTTGGATAGTGGTGTCACACCTCAACATAAGAACACATTTTAAACATCAGTTGTAAAGGCTTCAACTCATCAGATTGGCACTAAGCATATAAAAATATGACAAAAAGACAAATGACACAAAGAACCAATCACAGTTACTGAAAGCAAGTTCAAACTCAATGTCAACTAATAAATAAACCTTTATATGTTTTAGATGAGTTTCCAACGAGCATGTAGAACAGACAAAGGTGTTTCAGCAGCCATGAATCTGTTGTCATTGAAGATAAGTATTAATCACAAACTATATACTAAGGGTACACAAAGAGGTGGCATAATTTCTGTGTGGTGTTCCATGTCTTAAGGAGTAGACATACACCTTCTCTTATAAACATGAGCTAGCCAAACTTGTCTGTAGATGATAATCAGTTTACTCCATAGAGAGTAAATGGAGAATTTAATGTATGCAATTATCTCTCAAATCTTCTACAACCAGTAATAATACAGAAATAATGATGTGCTTTCTTTTCATATTGTATCATAATTTTATCATCAAGATTGAATTGCAAGTTCTGATTATTGCTATATTCATCATTCTGTTGCATTTATTTGCAATAATATGAACATTGCATGAATTTCTGATGTTACAATATTCATATAGACATATGGACATGCTCTCTCAGTCAGTATAACTTATAGTAATTTTGCATTTTAAGTTTTACCCTTGTCCGTCTGTACGTACGTATGTACATACATCCCAAAGTTGGTTTCTGTTCTCTAACTTTAGTTTGCCTTTACCAAATGTTATGAAACTTAAACACAATGCTTATTACCACAAAACACAGATCAAGTTTGAATTTTGGTGGCGTCACTTTAACCATTCTAGAGTTATGCCCCTTTACAAATGGAAAATTGCTGAATTTTTCGTTTCCGTTCTCTAAATTTAGTTTGCCTCAACCAAATGTTATGAAACTTATACACAATGCTTATTACCACAATTCACAGATCAAGTTTGAATTTTGATGGTGCCACTTTAACCGTTCTAGAGTTATGCCACTTAACAAATGGAAAAATTGCTGAATTTTTTGTTTCCGTTCTCTAACTTTAGTTTGCCTTTACCAAATGTTATGAAACTTATACACAATGCTTATAACCACATAATACAGATCAAGTTTGAATTTTGGGGGCGTCACTTTTACTGTTCTAGAGTTATGCCCCTTTACAAATGGCAAAATTGCTGAATTTTTAGTTTCTGTTCTCTAACTTCAGTTTGTCTCAACCAAATTTTATGAAACTTATACACAATACTTATTACCACAAAACTCAGATCAAGTACAAATTTGGGTTGCATCACTTTTACCATTCTTCAGAATTGTCCCTTTATAACTTTATATGATATGCTAGCGGGGGCATCATCTGTGTCCCATGGACACATTCCCCATTTATGTTGAATACTTTAATTCTTGGTAACCCATGAAATCCAAAACAAAAAATAAGGAATTCACAATTTTTATTCTGGTAAAACTGATATTTAGATTTTATACACATACAGGAGTTGAAATAGAAATGTTGACATGAGCCAAGTTAGATGTTTGATTGGGAAATGACTCTGGTGAATGACTTTGGTTGTACGTTATATTGGACAGTAAACTAATGAAATCAGCTGTTTTTGACTGTTTTGCACTCTTACAAATGTTAGATTAAAATAATATGGTTGATATGCAATCTTTCAAATGCCATTGTTAATATTACAGTGAGTTAAGCTTTATAAATCTTATTTCATATCAAATGATAAAGTTTATTTCAAGGAAAAGTCAAGTACTTGCTGTTTAATTGGATATTATTGTTTTATTACGTGATAATAGATATAGAGAATTTATTGGAGAAGATCAACAGTCATTTACCTGAGCAGATTCGAGTATTTGGTATGTATGATAATATAACTAATAACTTACCTTAAATCTAATGTCATTTGTTTTGTATATGGTCAAATCATATGTTTTTGTACATCATATGAATTCGTACTATGCATGCTTTTTTAATGGAAATTGTGACGTCACAATGCATTCTTAATAGCACGAAAACCAATGAGACAAGGATAAGTTTAATGAATTTGATAATTCATTATCAACATTACATTTGAACTTTCAAAAGTTGTCTAACCTGTTGATACTTATAATTCACAGAAACTTCTTGGTTACTTGATCTTAAAAATTGGAAAAGAATGTCACAGTGACCTATTTTTGCTTTCATAGATATTTATTCTCTGAAAAATTTCTCATCTCAGATTCTACACTATGTAATACTCTAGAAATGACGATAGACAGACAGTGAATGAATAATTCACTAAAATAAGGTTGATGCTGAGATTCTAGCCTTGTCACCAAGGTTAAGTCATTATATAGATAAGGGTTAAATAAATGATGTTTTCTTAAGCAAACATCCAGTGTAAAAAACAGCTCTAAAATAACATCGAAATACTGATTATGGAATCAATGGATTATGAACAAATATGCAGGTACAAATGTTTGAACAATATGATTACAGGATATAGAAGAACTACTGGTGGATTTGACAGTAAGAATTACTGTGATAACCGTACATACATGTACATCTGTCCTACATATGCCTTTGCTCCACTAGAAAATGTAAGTTTAATGGTACTAATGTAGAAGGTACATAACGTATGTGTACATCTGTCTAAAATGTGTATATGATCATAAATTATAAGAAACAAGAATGTGTCCATAGTACATGGATGCCCCACTCGCACTATCATTTTCTGTGTTTAGTGGACCGTGAAATTGGGGTCAAAACTCAATTGGCATTAACATTAGTAAGATCATATCATAGGGAAAATGTGTTTTAAGTTTCAAGTTGATTGGACTTCAACTTCATCAAAAACTACCTTGACCAAAAACTGTAACCTGAAGCGGGACAGAAGGATGGACAGACGAACAGAGGGACCAACGGACGCACAGCCGGAAAAACAGTAATCTCTTGTCTTATGGTCCTGATCTAAGCAACTGAAAATCATAGAGGAATGATCTTATGTTGGTAGATGCATCATTTTAAGTCACAAAGGTCCACACTAAGATTAGTTCACTATGACCCTCATTTTATGCATGAATGGCTATGGTTAAATTTTGTCTTATGTTCCAGATCTAAGAAACCACAAATCATACAGAAATGATCTTTTTTTAGAATTTTAGTAGACGCTTCATGTTTAGTGATAAAGGTCCACACTAAAAAAAAGTCGTTTGACCTTTGTTAATGATTTAGATAATAAAAATAAAAGGAAAACAGCTGCCATTTAGGTTGGCTCAATTTCTTTTTTTTAATTTTTTAATAAACTAATAATTGTCAGGAAAATATGAACTAGAGTATGACAAAACATTCAAATAATTTTTAGACATAACAAACCCTTTTAACAATGATGCTGTTTTAGAATACATTAATAACCCTACTAAAATATAAGTATAAAATACTATTTCTATTATAGATTGTTACTGATGAATACAGAATGACTGGTAAGTTGATTCTATAGCTGATACTGAAATAATTATGAAATACAAAGAAAGACAAACATTAAAATGACTTCAACCCAGCAAAAAATAGTTTACAAAAATAATAATCAATGAATAGGAGTCTACATTTAGTAGACATAAAGGTTGAGATTTTGGATACATTTAATTTTCAGTGACCATTGTACACTTTCATCATATAGAGAGCTTGAGAAGCCCCCTGAAAGTATAATACAAAGGTTAATTAAAGAAAAATAGGTTTTTTTTCGAAAATGAGTTCTGCGACTTATTTATATTTTTGATAATTTCAATCAGAATAATATGGATAACAACATTTTATAGAAAGAAGAAAATAGATCTTGGGATAAAGCTTTTGGATAAGATTTGTTGTTTGGTTCCTTTTTCACTATTAACTTATACCTGAAATGTCCTTATTCAAATTAAAGAAATGAGTTTCCAGGAGGCAAAAAGTGCTTCAAGGACAGTTCAACTATAAATACAAGTAGAAAAAAATACCATTGAGCACATCTTGTGAGAGATAGAGTAAATATGATTCACAGAACTCCCTCGAATTCACCACTACTGAACTAATTGGTGTGATTTTATGATTTATGTAGACTGTTTACTTTTATTACAGATGACGTTGTAGAACATGTCAACAAAATGTTAGCCAGATTTATAGGAACGCACAGATTTCACAACTATACTTCTAAAATGTAAGATATAAAAATGTTACTTTAACAATGGAACGAACTAGAAAGAACAGTTATAAAGTGTTTTATATGCCCAAATGAGGGGCATTATGTTTTTCGATCTGTGCGTCCGTTCGTCCGTTCCGTCTGTCCGTCTGTCCATCCATCCATCCGTCCGTCTGTCTGTCACGCTTTAGGTTAAAGTTTTGGTCAAGGTAGTTTTTGATGAAGTTGAAGTCCAATCAACTTGAAACTTAGTACACATGTTCCCTATGATATGATCTTTCTAATTTTAATGCCAAATTAGAGTTTTGACCCCAATTTCACGGTCCACTGAACATAAAAAATGATAGTGCGAGTGGGGCATCCGTGTACTATGGACACATTCTTGTTTATATCTACAACAAATCTGATTTAAACAAACTCTGAAGAAATGGAAACTATACAAAAATAAAGAAGAAAAAAAGTTTCTCCTCTAATCTCATTAATATTCACAACCTGCATCATGGTTCAAGTAACAAACAAAAAATGGGTTCTTATATCATTCTTTTATATTTCATGTAGAGATATAACAAAAGAAAAAAAAAACAGATCCTTATCAATCTTATAATGTCCACAGATGTACATGAGGCAAATTATTATTAAAGATTTTTATGCACATATTGCATTTTGTCATCAATAACACCATCTGATGATTCTTGCATATTTTCATAGAAAATATAAAGTTGTATTGAAATTTTATTTTGCATTTGTTTGTAAATGTTTGGATTGTCTCTCTTGCATTGATTTTTACAGTGGTTTGTATAATTTTTAAGGAAGAGGTATTTTACACAAAAAGCTAATGTTAATAGGCTTTTAGATACTACTGGTACATGAATTTTAGATAGAATGGTTGTTTATAAGTTGTTGTTTGGTTTAGATAGGGGTTACTGAAAAAGATTTTTATGAGTTTAGTGAAACAATTAATGGGATAACAAAAGTATTAATTTCTTTAAGATATACACAATTTGAATGCTTGTATTTATTTTGCATAAAATTCAGTTTTACTAAATATTTTTTATTGTCATAGTATTTAAGATAAGAAGGAATGTTTATACCAATGTAATCTCCTGTAACAGTAGATAATATTGTTAGCAAGGGAAAAGTGCTGGTATTGTCGTTCTTCATACTGACAGCTGTTTATAAAGGCCATTATGAATAACTTTCAAACTGTTTAATGAATATATGTATGATTTTATTATGTTTTTTTTTAACATTTTACTTTACAGAGATGCCAAAGAAGCACGTGCCAAACGATATATCATATCATTCACGGTAAGTCTATATTGATTGAACTGTACCTGATCTCCAGTTATTTTTCATAAGGATTATAATATCTTTCGAGCTTTAAACTCATCCAATGTGACTGCAAATCTGTTTAATTTGTTGTACAATAACTGCTGCATAATAAATTATTACTTATTGGAAATGATGTTTACTTTGGATTTATAATTATTTGTGGCACTCCAATTGTCATGGATTTCATGGGTACAGGTGAATCACTGATTTAAATGTTTAATGAAGTGAAAATTTCCTTGTTGCTTGTATACAGACTTTGGCATACACAAAATTAGATATCTATGATAATACAATTTTTTCTCAATCCACGAAAAATGGTACTCACGAAAATAGATGTCATGAATCCACAGTATATCAGTTGTAAGAAATTATACCGTTATTTTTCAGTGTGGTAAACCCTTCATCAGAGATGGCTGTGAGTTTTGTGTAATTACTGTCAGAGGTCAAAGTTTTATGTTACATCATATACGTAAAATGATTGGTAAGTTGTGTAAAAGCTGTTAAATTTAAACATGTATGACACCCAAGGATAGCACATTATATTTATAAATAGATGCAAAAAAGATTTTTTTTAAAATGATATATAGCATAATGTTATATGTCAGTGAAATGCTTTGTAGGTTCTCCATTGTTTAGATAAATACATATTCTATCACATCACATGATTTGTCTTGCCTATAGCGGAAGGTGATTTTCCATATTTGGTCAGTATAAAGAAAGTTTACTTATGGCTTTATTTGATATTTTGATAAGTTTTTTCTTAAGTTTTTGTTTCCCAGTTTCTATAAATGTATGAGACCCTGACTTCTTAATCCATTGACTTTGAGATTTTTTACATATACAGATTGCATTTTTATGATAGACTTATTGAATGATTGATTGTTGTTTAACATCCAGTGACAATTATTATTTTATCTTTCTGAAAATGCATGCAATCTTTGCTACTATACATCCAAAAATGCATGGTCAACTGTTATAAAACCAATTTAAGCACATTTGCTTTAATTCATTTGATTGGCTGTATTTAATTACAGGTATAACAATAGCAATAGTGCGAGGTAACTGTGGAGAAGATGTTATAGACAAGTCTTGGAAACCAGAACGGGTTTGTATTTCTATTGTATAAATTTATAATGTTCAAATTAGATTAAGTAAACTTGTTTTAACACAGTAGAAATATGTCTGTTCAATCAAATGTATCGGCTATAGGAATTTCTTAAGAAGTCTTTATGTTCTTTGAGCTTGCTTTAATTTGGTTTTCTTTTATAAGTGAATAGAAATATTGTTTTACATAATTATTTGATTATTGAGCTAGAGTCGAAAGTCATGGAAGAGAGACATAGTGATCCTATGTTGTCGCCAAGATTTAAGTTCAATCTGTGGTTGAAGTTTTTTTTAGACACCAATAACTTTGTCAAAACTTAATGGGATCATATGAAGCAATTTTACATCTAAAGACAGTATCCAGAGCAAAATTTGGAAATATTTATTTTCGTTTTTTAGTGTTTTAATTTGGATTAATGGGATTTAACGGGATTATCTTTTTACATTTAGAATACAGTCTAATTTTAAAGTTTTTCCATTAATAACTTTGTCAAACTTGTAGAAAATTTTACAAAACTCAGACAGATGTTTCTCCATGATTAAGAAAAAGCATCTAAAGAAAAAAAAAGTGATTTATTGTTTTATTTTTCTGTATATTACTGATGAATGAATAGTTTTTGGCAGTCAACATTACACTTTTACACTGACAGCAGTTACCAATTTTCTATATGATGGATCTTTTGTCTACTTTTAAATTTGATATTTGGCAAAAAAAAGTTTGGACAGTATTTGCTCTTGCCAAAAAATAGCCCATGTGTGCTGGTGTTGCATTAAACAGATGTCAACAAAACAAAACAGAAAAGCTTTAACATTTCACCTTTTCACTTAAGTATAACTATAGAAATCTGACATAAAATATTGATAAACTTTTTTTACAGGTAGATATTCCAAAGGCTCCAGGACAGGGTCTTTGTCTAGAACAGGTAATTATATTACAATGCCACAAATCACTCGTCTTCGTGTTAAATTTATGATTAAACTTGAGAACACGATACTGGAGAATATGAAATGATCAGTTTTCTACTTCAGTGTATGAATGTAAGACTGATTCAACATCATGTTGGATGCTTGCTGCACTCACCTCTCAGAATATATGCAGTAATTGTTTACTTGTGAAGTCTATGGATTATTGTAGCTTCTGAACGTAGTAGAGTACTGTTGTATACCTCACATCTTCATTACGTAATATTAGATTTTTCATGGACCTGAAATTTGTTATAAGTTATTGCACTGTAATCCCATGCCAGTTGATGTATGCTTGACCTGTCCACAACTTGGACTGGGTTGTGCCAATGTTAATATACATTTCATGATATATACATTTTAAAGCTTATTAAATCTGTTGTATTTGTTAATGATTCAATAAACATTTAAATTTTAGTTGACATTTAATGATCAATTTTTTTTTGGCACCCAGTCTTGGGTTTACACTGTTTGGAGTTCTTTTGGATTCTCGCTGATTTTACTACATGTTTGTTACTTTATATTTGGACTAATGATTTAGGTGTCCTACCTTCATACAAGACACAAAATCTCAGTTGATTCAATAATGACAGGTGCATCTTTGTATAAGTTAAGCATAATTAAGATTTTAACCAAATGAAATGAATTTGTTGATCAATAAACAGTAATGTAAGTAATTGTTTTCTCTTTCAGCCACATTATGATAATTACAATAAGAAGTATGGTACTGATGGAATACATGCACCATTAGACTGGGTAGAAGAGCAGGCAAGTTTTTATTTTAATCTTTACATGCACCATTAGACTGGGTAGAAGAGCCGGCTAGTTTTTATTTTAATCTTTACATGCACCATTAGACTGGATAGAAGAGCAGGCACAATTTTATTTTAATATTTGGCTCCGTGTGAAGGCCGTACTTTGACCTATAATGGTTTACTTTTCAAATTGTAACTTGGATGGACAGTTGTCTCATTGGCACTCATACCACATCTTCTTATATCTATATACTCTCTTTCCTGAATGGGCTTTTCAAATTTTTGTTTTTGTTTACATAATATCTACAATAGAAAAAAAATCCTGAGTGTTTCACAATCCAGCACATGGCATTGGGTGATTGATTGTTTGTTGCTTGCAATTATTTCATGCTATTCCAAACAATAAAAAATTTGCAATTAATACAAAGATAGGTTCTACAAGATAGACCAACCTGGTATAGGGGTAGGAGATTTATAATGCCACTGTAAATGAGGGTATGTTGGATAGAAGGCAGAAATTAATTCTTACAACAGGCCACCTACGAACCCATCAAAGAGTTGTTACAAGGGTTCTTTAACATGCAAAGAGCATGGCCCTCTCACTAGAATCAGATTTAACATCCCAGGGCATTGAATATGAGCATCCTAACTTAGGTTCTCCATATAAGATTGCATTGCATTTTACAAAATATAGTAATAATAAATTAGATTTTTTGTAATATATAAATGACATTTGCTTTTATTTCACAGGATGAAATTAATAAGTTTAAGGAAGAGTATATCTATTCTGATATTATGAAGACAGAGAAAGATGAAAAGATGTATCCTTATTTATGATGGTAATCTCGCACAAGTTAATGACAATTTTCTATAAATAGTATGTCCATATACCCCTGAAAATTTTATGGAAATAAAAAATAATTAGGTGTCAGTTAGTTTTGGAAAGATTTGTCCTTTCAAGAGATGTAGATACCCTGAACATTTTGCAACAACAGCTCACCATGGTTATTTTGCAAGGTTGATGCTATTTATAGATATGTGATAGATTTAAATATCACTTACTTGTCACACTGCCACTTTCATGAAATTGTATGTGAGAATGGCATATTTAACACTGCTACATTCTGTGTGTGGCTATCACAAGTCGGGAGCCTGTAATTCAGTGATATCAGATGCCGTCTACAATATTTGTTTTTCATTGTTGTTTTTTGTACATAAATCATGCTGTTGGTTTACTCAATTAAATTATTTTAAATTTTGTCATGTCCGGGCCTTTTATAGCTTACTATACATTCACTGTTCATTCTTGAAGGCTGTGACCTATAGTTGCTTACATCCATGTGGTTTGATCTCTTATGGATAGTTGTCTAATGGGCAATCATACCACATCTCATTATTTTAAATGGAAAGAGATAAAGAATTAATAAAACTCACAAAGTCATGTACACTATAGATAATACTAAAAGGAAATTCGGATATTATATTTGACCTTGACTGAGTAAGAATGATGGAATGGCTTGGTACATTACAACATCACGTGTTTGATTTTGTCAATGATAAAGATGATAGAGACAGTAGATTTGACAAAAAACGCTTCTTGGAAAAATGCAAGCGAGACGTGAGTAGATTTACCATTAATTTTGAAGTATCTTTACAACATGAAACTGTTGAAGGCATATTATTTGACCTTTACTTTTTAAGTCATATTCAATATTTAACCTTGACTAAATTAGTATGATGGAATGGCTTGGTAACTTACAACATCATGTGTTTGATGTTGTTGATGACAAAGAAGAAAGAGCCAGTAGATACGCCAAACAACATTATTTGAAAAAATGCAAGCAAGATGTGAGTAAATCGTAGTCTTATGAACACTGGTAGTGAAGCAAGTGATGTACTTGTCTTTGTTGTAACCAGGTTTATCTGAGTCTAACTGTCTATATTTATACCTTATTATTTCTAGATAGGCAGTTTGAATATCATATAGTCTAATAATTCTAATCACTCAGATTTGTATATCTCTCACAGTAACAACTGAAAAAAGATTGGATACAAAAGCAATAATTTTTGGTAATTCTCTAAAAATTGAGAAGACATTTTGTAAGGCAAATATAAGAATTTTATTAAAATTTTTGATTTATTTGTTAAGAAACGACTTTTATTAACAATACTTTTAAAACACATTTTTTTATGTTTATTTCAGCCTAATATTGTAATAACACCAGACACAGGCTTCAAATTAAAAAGCAAAACGTCAAATGAGAGTGCAGATTCTAACAATTCTGAAAATGCTGAGGCCAAGGAAGATAACTCAGATATACAATTAGACTCTGAAGTCAAAATAAAATCTGAATCTGAAGTCAAAATAAAATCTGAATCTGAAGTGGAAATTAAATCAGAAATCAAAGAAGATAAAGACTTGACCAAGGAAAATGAAGTAGAAGCAGACCAAGATAGTAAACCTGTCAAAGTCCAATCATAGCATTAAATGTACATCAAAATTAGGTTTTATATTGTTCAAGCCATTTGATTTATTTCAAGTGTATTCTGATTTATTTCAAGTATATTCACAAAGTATGAAAGAGATACAGAGGATGTTTAAACATAATTCTATTCCAGACAAAAAGTCTTATAATTTGGAAAGAGGAAAATGTTTTTAAAATTCAATGGTCTTATTGAGGACTGAAACACTGAATGTCCTTTAATAGCCTATATATGAATGCAAGGAGATATGAGGTATACATTAATGAGGCAGCAACCCAACAACTTGATAATTAAAAGACATCCAGAGTTATAAAACACCAAGTGTCTAAAACTTAAAAACTGACCATGCTCATAATATGATCAATATAGATTATAACATGGCATTTTTCATATCAGACCCCTTATCAGCCCGAGAGCGGACAGGCTCGAGGGACGATTTTGACCATGGGCTGATAAGGGGTCTGATATGAAAAATGACATGTTATGTTCTTTTTATCATATACTTCAGCAGAGGACATACAGACAAGAACTATTTTTAAAACTTTGAAAAATGCATTTATTGTATTATTTTTTTTGCATTTTTAATAATATATTTTCCTGATTCCTTCAAATTTAATGAATAAACATATATACAAATTAGTTTTATCATGGGGTACAATTATACCATTATTTTCTATAAGTATATGATAAAATGTTAAGATGAGTCATTCCAGTTTTCAAGGGAGATAACTGATTAATATGATGAATGTTGATAGGAGTCATTACAGTTTTCAGGGGAGATAATTGATTAATATGATAAATGTTAAGAGGAGTGATTGCAGTTTTCAAGGGAGATAACTATTAACACAATATTGAACATTCAATGTCTGTTGTTACTAATTATGTTTGAGGATGTTGTATTACTTGAATCTTTTCACAGTACATGTACTCCAAAAATTGAAAAAAATAAAAAAAATATCCAGAATAACCTATCAAATGAGTTCCAAAAGAAATATTTTGCTATAAAATTAGTTGTTAGGCACTACCAAGAGTTTGTGTGTCACTTAAGAAAGAGTAGTTTACTCTGGACATAACAATGTTTGTCAGCTACTAATAAAAGGATTATTGTTTACCCTGGCCGCTACAAATAGTAGCAGTTACTCAAGAAAGGTTGGTTGTTTACCATTGGGATATAATGTCTGTTACTCAAAAAAGGTTGGTTGTTTACCATGGGGATATAATGTCTGTTACTCAAAAAAGGTTGGTTGTTTACCATGGGGATATAATGTCAGTTACTCAAAAAAGGTTGGTTGTTTACCATGGGGATATAATGTCTGTTACTCAAAAAAGGTTGGTTGTTTACCATGGGGATATAATGTCTGTTACTAAAAAAAGGTAGGTTGTTTACCATGGGGATATAATGTCTGTAACTCAAAAAAGGTTGGTTGTTTACCATGGGGATATAATGTCAGTTACTCAAAAAAGGTTGGTTGTTTACCATGGGGATATAATGTCAGTTACTCAAAAAAGGATTATTGTTTACCCTGAGCTCTACAGAGTTTGGCAGTTACTTGAGAAAAGTTGTTATTTACCCTGGGCACTACAATATTTTTCAGTTACTCAAAGGTTAGTTGTTTACCTGGGCACTACAGTGTTTGTCAGTTACTCAAAAAAGGTTAATTGTTTATCCTGGGCATTACAAAGAAATAGCAGTAACTCAAAGGTTAGTTGTTTATCCTGGACAATACAAAGATTGGCAGTAACTCAAATGTTAGTTGTTTACTCTGGACAATACAAAGAGTGGCAGTTACTCAAAGGTTTGTTGTTTACTCTGGACAATACAAAGATTGACAGTTACTCAAAGGTTAGTAGTTTACTCTTGACAATACAAAGATTGACAGTTACTCAAAAGTTAGTTGTTTATTCTGGACAATACAAAGAGTGGCAGATAATCAAGAAAGGTAATTTGTTTACCCTGGGTACTACAGTGTTTGTCAGTTACTCAAAAAAGGTTAATTGTTTACCCTGGTCACTACAAAAATTAGCAGTTACTCTAAGGTTAGTTGTTTATCCTGGACAATACAAAGATTGGCAGTTACTCAAAGGCTAGTTGTTTACTCTGGACAATACAAAGAGTGGCAATAACTCAAGATATTTGTTTACCCTGGGTACTAAAGTGTTTTGTCAGTTACTCACTGTATGTCAATTTGTTGACCATTGGAATTATTTGGTTACTTACTGAAGGTAGTTTGTTGATGAGGCACTACACACAGTTAAGTCAGTTACTCCAGAAAGGTCAGTTGTTTACCCTTGGCACTAAAAAGAGTTTGTCAGTTACTCAAAAAAGTTCAGTTGTCCCTAGGCACTATGGTTATTCCCTATTCAATATCTTAAATCGGTAAATAAGTTCTATTTTAAAGGAAATTTCTTTATATGGTAACAGCAACAGCATTGAACTTTGACATATTGCCCTAACAATCAATAGTCTCTTCCTCTTCCCTATATCTTCCATTTTTGTCTCGCCTGCAGTGTGAACTATTTGTATAAAGCTTAATATTTCAGAAGGTAGAAGACCTAGATGCTTCATACCTTATATGCAGATACCTTGTGTTACAAAGTTTCCGTCCGTCATATGTCCATTGTCCTTGACCTCATTTTCATGGTTCAGAGACTGCATGAAAAAAAATTATAGTTTTCTTGCCATGCGAAATTCTCACTTATTATGAGTAATAGGATAACTGTATATGGTATATGGTTTCTTGCAACGTCCACATGTCCACATGTCCGTCTGAATGAGTTCAATTGACCTCAACCTCATCTCATGGATCAGTGATCAAGGTTAAAGTTACATGATTAAGTCCGTTTCTCAGATACAATAAGTAGTAGGTCAACTACATGTTGTGTATGGAATGATTGTAATGGGTACATGTCAGTCAGGCAGGTTTCATCTGACCTTGACCTCATTTTCATGGTGCATTGGTCAATGTTAAGTTTTTGTGTTTTGTTCTGTTTTTCAAGTACTATACACAATAGGTCAAACATATTTGGTGTATGGAATGATTGTAAGGTGCCCATGATTGTCTGGCAGGTAACATCCAACCTTGACCTCATTTTCATGGTTCATTGGTCAATTTTAAGTTTTTGTGTCTTTGTCTGTTTTTCAAATACTATAAGCAGTTGGTCAACTATATTTGGTTTATGGAATGATTGCAAGATGTACATGACTGTCTGGCAGGCATAATCTGACTTGGACCTCAATTTCATGGTTCATTGGTCAATATCAAATTTTTGTGTTTTTGTCTATTTTTCAATTACGATAAACAGTAGGTCAATTATACTAGTGTATGGAATAATTGTAAGGTGTATACATGTCTGTTTGACAGGATTTATCTGACCTTGACCTCATTGTCATGGATATTTAAAAACGTTAAGGTTATGTGATACTTGTAGTAAAACCTTTATCTTTAAAGACTTTCAACATAAAATCAATGGTCAGTATAAGTTTTAACCCAATTGAGGAAAAGAAACTCAAAATTTCATCTGGAAAGTCTATGTTTACAAATTTGTTTATTTTAAGTACAATAAAATTGAGAATGAAAATGGGGAATGTGTCAAAGAGACAACAACCCGACCATAGAGCAGACAACAGCCGAAGGCCACCAATGGGTCTTAAATGCAGCGAGAAACCCCCGAACCCGTAGGTGTCCTTCAGCTGGCCCCTAAACAAATATGTATACTAGTTCAGTGATAATGGACGTACTTCAACTTGGAACTTTGACCTATTGTCCCTACAACCAATAGGATACTTCCCTTCACTTACATCTTCAATCGGTATAAGATGACTTGAATTAAGCATGGGAAACCCAAGATCTCAATATTAGAGCATTTGTTCAAGACACTAAGACAGGCAGAGAATGTATTGACTATATGCTCCCAATTTTTGTTTCACAAGGAACATAAAAAGATGAAAAATAGTCAATATAACACTACACAGAAAACTTAAGATTGATAAACAAGAACCCCAACAGAAACCAGTTGGTGATCTAATGTGCTTTGGAAGAGTAATTAGGTCCTGCTTTATTAGTGGTACCTGTTGCATAGCTAATGACAAGTAAAAACATACAAAGTCTTCTACAAATTATGACATTGTTGGTACATATACTTGTGTTTTGGAAGTCTTTTTCACTTTCATCAAAGTTCTTTTACTGTATGGCAATGTAATACTCAACTTAAGAATGTGATCTTGCTGGTTTGATTGTACTTGGATTGATTCACAGTTGCTGTATAAGAGACAGAATAATGTGATGGACAGGTAATATTACAGTTTGAGTGACCAATGAAGATTTAAGGTTTTCTCTTTTGTTGACATCTACAGGTTATTTTTCATGTTGTTAAGTTGCTGCCCTAACTATCAACCACTCATCTCCTTTTAGTCATACTAATTCAAAAACAAAAACCTACCCACTCGATCATGAAAATCAGAACTAGGTCATATGACATATGTCAGTTCCACATTCTTCACAAATCCACATATCTAGGCCATATGACATGTGTCAGTTACACCTTCACAAATCCACATATCTAGGCCATATGACATGTGTCAGTTACACCTTCACAAATCCACATATCTAGGCCCTATGACGTGTCAGTTACGCCTTCTTCACAAATCCACATATCTAGGCCATATGACGTGTCAGTAACATTTACAAATCCACATATCTAGGCCATACGACGTGTCAGTGACGCCGTCTTCACAAATCCACATATCTAGGCCATATGACATGTTTCAGTAACATTCTTCACAAATCCACATATCTAGGCCATATGACATATGTCAGTAACATTCTTCACAAATCCTCATATCAAATATTGTTTATCTGTCATTTGCAACACAGAAAAATTGGAATAAATGTTATGCAGAAAAGACAATGCATCAAGTAATCCCATTTTTGTTTTATTCTTTTGAAAGAATTTATCACTTGCTATCTTCAGATATTATATGTTCACATTCATTGAATGTGTACCGATTGATATTTTAGTCTTGTAGATTTTTTTTATTAGTTGTTATAGGCTTTGAACTAGCTTTCAGTAACTACAAGTACTCTCAGATTGCTACTTTTTGTCTCAAGTCCTTTAATTAGTTTTTACGTGTGTGCTTTGTGTCGATCTGATGAGTCGAGCCTTTTTCAACCAATTTTATTAGTTTGTTCTTATATTTTGCTGTTACACCATTGTCCCAGGTTAGGGGATGGTTGGGTGCCAGCAAACATGTTTAACCCACCACATTCTTTATGTTCCTGTCCCCAAGTCAGGAACCTGTAGTTCAGTGGTTGTCGTTGGTTCATGTCTTTATGTGCCTGTCCCAAGTCAGGAGGCTGTAGTTCAGTGGTTGTTGTTGGTTTCTGTATATTGTATTATATTGTTTTTTTACATAAATCAGATCATAAGAAATCTTCTTAGAATTATTTTACACTTGTCAAATTGGCCTTTTATAGCCTGCTCTGCGGTATGGATTTTGCTTATTGTTGAAGGCTGCACAATGACGGTATTGACCTATAGTTGTTAACTTTTATGTCATTTGGTCTCTTGTGGAAAGTTATCTCATTGGCATTCATACCACATCTTATTTTTCTATTTTATCGTTAAATGTTGTAGGACAAAATTTCTGACCTCATTTTTCATCGGCAGTCCTAATTTTCTGCCTTTTAATCCTGGTTTGCCTTCATTGCCAAGCCTACCTTTTGTATTAATTGGTAACTAATTCATGTTCTGGTTATGCATGAAATATTTGCCACTGGATGTTAAAACTAGCAATGATCAACCAAACTGTCCTTAAGTTTTCATTTTGTATACATAAGATTTAGTTTTCTACTAAATTTTGAACAACCTTTAGGTAAACAAAATAAAATTACTTATAATTATAATTTTGGAAACAGCATAATACAATGTATAAGCTATTTTTACAAAAACAAAACTATCTATTTGTTCAATCCTGTCAGAACCAGTGTGTGTCGTTCCTTAATGAAGTATGGTACAACAACTGAGGAATATTGATGAAGACAGAAACATTGGATTTCAATTTTTATTACAATAACTATCACAGGCGTTATTATATAAATAGCATGATAGTAAACTCAATAAATTATAACAACTATAACTGATTTCACATTAAATTTCTTTTTTGTTAATATGAAATTCAGTGGACTTTACAAGAAAAGGTTATCTAGGCATCTTCATAGACACTTTCTTTCTGTTGATGGATCTAGAACATATTTTACAAAATAAGTCTGTAAAAAAAAATTATTGGTGTGGTGGTTTTTCTGGAAAACCACCCACCCCTTTTAGAAAAAAAAATTCATACCAACAATGGCCATTTAGGATTGGGTTCAGGAGTCAATTTCAAAAACAACAAGAACTTGAAAGTGTTGTTGTACTAAGCATACCCCATCTCACTTAATAAGTCTTCACTGTTAAGCTGCTAACCAAATATGAAGTCATTCGTTTGATCTATTCAGTTATTCCTAAGAAATCTGTAGCGGAAATAATTGATTTTATTCAACATATTGACAAAGTATTCAAACAGGAAGTAGGTGTCTGACAGACCTGAAAGGCATTCACACATTACAACTCATCACTGTTAACCTGCTAACCAAATATTAAGTTATTGTGTTCATAAGTTCTAGAAAAAAGTGTGACAACATTATTTGTTGGATGAACAAAAGGATGAAGAGACAAATTGACGGACAGAGGGGGTGATTTCAATATAGAGCTGAAATATAATTTAGCATACTTGCTACAAATACACAGAAATTCTTAGGTATAATCAAGTTTCTTCCTTATGCATAAATCATGAGTTAGAACACGGCCAATGATAGACATACACTTTATGTATGATACTGTGTATATCAGTCAAATTACAAAATTACTTTTTGATCTGAAAGGAATTTAAAGAGAGCAACTCTGAAGAAAAACTCATCAACAAACATATTTAATTGAAAAAAATATAAACTAGGACTTTTACTTGCTGAAATTTACCTTCAATCCTAATCTTGGATATAAAAAAGAAGTCAGTTGATGAAACAGTAAAAATTATTTTTTAATTGCTTAAATGTTGATTCTGACTTGAAAACTTTTATAAACTAGTATAATGTCATTAATTCTTTCATTAATTCAATCACAGTATTTTGGATGTCCTTAACCATATTAAATTTCAATCAATATTTACAAAGTATTGTTACAATGAAGGACAAAATTTGCTGGCACTGATCTCTGATTCACTACTTTATATAACCATTTATCATATACTTGTATAAAATATTACTAAAATTTTACAGTTCAATAACATTTAAAAATATTAAAAGGCTATGAAAGGATTACTAGGTTTATTTATCCGATTCCTAAGAATTTCCTCAGCGGGCTGATAAAGGAAGCTTTATTGACTGCTTCCGGAATGTTATCACATGCCTTTCCGTTAATTTCCGTGACGTTTATCACATGCAACGTCGTGCATTTCCGGAAATTTGTTCGAAAACGACAACACAGTGCGGAAAACCGCAAGTGATTTAAGACTTTCCACAAAATAGTTGAGGAGCAAATTTCAAACTAAGAACATGTTAATTGTTGTGACAAGATAAATAAAATGCTTGTAATATCAATAAAAACAATAAAAGTTAAGGCATTTGTATTTGGTTGTCTGTAAATTATTATCTAAAAATTCATGGAAAGACAAAATTTTAATTAATAGTTCTTGTCTGTATTTCTTCTGTTGAAGTATATGATAAAAAGATAATTACATGTCATTTATCATATCAGACCCTTTATCGGCCCTCGTTCATGATATCAGCCCTCGAGCCTGTGGCTCTTGGGCTGATATCATGACCTAGGGCCGATAAAGGGTCTGATATGAAAAATGCCATGTAATAATCTATACTTACTGTTAGCTAATCTATTTAATAGCAAACAAAGTTTACAACCATTAAATCTACCTTTGGTGGTATCACATCCAGTAAAAAAATACTGTTATAAATAAGTTATAATGGTTACACATATTAAAAAACATAATGATATAAATAAGTCATAATGGCACATAGTGAAAAACATAATGTTATACAAAAATAATGTTATTAACAACTTATAAGTTATAAACATGATAAAACAAGTGAAACTGCAAGTTACTGCTCACTGATGATACCCCCGCCGCAAGTGGATAATTTTAATAGTGTAAAAATATGTAAGTGTTCAGTACAGGAAGTTGTTGAGTAATGAATCTGAAAACGCATCACACTTTTTTAAAGCATGGGTATAATAACAAAAAATAGAATCTTTCTGCAGCTAGTACCAAAAAATGACTATGTCCAAATATCTGGCATTATGATAATTTTTGAATGTGGACATGCAGTCACCTCTATTATGTGTAGAAATATCCTACAAAATATTAAAGCTGATGCTCAAAAACTATAGGAGGAGATAGCAGGACAAACCATGTATCTATATCCTGAACGACGGACAGGGGTAAATTAATGTGGTCCTCAACATTTTGTCGCGTGGGCATAAAAAATAAAATGACTGTGAATTCAGAAACTTGTGTGTGTTTACTTATTATGCGATTGATTAACAATGGACAAACACATGAGATTTAATTATTGAGATTTCAGGAATTCAAATGGCATTTGAAAAAGTTTGTAATGTGTAAAACGCAAACATTATCAAAATAAGTTCGTTGTTGCATCCTTTCACCACATTTTGTGTATGACTGGTGCTGATGTAGTCATATTAGAAAGTTGTTAAGTTTCATTTATTGCAAACTGGAATATCAGCATAAAAAAAATTACATATTCCTGAAAATCACTGATGCTTGGGGACAAAGGTCAAACAAGAAAATGAAAACTATTGTCTCGATCATTTCCTTCCTACCATAGGGTACATTTAAATAGTATATGTATTATGTGTTGTTTTTTTTAAGAAAATAAATCCAACACAGACTTTGATTTGAAGCAGACATGATATGCAGGATATGCTTGACTATCATGAAATATAACTAATTCTGTCGGATTTGACAGATCATCAGCTGCTGAGTCATAGGTCACGAGACCTTTGCCAGGAATAGGAGGCAGCACTTTCAATCCTTGATGTCCTTGACACATTTTTCCAGTCAAAACTTGTACAGAAAACATATGCTTGTTTCCATGACTGTCTGCTCTGCAATAACAACAGGAATGTTTGGCATCAGGGGCAAAGTATACTCCTTCTCCAAATGATGTTCCTGTTGGCAAGAAAATGTGACACAAAGATGAATAATACCAAGGTTGTACTTTTTACCATGTTTTAAAAAGAAGACATAATAATATAACATCAAGCAAGTGAACTATGGCACTGTTTCATCAACTAGATATAAAAGGCTTGTCTATGGGGCTGAAGTCAATGCAGATTTATAATGTCACTGGCTACTCTTTTACTTACTGAGAATTTTAAGACATTTAATTACAACGTATTCCATATGTAAAGAGAAGAGAAGTAGAAAAAGAAGAATATCTTATACCAGTTAAGGGCCCCAAAGGGCATACACACTTGACATGACAATAACATTTTAATGTGAGATTAAAGCAAATCACATTCAATAAAATCAAGTGATATTTAACTTTCTTAAGTAAATATTTAAGCATGCTTAAGCTTTTATAATACACAATGCAAGTGCGGCTCATTTATCAATTTCATATTAAGAATACAACAATATTCAATATTCATTTAAAGAAAACATGATATGTAGGGTAAGCCTGGCTATCATGAAATATAATAAACATAACAGGATTTGATGGATTATCTGAAGCTGAATCATATGTCAATAGAGATTTTCCTGGTTTTTGTGGCAATACTGTCATTCCTCCACTACCAGGACATGCATCCCCTGTTAACACCTGTGTGGAGAACATGTGCTTCATGCCATGTGTGTCAGATGTACAGTATCCTATAGAGTAGGATGAATTAACAGCAAAATATACTCCTGCTCCATAGGCAGTACCTGTTACAGAAAATATATTAAGTTGTAGTCTCAAAAATGCAAGCATTAAATTCTCCTAACATGCCCGGTAAGATACAGCCAGTTGAATTTCTGATGTTAATTGCTATTAAATTTGATTGTCTATAGGTAAAATATTATAAAACAGGATTGTGTCCTTTTGCAGAGTTGTATCCCTTTTTTTTGGGCCATGGCATGAATTATCTCCCTTTATATGGAATGTAGTGTGAATTGTTATTTTACTCTTCAAACTTTTAGCATTGCTTATGAAGGGTCATGTTAAATATGTTTCATATGTTTGATGCAATTTATAATAGCTGAAGCTATTAAAATGATAATATTGTGTAGAACCATTATCTAATCGTGTATGACTGAAAATCTTTTCCAAATTTCAACTAATTACAGGTATATACTCAGTTGAATTTCTACAAAATTTACTTAAACTTCATACACTGGTGTGTTAGAGGAGGATGTTTATGATGCTCTTAATATCGAGATGCTAATGTATGGCTTTTTTGTACAAGTGGAATAAGGAAACAATGGATTTAGTGTGACGTCCATTTTCACTGAACTAGTACACATTTGTGTTTAGGGGCCAGCTGAAGCCCGCCTTTGGGTGCGGGATTTTCTTGCTGTGTTGAAAACCCATTGGTGGCCTTGGGCTGTTTTCTGCTCTTTGGTCGGGTTGTTGTCTCTTTGACACATTCCCCATTTCCATCCTCAATTTCATTATATTTCTAAAATGTTGAACTACTTTTAAGATTTGCAAAAATTCTTCATGATTGTGTATTTTAAAGACTATTTTGTTAAATTTATCATTAAAAGACACTGAAGTAAGTCTTATAAAGATATAACTAAGAAGAGAATAATTGACCAGAATAAAAAGTAGATTTTGCTAAAGAGAAAATGATCCGATAAAGACCTTCGATTGTGTATGATAAAAGTTGTTAATTTGCTGTTAGATGCTTTGCAGGTATCATTATAACAACAAAATCTTTCATAATTAAGCATGGGGCAGGACATGAATGTATACCTACCATTTTTACCACAATAACTTCTGTTAAACCCAAGAGTAATAATTTTATCGACAGTATCAGCTGATGTACCATGCCACAACCATCGCTCTGGGTTTTTACCATTTTTACTATATAATTCCTTCTTTTTAGCTGCATACTGAAGATAAAGGGTGGGGTTTTGTACCCTGGAAATCTGCAATTAAAGTACATGTAACATATATAATATATAGATAAGTTTTATTACTGCATTCAGTAGCATTCAAAATTTAATAAATATTTTGAAAATAAAAAGACTGGAGATAGATTAGCATTAAGCATTATATCGTTTATAATACAAACAACTTATACATATGTACTTCAATATCACTATCAAATTGATATTTAAATTTCAAAATTTGAAATGCAAGGTTTACCCTAAAATTTAACTATAGATTGTACGAAACTGGATTAAGTGCATACCTGTCAACTGACCTGTATTTTGCAGGTGTAGCCCCAGCAATTTTCCAGCTAACCAAAAAATTGTAAATAATCACCATCATGTTTCAAACCAGAATAAAAGAAGAATTCATACCTTCACTATCGTCCCACCTCCTCCAGTTTTCTGGAACTCAGTTTTGACCCGATCATACTCAGCGTGTCCTGGATGTAACTGTTGTTCATGACATAGTTGTCCGCCACCTAACTTTACATGTGTCCAGTTTGCAGGAAGATTTACACCAGAACCTACATGTTATATCAACAAACAAATATTAGGGTTATGATATTTCAATCAGCATCAGAAATAAAACTTTTTAAATAAATTCTCTTTTATTTTTCAGTTCCTTACCATTCTGCAATCTCTATTGTTTTTTTTCCATTTTGTCCAAAAATAATTACAAAATTTCATAAACAATTTCCTCATCTGAAAGGTGTCTGAATACAAGTGGACAGTCAAAAAAGAAAAGAAAATAAGAAAATGATACAATTTAGAACCAAAATTATTAAATTTTTAAGTATCAAATTTTAAATTAAAAAATTCAATTCAAATTGGAAAATGACCTCGTTATAGTCAAATATGTTCAGTATATGAAAATCAACAAATACATGTACATCAATTTAAAACTTTTCGTGCTATACAAGGGATATAACTCACTTATTGTTATGTTATATAAAAAATTTGATGGAACAATTTTTATTTTGATCAGAAGCCTTTAGACAAAATGATAACGTTCCGAAGAATCCAACCATCTTTATGGTTAACTTGATAAGGTCAAACAATTTGGTGATTAAATCAGTTTTTTAGTACTCCATCTATTTATCTGGATGAATGCACAATTATTATTCTCTTCAAAAAAGGGACTTCACTTTGAAATATCAGGTCAATGCTGGCCAGTAATTTTGTTTGTCCCATGTCAGTTCTTTTGACAAACTAAACTTTTCAACTAGAGTAAATGACTGAAAACAAAGAAAAAACAGGTAGAAGCAAAACTAATTAAAACCATTTCAAAGTATAATAAAAGTAAGCTTAAACTTTTTGATTTCCTGATATATTTCTTATATGATTTGCATATTAGGGAATACGTTGATATGATTGGCTGAGAGGACTTCTGGTAGTTGTTCTTGACGTTGTTTATTTTTCGATAGATGACGTTGACCGAACTTCTTTTTGTAACCAATGTAAACAAGATGGCGATGATAATAACACAATCCGGCTTGACGTTTAAAATATTTATTTTCACTTCGCGTTAATAGTTAAATTAAATAATAAACACAAAACATTCATTTGAATGATATTGTGATTTTTTGCAGTTTATTTTTTATCAGATAGCAAATTTCATGGAGTACATACTTTTGCTTTAACAAATAGATATACTCATGCGCCAGGCTAATTCAATGACATAATTATACAATAATACGTGTGAAAGAGGTTATGAGTGTGGAAAAATAAATTCCTTGTCTCCAATTTAAAGAATTATAAGGATTAAACGCCTTTTTAAAGGAACTAATTGGTATATAAACTGGACCAAGTCACTCACAAACATATCATAAAAGTCTTTCAGACTTTTCTTTGTTTGTGATTGAATTGGTCGCGTTTATACACCAATAAATTCCTTTAAAAAGACGTTTAATCCTATAATAAACTCATGTCTCATTACAATCTCAATATTTGCTGCTGCACTTCTTACTAGATTTCATACAGCACAGTACATCATAGAATTCATTACCTTTTTGTTGTTCTTTTGATTTTCTCTGTACAGGGATCTTTGTATGTGGACTATGAGCAGGAATTTCCTCCATTTTTTGAAAGTCAATTTTGTATCTTTCTCCTTTATTATCTGTTATTCTAACTTGTGGTGATTTCTTTTTAAATTCAGTTTCTATAACATAATTCAGTTCTAATGTGAAAGGTTTGAATTTATCAGCTGATTGATCTTTATAATACCATTGGATATAATTAGACACTTCTTTGGCTTTGTCGTAATCTATCATCCGAGTTTCTTCTTTTCTGAGCTGATTCTGAAGGGTATCTGTAGCCTTGTGCACTTGAGCCTGTGACCCGAGGACTTTAACTACACCTTTGCTTTCTGTTATTTTTACTTTATGCTGCTTTTCAATATCTCTGAAAATCTATTAAAATATAAAAATTTTCAATCCCCAAAGTATATTCTTAATGTCTAAATGAATGTCTTATATAAATGTACCTAGCTAAAAAAACCTGTTCCAAAAAGAATGAAAAAGTGCCACACAGAATGGCAGATTAAGTTTGGTGCCATATTTAAGCACCACACAGTATTGCATATGAAGTTTGGTGCCATATAAGAAGCTATGTCTTGTAGTTTCTGAGAAAAATTTGCCAGAAATGTACATACAAATGGATGTACAGAGGGACAGAGGTAAACCAATATTCTCTCCTCTTTTGGATCAAAGGTATAAAATGTACATACAGATCACAGAGTGACAGAGTTAACCATTCTGGTGTAATACCACCAAATCATAGTACGACACATCCGATTGCATACGAAAATAGGTCGAAAAAAAATATTCCGTTGAATTTGACAGTTGTAGGTAATTGATCCTACATTTCATTGCAGTAAATCATTTCTGGGTCATAAACATATATCTTGGGTATTTCAAAGCACCATTATTTTTTTATTTGGGGTTTCTATAGAATATTTTGGAAACTTGAGGTTACATGGTTACTAAAGCTTGTACACAGGTTAAAAAAGGGGGAAAATTTGATTGGTTAACTTCCAGTGATGGTTATTTTCTTATATGCAATGAAATGTTATGTGAAATTTTTTCTATAGTACTGGACAGGATAAAACTTTACTCATGCCAAGTATTTCTTTATTTGAAACAAAGATAAATTCTGCACAATTTTTTGAAAAGTGCAAATTTAACAAAGACTAATAGGGGAAAATCAACGGTGGTACTACACCTTCTCATGTATACAAGTCTCCTTACAAAATGTACTTATTTCTAGTGTAAGGTATGTTTGTTTTTGGGAGTCATAGTTATATTATATTTTTTCATTATCCATATTAAACTAAAATAACTCTAACTTCCAAATGTTGGCTTCAAAAAATCCAATACAATCAATCACATTGTTTGATTTCTTTCATTTTTGGACAGAAAAATAACATTTTGTAGGAACCTGCATTATTTTGATGTTTGCAAATGCAGCGAAGAAAATAACATGATAAAATTTATGAGAAATAAATACTACTCATAACTATCACCAAATCTAACGGTACTATATTTTTTACACAATTCATAGAAAACTTTAAATATGTATGACTGAATTGTTTATGGTTTCAAAACATAACTTATTTTAAAGTCTCACTAGCTATGTATAGGGTCAGTAATTAATCATATTACCTTTTCATCTTTTAAATTATGGACAACTTTTGAATATTCATGAATAGATTTATCGTAACACTGAGCATCAGCCACTTTGTCTAGATCTCTCTTTACAGCTTTAATACTATCCCAAGAATCAGACCATATATAGAATTTAATTGTATCTGGTTTACTTTCATCCTTTGATGTGTCTCGGTAGGGCGGTCTGTCTTTGTCTGTAACAAGAAAACATTTCAATTAGAAGTAAATTAAAATGCTATATAAAAAAAATTCTGTTTTCCAGTCCCATAGTCCTTTTTGATTTTTGAACTTTATTCATCAAAGAAGTTTTTAGTTTTTATTTTCATCTCTAAACGCATTCCTAACAAACCACATACAAAAACTTTATATGAATAGTTTGTATATTCTTTGCCTATACTTGTAAATGAACTTTTGTTTTAATTTTTATCAAGAATACTTTCAAATTATACAATCAAAATTCTAAAGCTGATTCCAGCCTAAAATAGCCATTAATTTCAAATAAGATGTGTTATGATGTTAGCTCATGCTCTGAAAGAAAGAAAATGTGTCCAATGAAAAGAATGCCTCTGCTTTACGCAGAAAATTAATTCCTAAATAATCTGCTGAAATAGTAGATTGTTTAGCTGAGACACAGAATCTAATCAAACGATAGGGCTCCCACACCAAGGACAAGGAGGTATAAGGATTTATGTAAATGAGACAGCAACTCACCAACACAAATAAAACAACATAAAGAGCTCTTTGTTAGTCTTCAACAACAGACAGGTGTCTACATAATATATAAAGCACTTAAATTAATCATCCGGAGACTACGAAAATGGGGAAGTATATCTTTACTCAATTTGACCTCTAGTTTCTTTTTCAAGGTCGATAAGAGGAGGTTGTATAACTTGATTAAACCCTAACTATCATTTCTACTGTACAAAGTTGGCCTTAACATATATACCTTTTTTTTTAATAAGTGTATTATTAGACTAAGATTTGGTGTTTGTTATACAAATTGTTGTGGTTTTCATATCTATAAATACGAAGGAAAAACATTTTTGATGTATAATTTGTTACTGTTTTCATATATCAGTTCTAGAAACCTAATAAGGAAAACGAAACTGACCTATTTTATAATTTGCCAATGTAATCAGCTACTATATTGAAAATACCTACCATCATGTCCATCCTTTGAGCCTCTATGCTCATTATCTCTGGGTGTTGTGCCTCTATGTCCACCTCTATGACCACCTCTGTGACCACCTCTATGCTCAATATTTCTACCACTGGTGTCTCTATGTCCACCTCTATGCTCATTATCTCTGGGTGCTGTGTCTCTATATCCACTTCTATGGTCAGTATTTCTCCCTGTGGTGCCTCTATGTCCATAGCCCCTGCTGTCTCTACGACCATAGTCCCTTGTATCTGTATGGTCCCTTTTCCCTCCCATACCATCTGTTTTCTTCAGTTCTGTTATAAAATCAGCAGCCATTTCTTTTTGGAAGACAACCAGTGTTACTTTTTGTATATGCTCAGTTGAAAATTTCTTAATGGCAGAAAATATTGCTGATGCAACATCTTCAGGTTTACATGCTTTTATTCCTGGAATAAAGAACGACAATTGTAAAATCAATATATTTAATACTTATGACTTTAGAAAGTTTTTCCAAGCATACTGCTTACATTATCTTACAAAGTTTTGCATAGATTTGTCTGTGGTTTCAGAAGCAATTGAATGATTGATGTTTGCTTAACATCCAGTGGCAAATATTTCATGCATTTTCAGGACGAGAACAAATTAACAATATACAATATGTAGGTCCTGTAATAGAAAACGTCTGGGTTGAAGGTCAGAGAAATTTGACTATTACTTGAAAATGAGGGTATATTGGATAGAGACAGATTTTTCCTTGCAACTGGCCATCAACAGATCCCCCCTAAAGAGTTTTTGCAAAGGTTCCTAACCTGCAGTGAGCAATGCATAAGATTTAAAACAGATATTACAACAGTACATAATGGACAAAATGGAAAAGTATGTTAACATTATATACTGAAAACCTAGTGTGGCCACATATCAACATCTCTTAATTCAAATCTTGAAAATTGCAAGGGTTCATTATAATTAAATACTTTTTTAAGTTTTAGCTATATATTGCAATATATTATTAAAAAAAAATAAAGTTGACCTAAAATCGTATTTATATGTAGTATGTTTTGTTTAAATAACATTGGCTCATGGGACTTTGAATTCCAAGTGTAAGGAAATACCATTGGTTCTTTGCATTCCTGGTTTAAGTAAATATCACTGGTTTATGAAACCAAAATTTGTTGTTTAAGTGAATCTTACAGGTTAATGTGACATTGAATTTGTGGTTTGAGTTCATGCAAATAGGACAATCATTTCACAATTGTTCATATCTCGAAGTCAGCTGGACCAGAGAAATATTTCGAGATACCCGTAGTTCAACTCAAACGAATACCGGAAGTTTGACAGAAAAGGGACACAACTCTTGCTTAGCTTGGTAAGGCTAAAATAAATCCAGATGAATATGGGTAGGGGATCGATATTCTGGTCTGAGATCCATGGATCTGTATGTAATTGTCTTTTGTCATTATAATAAAATTATATGATTTTTTGTCACTTATCTATTCTGTGTACAGTTACAATTTTTTCGTGTGGATTTTAGCCTAGACAGTAATTTAAAAAAGATGAAAGATGCCGATTATGAAGTTTTGGGTTAATCACTAAGTCTTAATCCCTACTTTATGCACAACCAAGCTCATTAATGTATGATTATGGTTAATTGCTTTTAAAACATTTAAATCAATTTTTCATAAAATGTATCACTAATTATTTATCATGGTGATCAAAGATAAAGTAAACACTCGTTGAAAAAGAATGTCATAAATCAATTCAATGGTCATGTTTTGACATATGTGTATTTATAGTTCGAGATAAATATTGCAATTTGGATGCTTTTGTTAACATTGGGACAGTAAATTTGGTTTGAGTCAACTGAAATTTCGACTCATCAGGAGTCGAAATACATTTATTTATATGGGACAAAGTTCAGGACCATGGGAAAACTTCAACTCATCCAAAATTTCGAGTCAACCGAGTTCAAGACAACAAGAGTAAACTGTAAAGTAAATTGATGTTTGGAAAAGAAAATTGTATAATTTTTTCGATAGGTTGTATTTTCTTACCTGTTCCTAAAGCAGGAAGTGCCATTGTTGACAATTTTCTGTTCTCAGCTGCTGTGAGACATTTATTTACTGCAGCCTCCCAGCCTGACAAGGTGGACTGAGCAATTATGTGGAAAATATATTTACAGTTCATATTGCCACCAGAGGTCACTACCAACCCTTTGGATGTAGAACGTTCAGCTGCAAAAAAAAAGTACTTTGAGCCATTGCTAACAGATTACATACCAGCATATGTTGAAAAAAAATATGATTTGTAGTTGCGTAGAAAGATGCGATAAAGAGTATAAATGTGCATGACAATTTAAAAGTTATAACTTTCAGGCAAACAGGCAGTAGTAGAACATTGAAGGAGCAGTCACAATATCATGCCAAACAATTGATTATTTTCCACATATTGCATACCAAAGTCTATGAAAAATATAAGAATAATGGTAGGCAACCCATGGTCCTTTGGTGGTACAACCACTTGACTCATATTTTAAAATTAAGGTTTAAAGAAGATTCTGGCCTGAACAGTTCCAACAACATTAAAAGTTTGACCTTTATGTCAAGGTAGAAGGTTATTTGTTATGCATCAACTGCCACAACCTGATACATTTACATTCAAAGTTTCAAACTATAAGAGAACAATATAAGAAAATAACTAAGTGTAGGCGTCAATGGCACACCTATATGTAATCAACTGTTTCGCTGAGCGCAGCTGGATACGCCTGCAGAGGTCCAACCCTGACAAGTTGGGGCAAAAATGGACACAATATTCAAGCTTGATACAGGTCTGAATTTGGATTGTAATTAAATATTTGACATATTATAGGTTTCTGAATAATTGTAGTCAAAGAACTTGAAATTGGTTATATGAATTGAATTTATATTCAATTAAAGATTTCTTGCTGTTGTGCAATACACTGTGCTGTTGCCCAATACTTAGTAAATCTGTTGTCAGACTATAAACAAATAAAGTTCAATTTCTTCTCAATGTCATATTTGAAATTTATGAAAATAAATAGGGAGATTACATCAATAGCTATAAACAATTCACCAAAGTTTCATGTGAACTGCTGAAAGCATTTTTGAGTTATTGTCCAAAAACTGGAAAATCCCACCTTTTTTAAATGAATAAAACCCCATAACTCAGAAATGTAAAATCTAAAATTTATAAAATTCTAAAGGGAGCTTACATCAACAGATATAAACAATTCACCAAAGTTTCATGAGAACTGCTGAAAGCATTTTTTAGTTATTGTCCGAAAACTGGAAAATCACCCTTTTTTATGAATAAAACTCTGTAACTCGGAAACATTAAATCTAAAATTTATAAAAATTCAAAAGGAAGCTTATGTCAATAGATATAAACAATTCACCAAAATTTCTTGCAAGTTGGTGAAAGCATTCTTGAGTTATTGTTGGAAAACTGGAAAATCCCCCTTTTTTAATGAATAAAACCCAAAAACTTGGAAACGGTAAATCCTAAATTTATAAAAACGAAAGGGAGCTCACGTCAATAGATATAAACAATTCACCAAAGTTTCATGCATATTGGTTAAAGCTTTTTTGAGTTAATGTCCGACATGTTGACGAGGGACGGACTGACGGACAGTCAACGGTATACCATAATACATCCCGTAAACAGGCTTATAAAAAATAATTGCCTCAAGTCAATCAGTGTTTCCTTTTTATTGAAAAACAAGTATTTACGCTGCACAATTTTCATGTCTTTTCTATTTATGTCCCTTACACCTTTTTTCCTTGAATTTATAAGTGATTAGTGTTCCCTTAATACTAAATTAATGAGTTAGAATTTGTTTGAGTACATGGTTCAACTTACAAAATTTTCACCCTCCCTTTCTTTATTAATTTATTTTACATAAAGTTTTGCTTACACTGTTTTACCTTTTATACATTTATATTGTATATTTTGGCAGATAAAAAAAGTTATGTAGCCCGCCTGGTACATGTAGTTTTGTCTTGTGTTTTGTACATGTTATATTTAGTTTTTATTAAGCCTAGTAATTATGGTTTGCTACACATCAACTTCTGGCTATACAATAGCATTCCAAGAATCATGTGTCTATATCAAAATACAACAAACTTCTGGGCTGAACACCTATATAAAACGAAAAATAGTTTAACCTTGTGACTTAAGGACAAGGTCATATTTGATGAGTAATAGAGAGAATACTGACATAAAAAGGTAATTTAACACAATATCTCCAAGGTCATGTTTCGTCAAAATGGTATGCAACACATCATCTAATAGTGATACACCAAATAAGTTTAAATCAAAAGATCTGCACTGCATACAACTGTATGAATAGAAGAAGAATATAAGGAATTCTGGGTAAAAAAATATTTCTTCCCTTTTTAAATGGGTGACATAATGAGGATAAGTCAAACTGATTTTACTTTCTGTTCTTTTCTCACAAAATTACCTTCCTGAACTAATTCTTTCTGTATATCTGAACCAGCAGCTGTTAGAATGGCTTTGGATACTGCACCTATCAAAAACATTGACATAATATTTAAAAACAATGTTTACATACAATGAATGATTATATTACAAATTCGAGTTAATAAATTTACTGCAAACATTCTGATTACTGTGTTACCTCTGTGGCAATTATCTGTTTTAGTACCTAAAAACTGTTTCAAATGCTCAGTTCGAAATATTTTGAACTGAATATGTATGAAATATTTACTACTTAACTTTCAACACACAACAATCAATCAATCTAAATGATCAATCAATGAGTTAAAATTAAAATTGAAAATAGGCTCCCCCCAAAAAAAAATAAAATGCTCCGCTGGGGCGCAGCTTGATACGACCGCAGAGGTCGAACCCTGAACAGTTGGAGCAAGTATGGACACAACATTCAAGCTTGATACAGCACTGAATTTGGATTGTAATTAAATATTTGACACAGCATAGGTTTCTCACACAGAATGAAAGTGGTCTAAGAACTTAAAATTTTTTAATTTACCTATTCAAACCATATCGTTATTATTTGCTTTTATATATACATCAGAAATAACCAATTTAAAATGGAAAATTTTAAAGAAAAAAACATACATGTGATGGACTGTGAAACTCAGATCAGGAGATTGGAAAATTTTGGTCAGGAGATTAGGACTCAGATCAGGAGGTTTTTAATCGACATAAAGTTTGTCGTAAATGTAACCGTGTGCTGTAAAAATTGTCTTTTAAAGTGTGTTTTCTTCAACTTTCAATCCGAATGTATTATGTTTATAGTACCCTTGTACTTATAAAGTTTCTTTATCTTAATATTCTACATGTTCAATCTAAGATTCTTTTTTTTTAGTATGTTCTTTAAATTTTTCAATTCATATCTTTTATATCTTTATTCTATAGGACAAACATTGCAATCAGATCATTTGTTAACCTATCTGCATTTGCAGTTAGATTTTATTTGAATAATCAGAAACTCATTTAAATTTACAACATGGGTCATAGTTATTATATGAATTCAATTTAAGCCTTGAAAGAAAGTATAGAACCCTCAAATAATTTTCAAATTATTATTTTTTTATTTGTCCTAAGACATTTAAAATCATTTAATTACCATCCTTTTATGATTATTTGTTCAATTTATATTTTATTTATATTCTTTTAAAAATTTACATTATTTAAAGGAAAGTAACTTAAAACAGGATAAATCAGGGGAAGTAACCCAATAAATACACAAAGTTTTTATTACACAACGGCAGTTAGCCTGAGGTAAAAATCGTTGATTACCAGTATGTTTGACACCCAAGCTGACAAGTGAAGCCATATAATTATGCATGTTAATTAATTTACAGGTAAAATATAACTTCAGGTGATGTCAGTTACACCAGATGTCTGAGATGATATGTTGGGCAGATTTCATACACAGGATTTTTTTCTCTTCAACGCGAGGTCGGGAGGAGACCCCTGAAAACGGGATTATTGTACTCCCGTCGGGAGGTTTACATGTATGAAAAAAAGAAAAAAAAATCCCCCAAATTTTTTTGAACCCCCTTATGATTCATCACCCCATTGGCCCAAACTCAATCCCAGCTTTCCCTTTGTGGTATGGTACCTTTTTGGCCCCTTTTTGGCCCCAAATTCCTAAACGTTTAGGGCAATTACCCCCAAAAATCAATCCCAGCCTTCCCTTTGAGGTATGGTACCTTGCAGTACAATTTCAGAGAGATCCATACATTTGAACACAAGTTATTGTCTGGAAACTAGAAAAATGCTTATTTTTGGCCCCTTTTTGGCCCCTTATTCCTAAACTTTTTGGGCAATTACCCCAAAACTCAATTCCAGCTTTCCCTTTGTGATATGGAACCTTGTAGTACAATTTCATAAAGATCCATACACTTACACACAAGTTATTGTCATGAAACTAGAAAAATGCTTGTTTTTCGCCCCTTTTTGGCCCCTAATTCCTAAAATATGGAGGCAATTACCCCCAAAATCAATCCCAGCATTCCCTTTGTGATATGGAACCTTGTGATACAATGTCAGAGAGATCCATACACTTACACACAAGTTATTGTCATGAAACTAGAAAAATGCTTGTTTTTTGCCCCTTTTTGGCCCCTTATTCCTAAAATTTGGAGGCAATTACCCCCAAAATCAATCCCAGCATTCCCTTTGTGATATGGAACATTGTGGTACAATGTCAGAGAGATCCATACACTTACACACAAGTTATGTCTGGAAGTTACAAAAATGCTTATTTTTGGCCCCTTTTTGGCCCCTAATTCCTTAACTGTGGGTACCATAACCCCCAAAATCAATCCCCACCTTCCTTTTGTGGTAATGAACCTTATGGTAAAATTTCATTGAGATTCATTCACTTAAACTAATGTTAGAGTGCGAAAACTAATGTGTATTCGGATGACGACGCTGGACGACGACGACGACGCCGGACGACGACGACGACGACGACGACGCCAACGCCAACGTCATACCAATATACGACCACAAAAATTTTTTTGCAGTCGTATAAAAAACAGGAAAAAAATGTATGACTCTTTTAAAATGTTTTTTTTTGGAGGTCAAGTTTTTTTGCTGTTCCCTATACTTTCTGATATAATATTAAAATTTGTTACTTTTTAGTCTTTCTACTTTCTGTACATTGTTCAATGATTAAAAAGCTGCACATAATCAATGTTTTAAGTTTGCATTTTACTGGTTGAATAATTGTTTGGTTTATGTCCAGGGCATCTATTTCAAACATGTGACCATGAAGGGAGAAAGTTAAACAGCAAGCCAACAGCAACAATAAAAACTTGTAGAGGTGAGCATATGACCTTCAACAATACAAAATGTCAACAATTTATCAAGCTCTTATTCAACCCAAGTGAAGACAAGCAGCAAATAAATTCATAAAGTCTATTAGAGGAATTAAAAGGTGTAGACAAACCAGTGTCAAATCCACAGACCTTTCTAAGTTTAAAATTCAATGAGCCTAAAACATATGGGATAACTAAACAGGAATCTATATGGTATAAATTACACTCGGAAGAAAACAAAACACAGGAATATCTAAAGTACAATAAAATACCTTTAGATAAATCATAGGAATGGGATGTAGTGTTGACTATAGCATCAGATTGTTCTTTGGTTATATCTCCACACTTAATAAGAACATCAATACTTCCAAGTTTGGTGGTACTTCCTTTACTGGATATAGGTCTATGTTCATCTACAGATACTTGGGCATGACGATCTAAAAAAATAAAACTTCTATAGTAAAATTATGTAAATGATATAAAAATAAGATGTAGTATGATTGCTAATGAGACAACAAGTGACCAAATGACACAGAAATTAACCACTATAGGTCAATGTACGGCCTTCAACAACAAGCAAAACCCATACAGCATAGTCAGCTATAAAAGGCCCTGAAATGACAAATGTAAAACAATTCAAACAAGAAAACTAACGGCCTAATTCATGTACTCAATAATGAATGAAAAACAAATATGATACACAGAAACAAACGACAACCACTGAATTACAGGCTCCTGACTTGGGACAGGCACATACAGAATGTGGCGGGTTTAAACATGTTAGCTGGCGCCCAACCCTCCCCTAACCTGGGACAGTGGTGTAACAGTACAACATAAGAACAAACTATAATAAAATGCTCCGCTGGGGTGCAGCATGATACGACCGCAGAGGTCGAACCCTGAACAGTTGGGGCAAGTATGGACACAACATTCAAGCTTGATACAGCACTGAATTTGGATTGTAATTAAATATTTTATTTAGGCATAGGTTTATGACACAGAATGAAAGTGGTCTAAGAACTTAAAATTTTTTAATTTACCTTTTCAAACCATATCATTATTATTTGTTTTTATATATAAATCAGAAATAACCAATTTAAAATGGAAAATTTTAAAGAAAAAAAAGGAAAAAAAAATCCCCCCCCCCAAATTTTTTGAACCCCCTTATGATTCATCACCCCCAAACTCAATCCCAGCCTTCTTTTTGTGGTATGGTACCTTGCAGTACAATTTCAGAGAGATCCATACACTTGAACACAAGTTATTGTCTGGAAACTAGAAAAATGCTTGTTTTTTGGCCCCTATTTGGCCCCAATTCCTTAACGTTTAGGGCAATTACCCCCAAACTAAAACCCAGCTTTTCCTTTGTGATATAAAACCTTGCAGTACAATTTCATAAAGATCCATACACTTACACACAAGTTATTGTCCTGAAACTAGAAAAATGCTTGTTTTTTTGCCCTTTTATGGCCCCTAATTACTAAAATTTTGAGGGAATTACCCCCAAAATCAATCCCAGCCTTCACTTTGTGGTATGGTACCTTGCAGTATAATTTCAGAGAGATCCATACACTTGAACACAAGTTATTGTCTGGAAACTAGAAAAATGCTTATTTTTGGCCCCTTGTTGGCCCCTTATTCCTAAGCTTTTTGGGCAATTACCCCCAAACTCAATTCAAGCTTTCCCTTTGTGATATGGAACCTTGTAGTACAATTTCATAAAGATCCATACATTTACACACAAGTTATTGTCATGAAACTAGAAAAATGCTTGTTTTTTAATTCTTTTTGGCCCCCAATTCCTAAAATTTGGAGGCAATTACCTCCAAAATCAATCCCAGCATTCCCTTTGTGATATGGAACCTTGTGATACAATGTCAGAGAGATCACTGGTTCTCCGTTAAAGCGCCCATTTTATGACGTTAATTTGTCCCACCGTAAGATAGCAAAACTAACGACTCCGAGTTATATATACCCGTAGCTTGTTATACTTATATCTGAGATTTTTATATTTCTTTATTATCTATATTTTTAATTTTTATAAAGTTTAGTACATGTTGCACAACGATAGTGATCAGAACGGCTGTCAAAATATTTTTTTCGTAAACCTGTAATTTCCGTTAACGGAAAAAAGACCAAGCAGGACAAAATATTAAGCACAACATTGAGTGTGATATGAGTTAAATTCGATTATAAGGTTACCATAAATAAGTTTGTTTATAACTACGGTCATTTATTCCAGATCATATCAGTCTGAAAAACTAAACAAAGTTGAAAACTGCAGAGATTTGTTAAGCATGTAATCTCCGTGGAATGGTCTATTCTAAACAAACACCTATTTTGAAAATAAATTTTACATCCAACAGATCGATATCGGTGTCAACATTTAATTTTAGTACAATTTCTATCTTCAGATACACGTATTATGTTTTATAAATGGCAAAATCATCGAAATGTAACCTCCGTGGAATGTAATCTCCGTTGACGTTTTGGTAAAGAGTGCTTTCTATCACGTCCGCACTTCTATCGAGTATGGCATGCCAAATAAACATATTAGATAATTATTACGGATGGCGAGTATATAACTTACAGATCAATAACATTCATTGTAATTATCGACATAAGAAGACACCATGTGACAATTTTTATTAATCAATTGTTTAAGTGTAACACAGTTGCTTTTTTCTCAGACCTAGAAAAAAACCGAACCGGATGTTTTTATAGAGAATAATACATGACAAAATCCGTATCACATGCCGTATCATCCCGAGATACCAATATCAGCCGGAGGGATGATACGGCATGTGATACGGATTTTGCCATGTATACGCTTTATCACAGATTTAAACAGGAGAGTATATAGCAACTGCTTACTGATCTAAAGCACCTGGGTTACCTTCAGATTTATTTATTTTTGCCATGTTTTAAAAATTGTATCATATATAGGAACTGCTTATTGGGTTACCTTACAATTTAGGTCCTGTTGTCCATAGAAATATTTTGCTTATTGTATTTTTTGTTTGTTTGTGTTTTGTATGGAAGTTCATTCAGTTCTTTTTATCCTCCTTTAGTAATGTTGTACTATATGAAACACATTCTGAATAAAACCTGTTAATAAAAAAATAGCAACAATAAACCAACAATTTTATAACAAGTATACTGTAATAAACAAGAGACTACTTTGAGACTGGTGAGTAAAATGTGCACTTTTGAAATATAAAAATCTAGTTTAACAAACATCGGACTTCATGTAAATTTCGTCGGAATCACTACTGTCATAAATGAGAAATCCGAATAGGGGTGCGATAAAGGGTAGGTATGCGATAAAGGGGTGTGATAATGGGTGCGCATCAAAGTTGAGCGATACGGATTAAACAGCAGGCTATTTATCAAATATTCAAAACTTCTGTATTTACTACTAAATATAAATTATGATATCAATATTAATGCAAGTAAATAATTTTAACCTGTTTTCAATATTCAAGATATGTAACGTTTATTATTAATACAAATTTGATACCGAATTTAATACGATTTAACAATTATGCAAGTAGCCATTAAAATTGCTCTGCCTAATGAGTTTTATATCATGTTGCACAGGGAAACAAGCTTTTAAATACTTTCTTTCATTGACGTCGGCTGAGAGGGCATGGTATATATTGTCCGTTACATTTATTAACACCTTGTACAAATATTCTTTCGAAAATTAAAACAGTTAAATAGATCAACAAAACTATCCGTCACAATATAATATATATGACGGTCTGGATTAGGGGAGGGGGGTCTACATTTCTGTATTCTGTAATTCTTTAGGCCATTTTTCTCTATTCAGTAAGAAATATGATTATTCTGTAAAATTCTTGTGTTCAGATCCTGCATATGAAAATTTCCTGTTGTATCATAATATTGACATGATAAATCTTCTTGTCTGTATCAACGACATACGTATGACGACCCCCTTTTTTTTAATCTGTCACTGTACTGCACAAATGATACCATCTACCAATTTTGATTAATATCTGAATATCTGATTAAAACCAAACGGGGGAGAAAAAGACCATTTTAATTTCTTTGTGATAATTTGGATATCTGGGATAATAAACAGAAGTTAAGATGACATGAGGTATATTTGATCATATTTGGTTTGTCATATGAGGTACTAGTACTGAGAAGCTGAACATTCAGTTTTATAACAGAGACAGTACCGGTAGTTAACCGACATTAAGAGAAATCTGAAATCCGATGGAGTAAAAATTCGATCACTAGAACTAGATTTTATCCTTGATTGCCCAACTGTCCAACCAAATATTAAAACATTGCCTATTAATCAATTGTTTTGGAGAATATTAAAATATATTGAACATTTATTGGTACTAAAAATACCCCCAAAAAATCTATGACAATGTCATCCGTCCTCAAGCATCAGTCTTCCAGCCCTTACCAATAAATTGTTGTTTTTTTTTTTTAATTATAATGAGTTATGGATCTTACAATTATGAAACTGAAGATGTAGGAATTATGTCGACGAAAGAACCGTTTTGATTCTGCAATTCCATTCAATTCCCTTTAATTATCTATTGATAAATTTTGAAATTATAAAGAAACTAATTAAGGTTTCAACTCCATCGGGCAAAGTTAATCTTCGACTGATTTGGCTATTTTTGTTTATGTCCTTTTGGTCATATAGCTCATCAACTCTTTCTGTTCTTTTACATCCTTGGCTTTCAAATATTCGGCGCTGGGCGTACATGATGAAGATAAATCCAAAATAGCGGTCCGGAACGAAATGATACGTTAACTCGTGCAAGATCTTGATTTTGGAGAAAAATACCGATGCTTATGAATGTATATAATTTGCATCGCTAATTTCAATAAACCAGTTCCGATTACGACCAGTTCAATATTTCATTCCAAATGATCTACTTGTCTATTGTCAATTATCAATAATAAATTTGATATGCAGAAAACGCAAAGTTTCATTATTCTGTAAATTATTTATTTCTGAAATCAGTATTTTTTTTTACCTTATTCTTAATGTTTATACAATTATTTTTTTTTCACCCCATTATTTTCTATTCTTTATTTGATTACCTATTTTTCTTCATTTTTTATTTTTTAGGGGGGGGGGGGGGGCGGCATTATTTTCTATTCTATAAACCATCTCATATATCTTGGGTTATTTCAAATAAATAAATAGTTTTGTTTATTTTTATTGGAGTTGAGGTTTTTTTAAATTCTTTTTTAACGACAACGCATGCAACATCTTATTTATTGTTTCAAAATTCTTCTCTCGGTCATAATTCTGCATGAAATATTTGCCACTGTACGTTCAGAAAACAACAATCAATCAATCGTTTCTCCTCTAAAATTGCAGTATTATAATAACTTTAAACATTATCAAAAAAAGTGATTCATTTAATCCTTTGATCTGATATAAACACGTCTCGTCACTCTCCTATATATTAACATTTCAAATTTCCGATACCAAGGAAAAAAGTATTATTGAATATCAAAGGAAGTAACCTATCAAAGATTCAAGGGTTGTGTTTCGTCTACAAAAGAAAATTCTTAGTTATTCAAACTATTCAAAGCAAGGGTAAATGCATTATACGCCATTCTTGTGCATTTTGAAAATATTTATAAATATGACCACATCAATGATAATTCATGGTAAATGGTAACACAGATTGGCAAACTAGATGATGATGATGATGGAGAGGTGGAGGAGGAGGAGGGGGAGGAGGAGGAGGAGGAGGAGGGGCATTCAGCGGCGATTTATATGCATATTCGGGTCGAAAGCATGTTAATACGATATTAATATTTATTCCGTTTTGTACAAGACCAACACGCTGAGTGGATTTTTTTGGCGTACTAGTTCACAAGGAAACAGTCCACAGGAAGATGTATCACCTTAATTCGTGTTAATTTCAACTCACAAGAAAAACGCACATTAAAGTTTTTGAGAATTAATAAAGATAACAAAACACCGTAAAAATAATGATTTCAAAGTTTTTAACATTTTTGGTTTTGAAAATCACGCTATCAGATAACGACGTCAAAGGAAATAAAATGACGTTAAATGTATTTTTTTGACATTTTTTCATCTAAACTGTCTCGATCATTAAATATTAACGGTAGCATATTACATGCTGAAATTTATATGTTGAATAGAATATACTATGAGGATGTTCCATGTTCTTTATTTACAGGTTTTGCTGCAATTTATATTTTATCATTTTTTACTCTGACGTTGGGCGCTTTACCGGAGAACCAGTGAGATCCATAGACTTACACACAAGTTATTGTCATGAAACTAGAAAAATGCTTGTTTTTTGCCCCTTTTTGGCCCCTAATTCCTAAAATTTGGAGGCAATTACCCCCAAAATCAATCCCAGCATTCCCTTTGTGATATGGAACCTTGTGGTACAATGTCAGAGAGATCCATACACTTACACACAAGTTATGTCTGGAAGTTACAAAAATGCTTATTTTTGGCCCCTTTTTGCTTAACTGTTGGTACCATAACCCCCAACAAATTTTTTTTTGCGGTTGTATAAAAAATAAGTTTAAAAAGGCTTAACTCATCAGATGGATACAAATAGAAATACATCTAACAAAAACACAGAGTGGACATGGCAGGGTACTTATAAATCCCCACAACAAAAAGACACTAAGTATAGATCTGAGTGTAATCACAGTTACTGACAGCTAGTTCAAAGCCAATAACAACTAATCATAAAAATCATGCATCTAAGACTAAAATATCAATCAGTACACATCCAACATTCAATGGATTTAGTGTAAAGACGTCATTAACAGTCAGAGAAAAACATGACCTTGTGCAATGCCAAGATACAGGTATTGACAGATTGTAGAGCCATGAATGTGCATATGTATATAAAAATAATATTTAGTTTGATTTAATTTACTGATAACAAAATCAATATTAATACCAATAAAAACAATATTCAAAGATCTAATTACAGTGTTGAATTGGTAACCTTTTAGAATAAGTTTATTTAAAGGATTGATAAGCTTACCCAGATCGTATCTAAATTTCTGGGCTCGGTAAACAACACCTCGTAAAAATTTGGATGTGCTATCCCGTTTGAAATAAGTTTTCTACAGGTACAACCAAACTTCAAAACCAAATCTTTATATCTATGGCAGAATTTAGTTAAGGTTTTAAGTAATTTGTGGTAATGAAATCCCTGATTTAATAATTTACCAGTAATACATAGATAATGTTGATTGAAATTCTAAACGTCACAACAGACAAAAGGCATAGCGAACGAGTTATGATATATAAAAGTCGTTCCTTTGGGTAAATTTCGGCAGTATATTTAGAAAATTCTTGATTATTTAACGAAAAACTATTGCTTTATCTTATATAACAAATGTTTAGATATAATAAAATAATGCATATTATTTGAGGTAAATGCTAACACCCAGATGTCTTTATTTATATTTCAGGGATAATGAATTTGGTAGAGTCGGCGGGAATAAAAAATAGCATGTCGAAATTTCAATTATTATTTTTTTGAAAATCTGAAAATTGGGTCAGCAGATCCGTAAACAAACAAATTAAAACATCCTCCCTTACACATACTATGATACAATTCTCTTGTATTTGATAAATTTGACCCGAACTTATCAATATAATAATAAGAAGACGTGGTATGAATGCCAATGAGACAACTCTCCAACAGACACCAAATGACATAGAAATTAACAACTATAGTTCACAGTATCAAGTCCTCAAGTCCTATACTAGTGGACTGGTGAAACAAAGAAAAATTCTTGTTTCAATCATGAAAAATACACAAAAACAAATTGATAAATAGATTCTCGTTATATTGATATTGTAAAATATCAGCTGTTGAAATAATATGAAGCTTTTTTCATAGCATTTGCAGTGCTCACTCGACAAAGAGTTTCCTATAATGACCGGCAGATGATCCTTTTCAGTATCAATATGCAGAATACCTGATAATCAGTACTTACAAGGACAAAATTCAAGTATCTGAATTGATCCATTGTGTGTTCTCATATTTCAGTCATTTAAGATGTGCTATTTCATAAATAATTCACAAATTGTGTTGTATAATATTATCTTTGGTAAACTAATTCAAATATTAAGACAATAATGTGCACTTAATGATATGCATGGACAAATATTTATTATTCATTAGATGCTTATTCAAAATAGTTATAAAGTTATGCAGTAATACAAATCTATTAATATAAGATAACTGCAGATGATATAAAAATAAGAAGATGTGATATAATTGCCAATGAAATAACTATAGCTATCCACCAGAGGACAAATGACAAAGATATAACCATAGATTAAAACACACAGGAGTAAAATATGTGATATGCTTTAACATATGTCAACTCTATGAGAGATTACCAAAACCCAACAACACACATGTTTTTTTGTTCTATAAGACTTTTGATTAATATCTTAGAGAAATGAAGGCTTCAGAGCAAATGCAATGTGATTTCCCTTATAATTAATATTTCCAAGGGGCATAACTCATTAAAATATTTGATCAGAACTTATTATCGAAAGTGTCAAAGACATTGCTGATAGAAACCTATGATATAAGTTTCATAAAATTCTGGTAAGAATTAATTAAACTTATGAGAGCGCTAACAATGCAATTTTCCGTATAATCAATTTCCAAGGGCATAACTCTTTTAAAAATAATTGATCCGCACTTATTTTCGAACTTGTCAAAGACATTGATGATATAAACCTATAATATAAATTTCATAAAAATCTGGCAAGAATTGTACATACAGTATTAGAGCACTCATAAGGTAATTTTCCATATAATAAATATTTCCAAGGGGCATAACTTTTTTAAAAATAATTGATCGGCACTGATTTTCGAACTCGTCAAAGACATTTCTGATATAAACCTATTATTAAAATTTCAGAAAATTCTTGCAAGAATTGTGCACATGAGAGCCCTTACAATGCAATTTTCCATATAATTAATGTTTTCAAGGTGCATAACCCTTTTAAAAAATAATTCATCAGCACTAATTTTCTAACTTATTCAAGACATTACTGATATAAACCTATGATATAAGTTTCATAAAAATCTGGCAAGAATTGAACAAATGAGAGCGCTTACTATGCAATTTTCTATATAGTGAATGTTTCCAAGGGGCATAACTCTTTAAAAAATAATTGATCGGGACTGACTTTCTAACTCATCCAAGACATTGCTGATATAAACCTGTGATATAAGTTTCATAAAAATCTGGCAAGAATTGAACAATTGAGTGCTAACGATGCAATTTTCCATATAATTAATGTTTCCAAGGGGCATAACTCTTTTGAAAATAATTGATCGGAACTTATTTTCAAACTCGTCCAATACATTGCTGATATAAACCTATGATATAAGTTTCATAAAAATCTGGCACGAATTGTACATGTGAGAGCGCTAACAAGACCGGACGGACGGATGCACAGACAATTGGACGCCAGGTATTTCTATGTCCCAGGCAACGCATTGCGCGGGGGACAAAAACAACCATTTTTTAAAATGAGAAATTCTATACCAACATGATCTGGTATTACGGTAATTAGTTTTGTATTATTGTCCTCTGTCAATGATTTTGAATTAAAAATGAAGCACATAATTCTTCATAAAAAGTAACCTTTAAAAATAAGCATCCAAACAAAAAATAGATTTTAAGTTGATTTGCATAACTTTTGATTACAATCTTGTCAAAAAAAAACACTTCAGTACGAACAGCCTATACTTATTCCTAGATTAAGTGTTTGACTCTTGCAGTTTATAAGATGCTGTGCATCAGGTACGTTAAAAAATTATCCTTATAAATTTTATTCACAAAATTTGAAAAATATCTTATTCTACCATAAAAAACAATAAAATGTGGTAAATAGTAATGCCTTGGACGACGTTATTTCTTTTTCCAGCAGAAGATATTTCAAATCTTGTAAACACATGATACAGTAAATATAAATAAGAAAATGTGGTATGAGTGCCAATGAGTCAACTCTCCATACAAGTTACAATGTATATAAAGTTAACAATTATAGGTCAAAGTAAGGCCTTCAACACAGAGCCTTTGCTCACACCAAACAGCAAGCTATAAAGGGCCCCAAAATGAGTGTAAAACAAGTAACTCTGCATATTACAGTAACAAATAGGGTCTACATTACATTTATACACACAATATACTTACAATGCCTGCTGCCATTTTCTGTTAGAAATAAAATTTAAAATCTTCCAATACCAGTTTAAGGAATTTATGCAGAGATGGAGAAAGCATGCTGGGGCATTGGCCCTTTTAAAAGTTCTGTGTTTTCATATATTTTCTTTGTTGGTAGATACATTTCGGTTTTAACGGAGTAAAATAATGATAGGGTCACCGACCTTGTTTTTATGGTATACATCATTCAAAGTTGTAATCTAGGTGAAAAAATACTACAAAACGTCGATATAAGCATAACATCATCACGCTGTAGGCTGTAAAACGTTGATTTTTCACGTTTTTTACCTACCAACTAGGTAACAGATTGGTTGACACACCAAAAATGAAGTCGGTGACCTTATCATTTCTTTATATCATTAAAACGGAAATTTATGTACTAACAACATACAGTTTTTAATAAATATCTATGTATTTGAAATTTGAGATTTGATGATTTAAAGACACGTTTAAGAAAGTTTTTTCGCTTATTTTATGTGCTTTCTATACAAATGTTCACCTACTTTGAATGAATTCAATCAGTAATATTTCAGACAATAAAAGAAACAAAGGCATTATTTTTTTTGATTTTCAGTTATACTTCAATGAGCCAAAGTTGTATGCAAAATTTTATCAAAATCTGTGACATAGCCCATTTACTGTTCCTTGACCTTAAATAAATGCATATTTTTATTACCAAAAATAGTTTTAATCTGTATGATAGTGTATGCAACATTGTACTTCATGATGCACTTCTACATCAACATTGTACTTCATGATGCACTTCTACATTAACATTGTACTTCATGATGTACTTCTACATCAACATTGTACTTCATGATGTTCTTCTACATCAACATTGTACTTCATGATGCACTTCTACTTCAACATTGTACTTCATGATGCACTTCTACTTCAACATTGTACTTCATGATGCACTTCTACATCAACATTGTACTTCATGATGTACTTCTACATCAACATTGTACTTCATGATGCACTTCTACATCAACATTGTACTTCATGATGCACTTCTACATCAACATTGTACTTCATGATGCACTTCTACTGTGTACATCAACATTGTACTTCATGATGCACTTCTACTGTGTACATCAACATTGTACTTCATGATGCACTTCTACTGTGTACATCAACATTGTACTTCATGATGCACTTTTACATCAACATTTTACTAAAGCCACTAAATTATATTTATTTGTACCTGTATTCAATTGGCCACTGGTTTTATGAAGCACTTTTCTTTGCTCATCCTCAAAAGCCTACAAAATACATGTATATATATAATTATGTAATGTGTCAATCAATATATTATATCTGTTCAAAATATGGATATAACCATTGTCCAAATTTTATTGAAATAAATGGGGAATGTGTCCATGGGACACAGATGATGCCCCCACTTGCATATAAAATTATAAAGGGACATAACTCAAGAACTGTAAAAGTGACGCTACCCAAATTTGTACTTGATCTGAGTTTTGTGGTAATAAGCATTGTTTATAAGTTTCAAAACATTTAGTTGGGGCAAACTTTAGAGAACGGAAACGAAAAATTCAGCAATTTTTCCTTTGTAAAGGGGCATTACTCTATAACATAAAAGTGATGCCACCAAAATTCGAACTTTACCTGTGTTTTGTGGTAATTAGCATTGTGCATAAGTTTCATAACATTTGGTTGAGGCAAAATAAAGTTAGAGAATAGAAGCGAATATTTCAGCAATTTTTCCATTTGTAAAGGGGCATAAATCTAGAACGGTAAAAGTTCCACCACCAAAATTCAATCTTGATCTGTGTTTTGTGGTAATTAGCATTGTGTATAAGTTTCGTAACATTTGAAAGTTAGAGAATGGAAGCGAAAAATTCAGCAATTTTTCCACTTGTAAAGGGGCATAACTCCAGAACAATAAAAGTGACGCCACTAAAATTCAATCATGATCTGTGTTTTGTGGTAATAAGCATTGTGTATAAGTTTAATAACATTTGGTTGAGGCAAATTAAAGTTAGAGAACCGAAACGAAAAATTCAGCAATATTATTATATATGTAAAGGGGCAAAACTCTAGAACGGTATAATGACACCACCAAAATTCAAACCTGATCTGTGTTTTGTGGTAATAAAGCATTGTGTATAAGTTTCATAACAATAGGTTGAGGCAAACTAAAGTTAGAGAACGGAAACCAATTTTGGGATGTACAGACAGACAGACAGACGTACAAGGGTAAAACTTAATGCCCCATGCTACAGCGGGGGCATAAAAATGACCCTTTTCATGGTATTTTTTTTTTATGTTTATTGTTAGCTACTAAATACGTCTTTAAATGATTGACTGGTGTTTAACACCACTTTCAGCACTATTGGCTATTCCATGGTAGTCAGTTTTTATTGGTGGAGGAAGCTGTAGTGCTTGCAAAGAATCACCATCCATCGGCAGGAAAACTGACAATTCTAGTTAATTAAGATTGGAGTTGAACTGCCTCATGCAGTGTTTAAACTCACAACCTCATGAGTGTTGACAGGCTAGTGATACAGTGGTTGAACTACTTAGATCCCTCAGCCATTGATGACCCTACACATGTCTTTGAAGAAACATATTCAAGTGAAGACAATAAATAGCAAATAGAACTAGCAAAGTACTGGTTCAAAGTCTATCATTTGTTTCAGGTCAGAGGGCTTACTTCAAACAACAAAAGTAAAAAAGAGTATTATAAAGACCTTTGTATTAAAACATACAATAAGAAGTAAAGTTGATAAACTGCTTCGCTGAGCGCAGCTAGATACGCCCGCAGAGGTCCAACCCTGAACAGTTGGGGCAAAAATGGACACAATATTCAAGCTTGATTCAGGTCTGAATTTGGATTGTAATTAAATATTTGACATATTATAGGTTTCTGAATAAATGTAGTCAAAGAACTTGAAATTGGTTATATGAATTGAATTTATATTCAATTAAAGATTTCTTGCTGTTGTGCAATACTTAGTAAATCTGTTGTCAGACTATAAACAAATAAAGTTCAATTAATTCTCAATGTCATATTAGAAATTTATGAAAATAAAAAGGGAGCTTACATCAATAGATATAAACAATTCACCAAAGTTTCAGGAGAATTGGTGACAGCATTTTTGAGTTATTGTCCGAAAAATGGAAAATCACCCCTTTTTTTAATGAATAAACCCCATAACTCAGAAATGTAAAATGTTAAATTTATAAAATTCTAAAGGGCGCTTGCATCAATACATACAAACAATTCACCAAAGTTTCATAAGAATTGCTGAAAGCATTTTTGAGTTTTTGTCCGAAAACTGGAAAATCCCCCCTTTTTTATGAATAAAACCCTGTAACTCGGAAACGTAAAATCTAAAATTTATAAAAATCAAAAGGGAGCTCATGCCAATAGATATAAACAATTTACCAAAATTTCTTGCAAATTGGTTAAAGCATTTTTGAGTTAATGTCTGACATGTTGACGACGGACAGACGGACGGACAGACGGACGGACAGACGGACAACAGTATACCATAATACGTCCCGTAAACGGGCGTATAAAAAAGGCAATAAAAATGCCCTTTAAAGCTTGCTGTGCTGTTTGAGCCAAGGCTCCGTGTTGAAGACCGTACTTTGACCTATAATGGTTTACTTTTACAAATTGTGACTTGGATGGAGAGTTGTCTCATTGGCACTCATACCACATCTTCTTATATCTATGTACTACATGAACAAATTTTGAACCAAAACTTTGCTTGAAACTTTGTCTATTGACTGACATTAAGAATGAAAAAACTTTGCAACTGTAAAGACCTCAGAATTTAGTTTCTACCTTTGTCTCAGTAACTATATTTTTTTTCTATTCAAACAATATATACCCTAACCGCAGCAGTATCTTCAGGATAGATAACAAACAGTACATACCCTAACCGCAGCAGTATCTTCAGGATAGATAACAAACAGTACATACCCTAACCGCAGCAGTATCTTCAGGATAGATAACAAACAGTACATACCCTAACCGCAGCAGTATCTTCAGGATAGATAACAAACAGTACATACCCTAACCGCAGCAGTATCTTCAGGATAGATAACAAACAATACATACCCTAACCGCAGCAGTATCTTCAGGATAGATAACAAACAATACATACCCTAACCGCAGCAGTATCTTCAGGATAGATAACAAACGATACATACCCTAACTGTAGCCGTATCTTCAGGATAGAAAACAAACAATACATACCCTAACCGCAGCAGTATCTTCAGGATAGATAACAAACAATACATACCCTAACTGTAGCAGTATCTTCAGGTTAGATAACAAACAATACATACCCTAACCGCAGCAGTATCTTCAGGATAGATAGCAAACAGTACATACCCTTACTGCAGCAGTATCTTTAGGATAAATAACAAACAGTGCATACCCTTACTGCAGCAGTATCTTCAGGATAGATAACAAACAATACATACCCTAACTGCAGCAGTATCTTCAGGATAGATAACAAATTCTACAGTCTTTATACTGGTATCAGGGACCTTTTTTCTGTACAAAAGTACTATCTCAAACATTGTCTTGGCAACTATGTCAACAGGAAAATTAAGTACTCCTGTACCGATAGCAGGAAAAGCAATCGATGTCATCTTATGGTCAGATGCTGATTTCATACACATGCCTATGAATATCTGAAGTATCTACAATGAAAATCAATTAAAAAAGTTAATACTTTTCCGTCATATTTGTGAACATAAAGTGCATTCAGAAGGCCAAAATAAACAGAATATTCATCATGTTGAATGTGGGCAGTACATGGAAGAAGAACTGTGTTTAAGATTAATGACACTGAAGAAATGACAAAACATGATCCTGATTGGTTCATCAATAAAAATATCATGGATGATGGGGAATTTTTTGTTAAATGTATCAAATTAATATAAAACAGTTAAATTAAAATTCATACGTATATGAGGAAACTGTTTTCCCAACAACCATCAAATTCATTCAGTGCACATTTAAAAAAAAAAGTCCTTGCAGAATGCATGTGAAATTTTTCGGAAAAAAAATTACATATGTCACCTAACTGAGTACTTCCTCCCCTAAAATTTATAAATAAATGAATAAAAATATATTAACAATCACATTAGTGATAGTCAATTAAAAAATGGCAATCATTCAAATAATTATCATGATTATGTCAGATTAAATTATGACCGAATGACTTGGACCATTGATTAAACATATTTTTGTCGTAATTTATATTACAATAATACCAATACTGTTATTTACTTACCAAAATTATTGCAGATTTATTATTGCAATTTTCATTTATCCGCCAAAATAAGCAAAAATACTAACACCTTATATGGTATTCGAACCATTAAAGGGAGCTAACACACCATGGACTATACTCTTACCTTGACACTTATGCTGTCCAAACCATTAAAGGGAGCTAACACACCATGGACTATACTCTTATTTTTACACTTATGCTCTCCAAACCACCAAAGGGGGCTAACACACCATAGACTATATTCTCACCTTGACACTTATGGTATCTGAACCATCAAAGGGAGCTAATACACCATAGACTATATTCTTACCTTGACACTTATGGTATCTGAATTATCAAAGGAGGCTAACACACCATAGACTATATTCTTACCTTGACACTTATGCTGTCCAAACCATCAAAGGGAGCTAATACACCATAGACTATATTCTCAACTTGACACATATGCTGTCCAAACCATTAAAGGGAGCTAACACACAATGAACTATAGTCTTACCTTGACACTTTTGCTGTCCAAACCATTGAAGGGAGCTAACACACAATGGACTATATTCTAACCTTGACACAAATGATGTCTAAACCATACAAAGGAGCTAATACACCAAGGACTATAATATTCTTACCTTGACACTTTTGGAGTCCAAACCATCAAAGGGAGCTAACATACCATGGACTATATTTTTACAGGGCATATTTCCACCTGATGTTACTGCCACATTCTGGAAAGGTTGGAATGTACCTATGTACTGGTATATCTCTGTTTGTATTATGTCTCCAGCAGCTACCAGTATAGATTTTGACAATCTGCCACGAGACAGATCTAGATTATGACTCACTGAGTTAACAATAACATCAACCTGAAACCAAATAAGTTTTAAGAAATCATGGTAAAGATACATATCGGACATCTATTTTCAGGTTGATGACATGTGTATAGAAAGCTCCGTCTTACATATGTTCAAACCTTTTAAGCAAATCATATCCGATAGTAATTTCGGACTAAAGAGTATCGGGCCAAAGTATCTATGGATGGTGTTCAAGTTCATTATTGATATGTAATTCCAATGACATGACATCTTATACAGATAAACACAGACTGTTTTGGTGTACATGGGCATGGTGGGTTCAAGTATTTTCATAAACTATTAAAATGTTTCACAGTGTTATTTTTGATGCATCAGATTATGAATTATGCACATCACTTAAATCAATATTGTTAAAGAGGAATGGTAAGGAAAAATGAAAAATCTATGTGAATTAAGTATTTTTTCTGACAACGATCTTTTTGTGTGTTGTCCCTTACCAAGAATTGTTCATTTTTTTTCTTTAGAACTCACAATAATTCCTTGATCTTATCCCATATGTATAAGATAAATTGATAACTGTTAACCAAAACATACTAAAATCAGACTTTCACCTTACATCTCAGTTCAGTCATTTCAGCAGATTTATGTGAATATAAGAACAAACAAAGAAAAAATACAGAAAATAAAAGTAAGAAAAAAAGTAAGAACAACCATGACAACCAGAAATTTCATTCAATTTGCAAAAATAACATTGCATCAAATTTTCATCTATACAGTATATATAATAAGTCTGTGGTTTCTCCCCACTGGTTGGATCAGTTGTGGAAAGATTCGTTTGACCAACTTTTAGTGCTGATAAGAACCAGAGGAGTTCAATACAAGAAATTGGCATTGCTATGCCAAATCTTATAATGTCAAACATCTCTTGTAACTTGTTGATAATTGTAACCTCTTTAAAACTTTTTTGAAAAATCATATCCTTAAAAAATTGAAAAGATAAGGAATATGTTTGTACAAGAAAAAGTAGTCAGAAAATAATAAGATAGGAATAGTATTTCAATAGATTATAGGGCCATAAAATAGAGCAGCCAATCTTGTAATACCCGGTATATGTTTCTGTTAGAACTAAAGTAATAGTACTGCACATTTGAAAATAATAATAATAAAAAAAAAAATGGAGTCATAAATTGACAGTTCATTAACAATGTACCAGGTAAATTACTTTGATTGCTGTATTAAAAGATTCTAAACTTATGATAGCTAAGTTATTGCATGAACTTTAGAAAAATTTACAAACAAACATTTTATTCATGCCCATAATGCACTGTTCTTAAACACAATAAATAATCACATGATCTGCCTAGCAGTGAGCCAGAACCTCTGGTTATTAACTGAACTTACCTTTCTCTCTGTGAGCAGACCTTTGACAACCTTTATGAAATCACCATCAGATCCTGAGGAAGTATCTCTGGACGCGGTATGATGGTTTGACCTGTCGGAAGGGGAATCAGAAGTTGCCTCCCCTGAATTTGGGTAGAGGAGTGGACTGCTTGGAGCATCATCAGCTTGAATATCTGGATATCTGATTGGTTGTAAATCTGACTCAGAATCATGACTAGGATATTTAAGGGGTTGTTGTACATCTGAATACAGATGCTTGCCTGAAAAATTATAATGCATATTATATCTTAATTTTAATACTGTGGATTCATTTATTTTCGTGGGTACCAATTTTCGTGGATTGACAAAGTGTGCATACATTCATTTAGAAAATTTGTAATTCGTTGAGCATTTAAATTTGTGGTTCCCCTGTTCCCACGAAAATCCACAAAAATTGGTATCCAACGAATATTAATGAATCCACAGTAACTATAACATGTACTATTTTTGTGTCAGTTATAGTAACTAATCATAGTATATTGTTTTCAATTATTGTAACAATTCAACAAAAAACACTAGTAGTAACAAATATGTTTCTCTCTCAAAGTACTACATTCAAATATTACTTTAACATTGGAATTCATATCACTTTTCGATTATACTGTGAAAAAGAAATACCAACACACATGTGTATGAAAGTTTAACTTCTGATTTTACAGTATTCTTTTATATTTCATATCGTATTTAAAGACTTTTATCAGGAATGGAGGAAATCTACATAAAATTATTATTTTTATAAATATATTTCTCCTAATTAGTACCTGTACTGTACTACATTTACTGTCTTGCTTTTAAAGTCAGTTTTGCAATGTGTAAATGCTTTATTTCATGTAAGAATTATGGTTATTACTTGAGATATTTGACCAAATAATTGTATCTAGATTTGATATCCTGTGATAGCATCCCAATAAACAGCTGCGCCAGGAGCGCATGATACGCCCGTCGTCTTGTGTGTGAGGTTTTATGCAATAATCATAAATCGTTTCTGAGATACGGCGCGACATGTGAAACACCCCCCCCCCCTTTTTTTACAAAAAACTCAATAACTCTAAAATAAAATTTTGAATCATCACCAAAAAGTATACAGATCTTTAGATTAATATAACTAAGAAGTGTGTAAAGTTTTAAGCAATAATCATAAATCGTTTTTGAGATACGGCGCGACATGTGAAAAAAACACCCCCGGTCAGACGGACAGACGGACAGACAGACAGACAGACAGACAGACAGACAGACAGACAGACAGCCGACAGACAGACAGACAGACAGACAGACAGCCAGCCGACATTTGTATACCATAATACGTCCCGTCAAAATTTTGACGGGCGTATAAAAATGAGACAAAAAAAACCTACAATTATTCTTTCATCTTTCATTATGTCTTTTGACTTATGAAATGACTGTTGAAATCAGATTCCAGTAATGAGTTTGGGTAGAAGATTCATTTAAACTTCTCCTCGTCTGAAATGTTTAGGGCTATCAAGGTCAAATGCTGAACTTTCAGTTACCTCTTTCCGTACTTTTTTCATTGCTATAAGCATCCTGTAATGCATCCTGGAATAGCTTAATTGTTTCCCCACTGATATCACATAGATATACTCCAGTAACAGTTGTCGTGCTGCCATTCTGATCAAAGTATTCCTTAATAGTCTCAACAATAGTGATGGTACACTTTTCCAGGGGGTAACCAAATATTCCTCCACTCAACGCAGGAATGGCGACTGTCTTGTAATGTCTCTGCTCCGTCAACGCCAAGCATTGTAATACAGCTGCCTTGAGTAAGAGTTTTTCCCCTTGGTGTCCACCTTTCCAGACAGGACCTACTGCATGGATAATCATCTTACACGGTAATTTACCAGGTTTGGAGTAGATTGCATCACCATCATGTACCTGACCATGTTTTTTTGTGTATTCATGGCATTCATCTTGCACTGTTTTTCCAGCTGTAAATATTAAAAAAAAATACATATAAAGCAAGAAACAAACAAGATCTAATAAAAGGGAGAAATATTTTAGATGTAATAATGTAGATCTTGCAGAACATCCAAATTGAATAAATAATGCATCACTCAATAATATACATGGAAAAACAGTTCAACGAAACGCTTGTTATACTGTGAATTCACGGGTATCAATTTCAAGAAAAAAAAGCCTGCATATGTATATAAATATTTTTGTCAAATGAGTCTCTCTTTAATAAACATCTTCACAGCCAACATTTACCATATAAACATTAGATCATCATATGCCCAGTGAGACAACTTAACCCACCAAAGACTAATGGATATCACAACAACAGTGCACACGCTGAAATGTCTTACCTGCTTTACTGACCATTGATTTTATGTTGATAGTCTTAAATATAAAGCTTTACTACAAATAACACATAAACTTAACATGATCTAAGAAAATGAGGTCAAGGTCAGATAAATCAAACCAGCAATACATGTACACCTTACAATCATTCCATACACCAAATATAGTTGACCTATTGCTTATAGTTTCTTAAAAACGAACTTAACCAAGAAAACTTAACATTAACCAATGAAATATGAAAATGAGGTCAAGGTCAGATGAACCATGCCAGACAGACATGTACACATTATAATCAATCAATGCATTAAATATAGTTGACATATTGCTTATAGCATCTAAGAAACAAACTTAACCATGAAAACTTCACATTGACTAATGAACCATGAAAATGAAGTCAAGGTCAGATGATAACAGCCAGACAGACATATACACCTTACAATCATTCCATACACCAAATATAATTGACCTATTGCTTATAGTTTAAGAAAAGTGAACAATAACATAAAACTTAACACTGAGCAATGAATAGTGAAAATTAGATCAAAGCATACCTGTCAACCTATGAAAATGAAAATGCAGGTCATGACCTGCATTGAAGAAGAAAATCTCAGGTCATAAGGCGTATGAACTTTTTTTCAGCTGAATTTAAGTATTTACATGATTTAGGGGATATTTCTTTATATTTCAAATCGAACAGTTTTCAAAATATGTTCACATGATGAAGTATTAACCGAAAATAATTTAAGGCTTTAATTTTATTTTTTCATTGCAAATTAAACCATTGAAATTTTAATGTGTTATGCTTTATCAATTCAAGCCAAGCCATACCCCCTCTCCTTGTTTCATTCATAGCATTATATCAATTCTCTAGCTACTTGTTTCACATTATGTGCATCTTCTCAGTGATGAGGGTGGTTTTTAACGACCTTGACTACCCATGAGGGTCTTGCACAGTCAGTAAATGCTCAAAGATTGTTGATATTGGAATGTAATAAAATAATTAAGCATTTAAATGAAGTAGAGATAAAAAAAAATAATTTTTGTTGAAATCAAACAAAAGTTTAATTTTGGACCCCAACTTGGACCAACTTGAAAACTGGGCCCATAATCAAAAATCTAAACACATGTTTAGATTCAGCATATCAAATAACCCCAAGAATTCAATTTTTGTTAAAATCAAACTAAGTTTAATTTTGGACCCTTTGGACCTTAATGTAGACCAATTTAAAAAACGGGACCCAAAATTAAAAATCTAAATACACGGTTAGATTTGGCATATCAAAGAACCCCAATAATTAAATTTTTGATGAAATCAAACAAAGTTTAATTTTAGACCCTTTTGACCTCAATATGAACCAATTTGATAGCGGGCCCACAAATAAAAATCTAAATACATGGTAAGATTCAGCATATCAACGAAACCCCATATATTCAATTTTTGTTGAAATCAAACAAAGTTTAATTTTGGACCCCAATTTGGACCAACTTGAAAACTGGGCCAAAAATCTAAAATCTAAATACATGTTTAGATTCAGCATATCAAAGAACCCCATATATTCAATTTTTGTTGAAATCAAACAAAGTTTTATTTTGGACCCCAACTTGGACCAACTTGAAAACTGGGCCCATAATCAAAAATCTAAACACATGTTTAGATTCAGCATATCAAAGAACCCCAAAAATTCAATTTTTGTTTAAATCAAACTAACTTTAATTTTGGACCCTTTTGACCTCAATATGAACCAATTTGATAGCGAGGTCCACAAATAAAAAATCTAAATACATGGTTAGATTCAGCATATCAAAGAACCCCATATATTCAATTTTTGTTGAAATCAAACAAAATTTAATTTTTGACCCCAATTTGGACCAACTTGAAAACTGGGCCAAAAATCAAAAATCTAAATACATGTTTAGATTCAGCATATCAAAGAACCCCATATATTCAATTTTTGTTAAAATCAAACAAAGTTTAATTTTGGAACCTTTGGACCTTAATGTAGACCAATTTGAAAACTGGACCCAAAATTAAAAATCTAAATACACGGTTAGATTCAGCATAACAAATAAATAAATGTGGTCAAAGATTTTACAAATCTAATGCGCCATACTGGTCTTCCTTTATAAATATGCATTTCTTTAAACATAATTTAAAAGCAGTGTAAGGGAAGTAACCAAAACGTTGTATTTGGATTACCTCCCTTACACTGTTTTAAATTATCTTAATTGTTCATTAACCATTACTATATACATAATTTAAAAGCAGTGTAAGGGAGATAATTTCAATGATGTATTTGATTTATCTCCCTTACACTGCTTTAAATTATGTTTTGTACTAAAGTATTTGTCCATTAATGAGGACAACCTTGTTTTTCCCCCTTTTTTGCCCCTAATTCTTAAACGGTTTGAGCAATAACCCCCCAAAGCAAATCCTAACCATCCCTTTGTGGTATGGAAACTTGTAGTATAATTTCAGAGAGATCCATACACCGTTCCACAGTTATTGTCTGGAAACTAGAAAATGCTTATTTTTGGCCCCTTTTTGGCCCCTAATTCCTTAACTGTTGGTACCATAACCCCCAAAATCAATCCCCACCTTCCTTTTGTGGTATTGAACCTTATGGTAAAATTTCATAGAGATCCATTCACTTAAACTAAAGTTAGAGTGCGAAAACTAATGCGTCTTCTGACGACGACGACGACGACACCGACGACGCCAACGTCATACCAATATACGACCACAAAAATTTTTTTGCGGTCGTATAAAAATAAAAGAAAGTCATATTCTGATATGTATTTGCATTCAATTCTTCTCTCTTTCTATAATTATATTAAAGATAATACATAACCCAAAACTGTAAAATTTCCTTAAAATTAACTATTTCTGGACAGTAACCCAACAATAAGTTGTCCTATTGGTCTGAAGATTACTTGACAGGTAGATCTAAACCTGTTTAACACTTTCACCTATGTCAGTTTTGCTCTTATTGCTTTAGTTTTTGAGATGAAAGCCAAAAACTTCATTTGACCCCTATGATCTATTTTTAGAAACTGCTGCCATGTTTTTGAATGGATCAAATCCCTGAATACAATCTATAAACTACATACCTTAAGGAATATTCAATTAAAGTTTTTAAGTATTTGGCCAAGTAGTTTCCATGGTTTCAGAGAAGAAGATTTTTGAAAATGTAATTGGACTTTCACAAAAAATGTTTTAAGGGCAATAACTCCTCAAGGGGTCAATTGACTATTTTGATCATTTTGACTTATTTGTAGATCTTACTTAGCTGAACATTTATTGCCATTTATACTTTCTCTCTATCTATTATAATATTAAAGAAAATAACCAAAAACAGTAAAATTTAATAAAAATAAACTATTTCCAACAGTAACCCAATGGGTTGTCGAACTCATCTGAAAATTTCATGACAGATAGATCATGACCCATTTATCACTTAAACTCCATTTCACTTTTGCTCTAACTGCTGTAGTTTTTGAGATATAAGCCAAAAACTGCATTTGACCCCTATGTTCTATTTTTAGCCATGGTGGCCATGTTTATTGATGGATCAAAACTTCTGATACAATTTATAAACTATATATACAATTTATAAACTATATACACTAAGGAACAAAAGTTGAAGGTATTTGGCCCAGTAGTTTCAGAGGAGAAGATTCTTGAATTGTTTACGACGACGACAGACGACGGATGCCAAGTGATGGCATAAGCTCACATGGGGCCCTTCGGACTCCGGTGAGCTAAAAAACATAAAATTAAAGTGTATATTGTGAAAGGTGACAAAAAAGGGGTAGTAACTCAAATTTATTGTCAAACAACTTTGAAATCATCAAATTATCTATGAACTTACCCTAAGGTAATTGGTGTTAATTAACAGTGTGTTTGACACCAAAGCTGTCAACTGAAGCCATGCACTTAATGGTTCACTTAATTTGACAGTTAACACAGCTATTTGAACCTCCTGTCCAGGAAGGATTACAAATTTGCCGGTATTTCAAAGGAAAATCACTTATGAAATCAGTCTAAAGGCTCAAGAATCCGGGTCACTTTCTAATTCACGGGTTATTTAACGACCCGGGGGGTATTTGAAAATCCCAGGTATGGGGTGAAATTCTCGGGTGTGACCTGCAGGATACGGGTCAATTGACAGGTATGGGTCAAGGTTAAATAAAACCTACCAGACAAACATGTACATCGTAAAATATTTCCTTACACCAAATATAGTTGACCTATTGCATATAGTATTAGAAAAAAGACCAAAAAACAAAAACTTAACTTAAACCATTGAACCATGAAAATGAGGTCAAGTTCAGATGACAACTGCCAGTTGGACATGTACACCTTACAATCATTCCATATACAAAATATAGTCGACCTATTGCTTATAGTATCTGAGATATGGACTTGACCACGAAAACTTAACCTTATTCACTGTTCCATGAAATGAGATTGAGGTCAGATGAAAACTGTCTGACAGGCACGAGGACCTTGCAAGGTATGCACATACGAAATATAGTTATCCTTTTACTCATAATAAGAGAGAAATTAAGATTACAAAGATTCTTAACTTTTTTTTCAAGTAGTCACTGAACCATGAAAATGAGGTCAAAGACAATGGACATATGACAGACAGAAACTTCATAACATAGACATCTATATATACAAAGTATGAAGCATCCCAGTCTTCCACCTTCTAAAATATAAAGCTTTTAAGTAATTAGTTAAGGTTGCCGTCACAGAATCACTATCCCTATGTCGAGCTTTCTGCAACAGAAGTCGCAGGCTCAACAAAAATATAAACCAAGAAATCTTTGATTAGGCGAAGATTGACATAAATCTTTTGACTAGGCAATCACTTACTGAAAAACCTAGTTTTGTTAGCCAGCATTTGACTAAGAAATCTATGATAGTCATTCATGGACATCTTGTTTGACTGACAAATTATTTGACTAGCTAATCATTGACTGATACACCTAAACCTTAATCAATAATGACTGGTAACAAAGTTCTGTTACATTATTTGGTTAAATGCTTAATCAGACTGAGAAACTCTAATGATTCATAAAAAGAATGCATTACCTGCATCTGCAATAGCTTTAGCCAAGCCTCCACAATGGTCCATATCATTGTTAGCAGCATTAACTATAGCATCTACTTCTAGCTGTGTAATATCTCCTTCCACAAGGTAAATCTTATGCACCTCGTCATGCATAAACACTCTCTTAACACCTGGTGCAGACAACCTCAATTCCCCACCTTTCTCAGCTCTCCTGGCTTTTTCTTCTGAATAATCAGTCTCTTGGAGTACTACAGAAGAATGTTTTTTACCTATGTCTACAGTTTCTTTTTTGCCTGGTGATGATAAAAAGTACTCTCTTATTCCATAGGAATGGAGTTTGTGTTTGTCTGAATGAATAGTTTTCATCAAGGCTTCCAGTTTATTGCTTGCGAGGGTAACTCCTGTTTTATTTCCCTTTATTTCATAAGAATAATTTTGATTGTCTGAAGTAATTTTGACATCCATGCTTTTCAAACTTTTTTCAATTTTCTGTATTTCTTTCTGATGGTTATGTCGAAGATAAAGATGAATACCTTTATCACAGTTTACTATTTTTGTGTGCCTACAATGAAGTTTTGTAAACTCATCTATTTCTTTCTCCATATCTAACTTGATTCCTTGGAAGATATACTTTGTTGCAGCTAACTGAATCCTTCCACGATCTGTTCTAATACAGAAGCAGTTCTCGTCTCGTTCTGCTAGTCTATCTTGAAGCTCCGTCCATTGAGAAGATTGAATAAAATCTTCATAATTTTCATCCACCACAAATTCATCCTCTAAAAATAGATCTTCAATGCATATTATTGCCCTTTCAGCATCTTTTTTGGAGTCTGCATACATTTCACACACATGACCACGATCTATATTCCAGGTAGCTATTATCTGCTTAGTTTTGGCTTCCTGGTACCAAACTTCCCTTGCCCCTTTTTTGAATAGCAGGTCCTTTTTTTGTTTGCTCATCTTGAAAGTCTTTACCACAAAGGAGTTTGTGGTTTCACGCAAAAATAATTCAGCAGATTGCATGGATTCAACATTCCCAGACAGAGTTACCTCTCTTGTATCCAGATTACACTTTGCCTCTAATCCGGGATATTTTTTCAGAACTACATCAAAATATTTCAATAGCCACAGTAACTGTAACTTGTATTTTTTAAATGAAAGAACTTTAGTTGGTGTTGTCTGTGAACTTCTCCCCTCTGAACGGGACACAATTTTTTGTATATCCTGATACAATTCTTTAATGATATTTCTGTCACCGACCATCAAAATATCATGACTTTCTTTTTCCAAAATAACATAAGCCTTTTCCGGATCAGTAATGATCAAAGTTCGTAATCCTTTCACAACCTCGCCCCAAGCCTCTGGTAAGGTCGTTATTCTCATCGTTGTCAATGTTGATATATATTTCTCAGTACAATTGTTGATGTCTGTCTGCCATGATTCTACGGCTTTCTGTCCTTCAGATGTTGACAAATCCAGGTCACATATGATCTTAACTTCATCATTCTCCATATCTTCTGGCCATTCAATGTGTCCATATAATGCCTCTAATTTCTTTTCAAAATCTTCCTTCATGCTTGGTAAATTTTTTATGAACTTCAAAATGTTTAAATCTGCTGAGATAATTTCTGGTTCTGGAATTTCTTGTACTTTCCCTGGCTTTCCAAGAAATTCATAAAATAGGCAAACCTCCAAACTTCTATTGCCAATTTTCTGAGTTTTGTCACATACCCTTCTAGCCACTAAAAAAATATAAAAAAAATTATAATTACAATAAAAATATTCAATAGCATCAAAAGTTATCTTAGTTTAAAATAAAATTAAACAAAATTTTGTTGTGGATATACATTATTTAAAATTTTTGAAAATGATTTGAATCAAATCAACTAAGTGTTATCCTTACAGCAACATGAAATGAAATAAAACCCTGTGAGCGCAGGAAATAGGCAATCACTTTTTACTCAATATTTTAGAGACATAGTTTTCTATACATTGAAATTTCACCTGACAAGATCCTATATTCATCAAATTCATAAGATTTACTTCATTATTGAAAAACTTATAAGAAAAGGCTATTGACAATTGAGATTTAAAAAATTAAAAGTTTTAATTCTATGACACAGATATTTTAGCAACTTGAACATTTACTTTTATTTTTATACTACATCCTTCCCAAGAAATTTACTTCCAATTTTCAAAATGATAGAGTAAAATCCTTTCTGATTCCATCTGAAGCATTGATGATCTCATGTTTTGTTCAAAATAAATCTAAATTTAGTTATTCCAAGAGTTCTAAACTGTTCAAATCACAACTAAATGAAATTTTATCAAACCAGAATTTCCAGGTTGCCACATTTGGAGCAGGATCTGCTTACCCTTCCGGAGCACCTGAGATCACCCACATTTTTGGTTGGGTCTGTGTTGCTCGGTCTTTAGTTTTCTATGTTGTGTTTTGTGTACTATTGTTTGTTTGTTTGTCTTTTTCTTTTTTAGCCATGGCGTTGTCAGTTTATTTCCTTCTTATGTTCACTATGAATCTTGCTTTATGTAATGTCACGTCACCTTGATGTGTTACTATAGCTGTATTTCTAATACATCTATCAAATGATTAAGACGTCTTTTCTTTCAATTGAAAAAGGATTGTACTGTTCTAATTTGCCAATGTGTTATTAAACACAAAAAGACAACAGGAATGAATTTATAATCAAAATAAGGAGCTGCGTTATAAGCGCATGATACGCCGTCACATTTCAAAGAACAAAGTTCCATAACCCCTCAATGTAATATCAGAAATTTATAAAAAACTAAAGGGAGGTTATTTTAATAGATATAAACCAGTCAGCAAAGTTTCATAAAAACTGCTCAAAGAATTTTGAGTTATTGTCTGAAAACTGGAAAATCCCCCTTTTTTATGAATAAAATCCCATAACTCAGAAACGTAAAATCTAAAATTTATAAAAATCAAAAGGGAGCTTACGTCCATATATATAAACAATTCACCAAAGTTTCACAAAAACAACTCAAAGTATTTTTGAGTTATTGTAAGAAAAATGGGAAATCTCCCTTTTTTAATGAATAAAATCCCATAACTTGGAAACGTAAAATCTAAAATTTATAAAAATTGAAAGGGATCTCCCGTCAATAGATACAAACAATTCATCAAAGTTTAATGCAAATTGGTTAAAGCGTTTTTTGAGTAATTGTTTGAAAACTGGAAAATTCCCCTTTTTTAATGAATAAAACCCCCATAACTCGGAAACATAAAATCTAAAATTTATAAAAATTGGAAGGTAGCTCATGTCAATAGATACAAACAATTCACCAAAGTTTAATGCAAATTGGTTAAAGCATTTTGAGTTATTGTCCGACATGTTGACGACGGATGGACAGACAACGGTATACCATAATACGTCCCGTAAACAGGCATATAAAAATGGTTTTCGATAGAATTTCGAGGATAAAGTATGTCATGAAGTTAGAACAAATATCAGAGGATAAAAAATGGCTTCTAGGTTATGAAGATATCAGAAGGTGTCAAGGGAAAAAGTAAAAATATAACCATTAGATGTCATTATATTTACATATTTGATTTTTTTTTCATTATTGGTTAAAGGGAGGTCACAGTTACATTTTTGACTTTTAAAGTAGTTTCATGTAATAAAATATTTCAAAAGGCTATGAAATAAATATAAAAGATATCAAACCTGCTGGAGATGGAAATCTAATCACACAAGTATCACTGTCAAATTCTACTATCTCAGCATCTTCATGTCCATTGCTTCTTCTCTCATTCTCAAAATAATATTTCACTGTATCATTAGTTATCCCAGAATCATGACCTATACCAGATACCAGTACAGTTCTGGTAACAGGTACCCTTGAAACTGTTAAAGTACTGCCTTCTAGTGGTTTCGTCAGACAGCCTTTTCTCAGCTTGGTAAAATCTTTATAAAATATTGAAAAACATTGTTGATAAGAAATATAAAAATAACACAATATTGAAAAATGAAATCAGCACAAATCATTTTAGAATACAATTACTGTAAGTTTTTTGCTTCTATTCATATTTAAAGTTTTTTTATTGACTAAGATTGCCAGTTTTCCTGCTGAAGGTCTGTGATATAGCCAAATTAAGCCAATAGCACTGAAAGTGGCATTAAACACCAAAAATCAATCAATCAAACAGTTAAATCTTTTGTTTCATGTAGTGAAAGTGGGTTATAATAATCACACCTTTCTAAAAACTATGTTCATTTGATCAAACCAAAAGTATCTGGCATCAATTGTGTGATTTCTTATTGGTGTAATATGTCTGTGCTACCTCTGTTTATGTAAATTCTAAATCTGAATAAAGAGGAATGGGAGCATGTCATGAGAAGGTAACCAAACAACAAAAGTAACAAAAAGACATCTAGATGGGCGACATAGTCTTCACCATTAGATATGAGTCTAAACAATATGTCAAGCTTTAAAACTTTATGAAGACTTATTTGTCTTTTTGAATTTGGCCATGGTATTGCCTGTTTTTCTTCAACTTATGGTTGTTTATGCGTGTTATCGAACAGTTTTTGTTGGTTGCTGTCTGCCATAAAATTAGCCTTCCAAGATATGAAAGGTATATGTGTATTCACCTTTATAAGTGACAGGAAAAGAGCGAAAAACTTACCAACTTTGTCTTCAAATGTAATGAGAGCAGAAGTTTTATCCCCTCCATAACTAATGTTTGTAGGTTCCGCACCAGACTTGACTTCCATATAGTCATTCAAACAGTCCTCAGTCGTAGTATTCTTCACTCCAGTAACAAATATCTTCTCTTCCTCTAACAATCTACCCATGTCAGCCTCTTGTTCTATCACATGTATTTTTAGTTCTACACCAGACACTTTGTGAACATCCTGCCTTTTCAATATATTGGCTGCACCTTTGAAATAGTCAATAATTTTATTATTTAAAACAAGAGGCTGTCGAGTGACAGCAAACCGGATTTTCCTGCAGAGGTCGAATCCTGAACAGTAACAGCTCGAAACAGCTCTGAATTTGTATTGTGATTGAATATCTTAAATAGATTATTATCTAATTAATAATGAAAATGATATTTGCAAATCTGAACCCCTAGCAGGATCATGTAAAAATTAAACATTAACACACACAACAAAAATAAAATACCACATAACATTGTCAACTGTGACATCTACCTTCATAACACACATGACTTAAAAAAATAGTTATAAAGAAATTTTGATTTTATCATTACTGGTTCATGGAGTAAGTTTGAGTTATTTCCCTTTGAACAGAAATATGGTTTAACATAGTACTCTAAAGTTAGATATGATTCATGATTAATAATTCTCTAAAATAAGATATGATGTAACACAATGTATATCTATTTTCAAATTATAATCAAATATAATTAATAGTTCCAAATATTTTTCTTTCATTTATAACAAACTAATACAGATCTGCAACTTATCAATGTCAACAACTTTAAATGTAATGAAATACAAATGTATATCCTATAATAAAAATAGATTATTATCTAATTAAAGTAGTTCACTTCATAAAAAAATATGTAAAGCATTCAGAAAATTAGTTTTTACAGAATAACAAACCAACCTACCACAAAATTCTTCAAACAATTTACCAAAGAAAAGAAAAAATATATATAGCATTCAGAAAATTAGTTTTTACACAATAACAAACAAACCTACCACAAAATTCTTCATAAAATTTCAAAAGAAAAGAAAAAAAAATTCAAAATTTTATTTATCATTAATACAATGTCTTTTAAAAATCTATAAAACTTATCTGTAATTACCTTCAAAATGTCTAATAATGAACAGTAAATTTCTAACTTTATTTACACAGTCCAATATAGCTTATAATCATCAACACTTAGAAAACAGAAAATTTTCAAATAAATCTGTCAATCCAATTATAATTGTGTGAGACATTTACCAGATGCTCTTATCTATCAACAGGTGAAAATTAGTCATGTTAGTGTAATCAAACTTTATATATATAATTAACCATTTCTGTTCAAAGAGAAATAACTCAATCACATTAAAAATACCACTTTTGGATATTAAAAAGGGCGATAACTCAAAAAGGAGAAAAGCTAAAATCGTGAAAATTGAACTTGACCTTCATTTAGTCACAGGTAACAACATATCTAAATTTGAAAAAAAATTGTCAAAGCGTTTTCATGTTATTGAGGAGACACTGTTTGGCAGCCGCCCGCCCGCCCGCCTGCCGTACATCCCCAAATCAATAACCGATATTTCCTTCAAAAATCCGGTTAATTATCAAATTTTTTTTATCAATTTTTTTCATGATGAAAATTTTAATTCTGAAAATAAAAAAAACATTTAACTTGTACATTTTTATGTTTTTAGAGATCATTTATTTACTTCATTATAATAATCAAACTTTAGTAAATAAATTAAACTAATTAAGGCTCGTCTTATCATTTATGGCTTAGTGCTGTTACATTAAGCATCAGTAGCCCATTCTTGTAACCTGGTATGGTTGAAATAAAAAAATAGTTTATATATATGTAACACTCAGAAACATGTCCATCCCCCAAAACGTGACTTATTCCCCCAAACATGTCCATACGACGTCACATCTGCAAAACATGTCTAGCTGCTAAAGGGCGCTAAAGCGTGTCCTTTTTATAAAAAAAAACACACCCAAACGTGCCTAATGAGTCCAGAACGACTCCCTTTTATGAACACTCAATTGTTTCCATATTTTAAAAACACCCATATTTGTAATCCCATATGTTGTTAAATTCAAATTCATTTGATACTACTATAGGAACCTTAGTTTTGTTTTGTTGTTGTAAAAATGGAACAGCAACTGTTAACAAAGCCAATACACCACTTCTGTAGGAAGCAGGCTGTGCGATACCCTCATATATTATTAAGGATTATTTTTGAACAAAAGAATTCACTAAGTAAACAAATAATTTAACTGTACAAAACTACATAATTAATTGCAATATTTATGTTCGCCCTAAATATGCATGACATATTTGCCACTGTACATTAAACAATCAATAGTAAAGAGTTAATTTATGTGTTGCAAATTAACTTGCAATCATGCTAAATATAAACACTTATCAGCATTGAACAAACTAATGCTTATAAATGACCATTTAATCAATAGTTGAAGTACTGGGAAAACGTTTTTGATTTCTTAAGTGTGAAGTACCTCCATTTGAAATTTAAAACAATAATAATCATATTAATAAAAAAAATTCAAATAAAACCAGTGCAAGTAAAAACAAATTTTTTTTGTGCCATTCTTTTTCTTATCTGGTGTCTGTTTATTAGAAAACAGAAGTCAGTGATTTCATCTTTTACTGTGGATAGTTGTATTATGTCTTGGACATTTGTCTATACACATCACTACACCTTTCCTCTAGATGTGATTGGATAGCGGCTTTTTTTTTAATCATCCAACCAAAACCCAAAGTCTAAAATCATGTCCCTATCATTGAACTGCTGTAAACATTATTGACGTCACTGAGGACGTATTGTTGCTAAAAGTTTTTAGACATTTTGACATTTAAAGTGGACATGTTTTGGCGAATAACAGTTATCAGACATGTTTGGGGATGTGAAATGGGACACGTTTGGGCAAAAAAGACACTTTTGGGGTATCGGGACATGTTTGGGAGTGTTACATATACTGAACTTTCGTATATTAGTCCCTAAATACAACCATTACATTTTTTTCCCTTTTTGCCAAAACTATTCTGTAAAGGATGATTCATTATCAGTCAAAGTCCAGACATAAACAAGTGTAAGTTTGCTTTTGACTCATGTGATCTAAATTTGTATGTTTCATTAGTTGTTATATTTTAAACAAAATACGACTTCAACAAGTCAATTAATGTTAAGCAAAAATCATTTGACATTAACTAAAATATTGCGATTTATTGACTTCTTCAAGCTGATAAGTTCCCAAAGCTTACTTTTAGACCAATATAAAAAGGACAAGCAACAACATGAACAACATTGTTAGGTAATGCTTTGTCTTATGAAGAGTGAGAATCTAAAAAAAAACAGAGACAATGTTTATTCACTTTCTTATGCAACCATTGATAACCACTAAAGGCGAAAAAAACTTAAATAAATGTTAGGAAAAAATATTTATTCAGATCATTACTTGGAGATAGCTCAGACCCTCAGAAAAGTTTTTACGATTGTAAAATATGAACTTTGGCCACAAAGTAAAATAAAGTGTTTTTATCCTGTTTTATGAAGCATAAATTGACTTCAACCAGTCTGCCATTTTATGACTTAAACAAGTCCAAATGTGTAAACTCTTTTTTATCATCCCTATCAAATACATAATTCGACGTCTCTAAGTCAGTAACAAAAAAAAAACACTTGTTTATCAGTGGTAAATCTAGTGACAAAATATTACCTCCCCTGAAAACACTGAAAACTAGATCTTTTCAATGTTTGTCCCGTTTTAGCAAAGAGGCTATCAATTATAAATTCAAGGGCAAACGTTCTGGTGGTAAATAGTAGAAATAGAAATAAGTTGAACTTCCATCTATCATTTCCCTCCTTAAATAGCAAACGATGAGTACAGCAGTCTATAGGATCTTGATGTAAAATTGGTTTAAAATGTAGCTATGTGAATAAATTTCTGGAGTACCAACATCAATTTATTTTTCTACTGGCTGACTATACCTCTCTGGAACATGCTAATTATCCGTATATAATTTAATTTGGGATGTAACACATCTTCTGATTGGCTGAAAGTTTTTTGTCTATCATCTCATCATTTTGTCATGTGACAGTGACGTCATCAACGTTTTTTCATGATTTACTTCTTAAAAATGGAATTTAGAATTAAATTATAAGGAATGACAGTAATATTTCGAAATAACCTAAAAAATGTGGTGCTCACTTTTAAATAAATCGCTACACACTATCATAAGAAGAGTCAATTTTCTTCTGTTCTCATTCACTAGATTTCTTAGTTATGTCTGAGCTCTTGACTATAATTATAATCTTGAGATCTACCGGTTATTTATTAAGTATGCCTTGATGCATGTAAGGGTGAATTACATTTGTGCACATTTGGGGATTAAAATAGTTTACGTTTGTGCACAGTTTTTGATCACATTTGCGCACATTCATTTTTCAGGTAAAAATAAAGATAATTCATAATATATATGACTATAAGTACTAACTTTGAACGTTATTGTATTAAAATTTTGTAAATTTAAATTAAATTATATATTTTTCATATTGAATTCTAAATAAATATATATATAAACATGATAAAGTGATCACGAGAAATCCTGTATTAACTTAAGGCATTCATGTAACTTATTTGCAAATATTTAAGAGTGAATAGTATTCTGTTTCCTAATTTTACAAAATAGTGATCGCTTGAGTAAAAAGTCAGTTTGTAAAGTAAAGGAGAAAAACTGATAAACATTCATTAGCCATTCCAAATGGTAACAGTAAATTGTTAACATACACATGAGTCCAATTTTAAAAAACTTAAGAGGTAGATTATCTGTGTGGTTGCAAAAAGAAAAGCTACAGCCGACATAACTGCTAGGCCTATAAAATTAGTATTTACCTGATTTACCTGTAAAATGAATGCAAGCAAATGTAATGATTTTAACATGCAATTGTAATGATAATGGGTATTAATAATAATGCAGGTATTCCAGCGGTTATTGTTGGTTGCTGTCTACCTAATTGTTTTGTATTTATCATGTTTGTTGTTGGTTGCTGTCTGCCTAATAGTTTTGTATTTATCATGTTTGTTGTTGGTTGCTGTCTGCCATAATAGTTTTGTATTTATCATGTTTGTTGTTGCAGTATAAATCAGGAATTTCGTTTTTTCTTTTGAATTGTTATACATTTTTTCATCCTGCGGCCTTTCATAGCTGATCCAATTTGCATACCATATGCTTATTGTTGAATGCCATGCAGCCTTTGCAATTGTTCACATCTTTTTCCTTTGGTCTTTTATGAATATAAACCGGTAGTTTAATCATGCCAATTTCCTTATTCTAATACTAAATAGATTCAACAATTTCATAGCATTATGACATATCAGATTTTGACCCTAATGGTTGACCACTTGACTTGTCCTGTCTGGTAGTTAGAACAGTTCTTTTGCTGTATCTAATGTTCAGCAAATATTGGTCAGAATGGGGATGATAAATAGAATGCTTTGTACCCGTCTTCCTTTTTGTATCACTTTTAACCATTGCTATCCATAAACAGTTATAAATAACTAAATTTGCTATAAATTATATTATATTATATGTCCAATGTTAAATACCTTATAAGAAGTAACTTACTTTCATAGTCTTTGAATTCTACAACTGCAATTCCAGTATCAGGACTGAAATCCATATTTTCTATCTCTCCTCCACCAGACTTTCTGGTATTTTCAAAGTAGTAAATCAGTGTATGTTCTGAGATGTCCCCTGTGAACATTATCAAAATCTTGCTCCCCTGGGTGTCTGCTTTGTCTAGTACCATTTTATTCTCAGCCAGTTCTTTTTCAGGAAGTAACCCTGGATAAGGTTTATCGTGATTTGTAGTTGCTGACTGGGAAGCCTTCTCTGAATCATCTTTAATTGGAGCTATGTCAGGATACAAATTGCCAGGATTTATTTCACCCTTAAATTGTTCAGAATTATGTTCGTCTTTTCCGACTGTCCGAAAAGTTTTCTTACTAGGCGAGACAAGCAGCTTTGAAGTGTCCGAACTTAAATCACCTATCAAGTTGTCTCCCTTTCTTCCATTTAAGTCTGGTTGCTGGTTACCAGTTGATGGAGGAGGGGACAAAGGAGACACATGGAAACCAGTGTACGGTGGGGATAAAGGATAGGGAGGATAAGCCTGACGCAATCCAGGTTGATGTAGAGCACCCTCATTATAATATGGATAATTTGGCTGCATGTATGGAAATTGACCCCACTGGACTCTTCCTGGATTGTAATTTACTGCATTAACTGGTTTAGTTGGTACTGATGGATGTTCTTTACTTACAGTTTTATCTTCAACCTGATTTTGTTTTCCTCCTCTTTCTAAATGTAATCCATTGTCTACAATCAGAGACTTATCCACATCTCTTACACTGTCATGAGGATTACTTTCAGATTCCTTAGTTTCATTTTGCTTATTTGTTTGTAACTGTACATCTCCTTCACCAGATACTTGAGAATCATTACTTTTATCCACTAATTTATCTTCCTGTGTAGTATCCTTGTTCATGGCCTTAGTTACCTCACTCATGTCTGACTCAAACATTTCAGTTTTTCCAAGACATTTTCTGTCTAGTCCTGACTTTGAAGTAAATGTACTTGAAATTTCATCATCATCCAACTTTTTCCATTTATTGTTTTCTTTCTCTTTTGAAACTTCCATTTGTTTCACTTCCCTATTTTGATCTTTACCCTTTATTTCTGTTTCCTCTGCCATGTCACAATCTATTTCTGTTTTCTTAATAATATTTCCACTTCCCTGTTTATCTGATTCAAATCTAAAATTATCAAGTTTTGTTTTTGTTTCCTTTACTGGACTAAAACTACAAATAGAAACTGGTGATTGTCGACCTATCCCATCATCCATGTGTTCATCATTGCTTCTATCTTCATTACATCCATCAATTGAAATGTCATCTATAACTTCTTCCTTCACACCATTCTCAATGTTCTCCTGATGACCTTGATTTTGAACTTCATGGTGACCTTTGAAAGGATCACTATGGTCTAACTGCTCACCATCAGATTCTATGCTAAAAGATTTTCCTATATTGGAGATACTCATTGATGGTATGTCATAGGGTGGTACATAAACATCTGGTCCATCGTCATCTGAACTATGAGATGAATCTTCATTTAATGTGTATGGAATAGCAGATATCACTGAGCTTGGACAAGAATGTTGTAAATGTTCATTATTTGTTTTTTCTGTTGTGTTGTCCATGTTTTTCTGTTAGGCCACCAGCTTGTATCTATGTCAGGTTGTTAAATTTAGTTAAAGGCTTCAAGGTTGGAACAAACTTTTCCCACTGTTAACATGGACTACCAATCTGTTAAAATAAAATTCAGCAATTTACATTATGTTATTATGATTATTTATTTAAACTTTAGCCTAAATATAATCTGTATCACTCAACTGCAGCATTTTAGTCAAGTTTTTGAAATGTTTTTTAAAAGAAAAAAAACTATGATTTTTTTAAAGAGTTTAACGTAAATCTCTTTGGCATCATTTCTAAATTGTATGCCACCCAATCAGTACAAAATGGCTTAAAATTCTGTACGCCAGATGCATGTTTCATCTACAAAAGACTCATCAGTGACTCTCAATCAAAAAAGTTAAAAAGGCCAAAGTTGAAGAATGAAGTTGAAGAGCATTGAGGACCCAATCAAATTAGGAAAATGTCTGATAGTCTGACTGTCTGAATGTACAGCAGTCTTAATGTCTGATAGTCTGACTGTCTGAATGTATAGCAGTCTAAATGTCTGATAGTCTCACTGTCTGAATGTACAGCAGTCTTAATGTCTGATAGTCTGACTGTCTGAATGTATAGCAGTCTAAATGTCTGATAGTCTCACTGTCTGAATGTACAGCAGTCTTAATGTCTGATAGTCTGACTGTCTGAATGTACAGCAGTCTTAATGTCTGACAGTCTCACTGTCTGAATGTACAGTAGTCTTAATGTCTGACAGTCTCACTGTCTGAATGTACAGCAGTCGTAATGTCTGACAGTCTCACTGTCTGAATGTACAGCAGTCGTAATGTCTGACAGTCTCACTGTCTGAATGTACAGCAGTCTTAATGTCTGACAGTCTCACTGTCTGAATGTACAGTAGTCTTAATGTCTGACAGTCTCACTGTCTGAATGTACAGTAGTCTTAATGTCTGACAGTCTCACTGTCTGAATGTACAGCAGTCGTAATGTCTGACAGTCTCACTGTCTGAATGTACAGCAGTCTTAATGTCTGACAGTCTCACTGTCTGAATGTACAGCAGTCTTAATGTCTGACAGTCTCACTGTCTGAATGTACAGCAGTCTTAATGTCTGACAGTCTTACTGTCTGAATGTACAGCAGTCTTAATGTCTGACAGTCTCACTATCTGAATGTACAGCAGTTGTAATGTCTGACAGTCTCAGTCTTAATGTCTGATAGTCTTAAGGTCAAGTTACAGTAAATGTGCTTTGTCACAGATTTTGCGAACAACTTTTCTTCACTGAAATATTATTGATTGAATTCTTCCAAAATAGGTGAACATTTGTATACCAAGCGCATTCAATCTGTGAAAAACAATCTTAAATCTTAAATCCTTCTTAAAATCATCAAATCTGCAATTTCAAGTCCATTAATTTTTCTTAAAAAATTATATGTTGTTGATACATAAATTTCCGTTTTTATGAGGAAAAATAATAATAGGTTTGTTTTGTTATAGGATACTATATTATTTATGTAATTTTTTACAGCAAATGAATAAAAAATACTAAATATAATGTAAATAAAATGATTAAAATTCAGAGTTACCCGGTAATCTATTATATTGTCAATCTTCTATACATATTAAAAACAAGTTGTTAACTCTTTGGACATTAAATGTATAAATAAAAACAAAAATGTGTTGTAAATTTCACAACACATTTTTGTTTTAATTATTCATTTACCGTGAAAAAAATATACTTGAAGGTGACCCATTCACCCTGTTTACACAAAGTAAAAAGAAGGCTATATTTGATTCACCTGCTGGATTTACGTACGTTCTGGATAAACTACATCTATGAAATTTTGTCCTTTTACATATATGAAAATAATGAGATGTGGTATTATTGCCAAATGAGATTATGAGACCGCTATCCACCAGAATTCATATGAAGTGGATGTAAGCAATTATGGCCTTCAACAAGGAGAAAAACCCATAGAGCATAGTCGGCTATAACATTTATTTGTAAAAATTCTAAATAAGGAAATACAGACTTAAATTTTAAAAATATGTCTTAAGGAGGAAATAATTATGACAGTCTCATATCTATGTTACAATCGAAGTCTCAAGTGCTGATTCATTTCAGTGTTTGTAAAAAAAATAAGATATCGGCAAATCACGATAAATTTTTGGTTATTGCTGTAGGGAAACAACCTTTGCAAAATATCTGTTAATTCCAAATTCAGCAACATAAATATGATGCACATATAAGTAACTTGTGTAGAAAGGCATCAGCTGAATGTTCTGAAGAGAATTGGATCCTAATTAACCAGATTAAACAAACTTGAAATATTTCATACCTTACTTTTGAGTAATTTTAATTTTTGCCCTTTGGTTTTTGTACTGAGAAAAATTCTAAAAAAGTAGAAAAAGTACAATAAAGAGCATTATGATTCATCCATGACTATTTATCATCATCTGATCTCTTCTTGAGAATGCAAAGGTTTCTACCCTTCAGGTAAGATGAATCAGGACAATTCACTTTGCAGAGTTCTCAGAATTTTTTTTTCCCTGGTGATCCTTAAAAAAAATCTGCTAGTCCTCCCTATTATGTCTAAATTTTGCAAAATACCAAAATTGTGTCGGTCATTGGCAAAATTTTGGTGGTCAAAACCTTGGGATTACCACTCTTTGAGAACTCTGCACTTTTTGAATAATTTGGCTCCTTTATTTTTACAAAATTTGCTTCATATTAAACACACTAAATATTCTTTTAGATACAGTAACATCTTAGAAATACCACAGGTTTGAATTACCACATATGACAAGAAATCTTCATTTTGGCGCTATTTTTCTATGGAATAGTTTACCAGACCGCTTTTCCTTTAGGACTGAAAATAGCTTGACACATTTGAGAAGTCTTGTTCAGTCCTGGAGTGGTTCTGACTGCTGTTTCTCTGCTCGCAGGTGATTTGATACATGTTCATGCATTTTATGTTTCATAACTAGCTTGCATTGCAATCTAAATTTTTACTTTGTAGTAATACATGTAACAAAAAAATCAGATAGTTTTACTTTATATTATTACTGACCAGATTAATTTGCAAAGCTTAATAAATTCTCCTCTTTTTTATGACTGTCTTAGCATCTCTTAGTGCTTCACATATGCTTTAAGAGTTGGCTTTTATATGCTAGAGTTGTGCTGTTTTATAATTATATTTTTTTCATGCTGCATGCTTTATTTTAGTTGTTTATGTATATTTTTTTTTATATTCGGTTAAAAGCTCATCAGAGCTTGTGTTCAAATGTTTGTCAATATGTCAAATCAAAATAAAGTTTTATTTACTAACGTACTTTTAAGTGATAGTAATTTCCAAATTTGCTTAAATTGAAATATTATGCTTCTTAAAGACCAGGCAAAAACAAGCAAAACTGTGAGCTACTGTTCACTAATGATACCCCCGCTTTAAGATTTCGATAAACAGGAAGCTGATGAGCAATGAATCTGAAAACATATCACAAAACATGCTCACATGAAGGCTGAAAACAAATTTCAGAAAGCTCTTCTTAAAAGTTTCTTAGAAAATTGTGACGAATATTTCATACATGACCATTATGTGATCTGGAATATATTAGTAATCGGTAAACAGGAATTTGATGAGTGATGAATCTGAAATTGAATTACACAGTATATAATTTTAATACAGAAATGCCCATTTAATATTTATGTTAATTACATAAAGATCAAATTATATCTGTTACTAATCAGGTCAAAGTTTATATTTTGAGTGGTTTGCCATGTTATGCATAAACTCAAGTTACCTAATTTGGTCAATTATGATTGGCATTTAGGAGGAGGAGTCTATGTAGAATTCCAATTATTGTCCTACCCTCTGTGTACCTTGATTATGACAGTTGTCAATTATACAGGTAATGTATCAATACTCTTACTTTTAACTTTGAACAGTAAAAAGAAAAATTATTATTAGCCATTAAATTGGAAAAAGTAATGACTATTATTTTTGAAAAAATACTTTAAATTAAAATGTATAGTCCGTTTGACTTCTATAAATCTTCAGAAAATAATTCTTAAAAATTCATTTTTACAAATAAACATTTTTTTCTTGATGTATGTTAATGTATGATATATACGAACTCTGACTATGAATATCATAATTTTAGGCCAATAATAAAAAAAGTTACCCATTAGGTCTCTATGTTACTTCTATTTTTTTTATATAAAATACTTGATGGAGTAAGTATGAATAGTGTAACAGCTTTCCATTCAAAACAAAAACATATGACATGTGCTTTAAACCTGTTTCATTATACCATGTGACTTTTCTCATTTAAATAAGGCTGACTAGCAAACAAACTTGGACTTCGTTTAAGTTTTATGTCATGTGATTACTGAACTTATTGTATACATGATTTTGTATTTTTCATTGTTCAATTTCTATGAGTAACCTTAGTAATATTTTCCACTGGACATTACTAGTATAACATTTTTAAAAACTACAAAGTAGTTTTATGCAAAATTCAGTTTAGAAATTTTATTAAAAAGTTCCCCTTTTCATCAGTAAAGGTCTTTATGGTTATATTTTATCTAATTTTATTTTCATATTTTGAAAGTCATAAGCTGTGTTTTTTCAAGAAAAAAGTAAATATTAAATGTATTCTGTAAATACTTATTGGTGAAACTTTTTAGAGGCTCTCCATTTTGTTAATACTTTCATCATGCTTTAAGCATGAAAAGCTTGCTTATATTCTTTTATAAGATATATATAAATATATAATCAAATTAAGGTAACAAAAGTTAAGATTTGGTAAGGAATAAAAACAAAATAAAACATCTGATAATTATATTTTTTCCCACAAATAACATCTTTGTAGATACATGCAAGTTCATTTAATCTATAAAATCATATAAAACCAGTTATAAAAAAAACTTAGATGATGGTCATTTTTCATGACATGTATAATGTCCTTTGATATTTAAATGAGTTATGTCACATGGTACAATAAAACAGGTTAAAAACACATGTCTAATGTTTTTGTTTTGAATGGAAGGCTGTTACACTATTCATACTTACTCCATCAAGTATTTTATATAAAAAACAATAGAAGTAACATAGAGACCTAATGAGTAACTTTTTTGATTATTGGCCCAAAATTATGATATTCATAGTCAGAGTTCGTATATATCATACATTAACATACATCAAGAAAAAAAATGTTTATTTGCAAAAATGAATTTTTAAGAACTATTTTCTGAAGATTTATAGAAGTCAAACGGACTATAACTAAGATGTAACCAATTTTTTTAGTTAAATTGTGCATATGTACACAGACATGAGAATAATTTGGGACCATATGTCAGTGTATAGATTTAGTTATTGATTTAGTAGCTAATCTGTCCACTTTCTGTTTGGGAGCGCGGTGCCATATGAAAGAATTGGAAAGTTCCAATCTTTCCAAAAAATCATTCCAGTAAAAAAAGAAACTGACAGCTGATTCCAATTTCAGTTACCATAATATTAAAGGATTCATGCCAAATATTTCTCTTTCAATGAAAATATACCTCCTCTGCATCACATGTAATAACTGATAGAAGATGCCTCAAATAACCTTACTTGGATATAAACTGGTAAGTAGTTCAATATCATTTCTAGCTATAAAATCATCATACCTAGCTATTAAACCAGGTTTAATCCACCATTTTCTACATAAGGAGATGACTGTACCAAGTCAGGAATTTAATAGTTTTTTTCCATTCATTTGATAAGGGACTTTCCATTTTGAATTTCCCTTGGAGTTTGATATTTTTTTTATTGTGATGAACAATTATCTAAAACTAAAGTTTGTGTGTTGGTGTTTGTGCTGTGTTGTTGGGTGTATAAGTTTCAGGTCGTGCCTTTCACTCGTACACGGACAAGAAATGCCAATGATACACTTTACAGGGTTACCCTAGAAATCTACTGGTAGCGTGATTAAGGGAATCCTGGTCACATAAATAAATAAATGGATCCTGGTGTAGTCTGAACGAAGTCTTGTAAGTATACATATACATGTAAATATGTTTTAGTATTTAATTAACTGCTTAACCGCCTTTCTTAGTGGATGCTTTAATGCTGACACAATATTTACAGGTATGTTAATTTTGTTATTTGAAAAAGTTTAATTTACAGTTTCCCATTAGAATTTCATTCAGTAAAAGTTATATGGAAATATTATGATAGTTTTATCGTCAAAATCTATAATAAGATTCGATACGGCTTTTCCTCACTTTTTACATAGTTTTCTAGTAAAGTTCAAAATTACTGAACTACAGCTATAATTTGTCTTATTTGCATTATTAGTTCACAGCGTAATTTTGTAGTGCTTTGACGAATTTATTAGTCCGTCAGTTCTTGGTCTCTATTTAGTTTGAGGTATTTATATTTAGGTTATGAATGAATGTAATTGTTTTCCGAATTTGTTGAAAGATTTGTACATGTTGAAATAGCTGCGGAACCGTTGCTCTTAGGTCCTTATGATTTTTTTTGACAATTTGTGGACCATAGATAGTCCTCAAATTGTAAAAAAATATCATAAGGACACAAGAGCTACGGTTACGCAGCTAATGACTAATGTTGAAATAAATATATATGTATTTACAGTTAATAAAAGTGTACCAAGTCACTGTCTGATATTTGCCATAAACTAGGTATGGCAAACCAATGGGAGATAACTCCAAATTACCCTAAATAATTGTTCCCAGATGTGTGTAAAAATAAAATCTTTGGGTGACCTCCGATTACGGCCTTCTATTAACTTGTTAAGTCTCAGAAGGTTCTGCTTGCTTTTTATAAATATTATATGAATATTCATGATTCTGTATATTATAATTTTCGGGAATACGATGAAATATTTGAGGTACAAACAAGGGTTTGAAAGTTACATTCGTTTCAAAAAAATACAGCCATAAAATGTACTTTTTTATTAAGTTTAATATATTAATTAAATAATTAGGTCCAATAAATAAATCTAGATAGCTGTGTTCATATCAAAATTAATTTTTATAAATAACCCTCCTTTTTGTGTATACATAGTTATTTCCCTTGCATGGACAACTTTTGGTTTAGTTTTGATTGGAAATCAGTGTGATAGTTTTTTTTTGTTGCATTATACAGCCAGTTTGTTGCGATTTAAAGATAGTTTAACCACTTGCCATTGCACACAAGATAGTAAGGATACTGAATAATGTGGTTTAACAACAATCAATATGTATTTTCAACATGTTCAACTAAAAGCATACACAGTAGCGGCAGTTCACTTCGTCTGCTATTCACAGTTAAGGTTTTAGAAAAAGAACCAACATGGAAATTCATTCCCTTGTCATCAATTCTCCCCTGTCTTCCATCCCATATTGATACAAGAAGACTCCCCTACCCCCTTTCCCTGACTGCCACTTTCGAAGTTGAAAGTTATATTAATTATTATACAAATACTATTTGTCTTAGAGTAATTGATATAACTTTCAAAATAATATTAATATGACCCTATTTTTCAGACTGTATTTAACAGTAAACTCTAAAGATATTATTTTTTGTATACATATTTTTGTGTGTGTGTGTGTGATCACATTAACTGAGTTGTTGAAATTTTCCCCATATATATGTTCTAAATACAATTGTATAATTAAATAAGGGAACGTAACGGACACTTCAGCTATCTATACATACAGACTGTTAGAGGATTATCGAGCCAAAAAACTTGAGATAATACCGGAAATGGTAGGTCTCAAACCATGTTCAAAGTTCTGTTCAAGATTCGTTTTGCATGTAGTTGCACAGGAAGTGCAATTTTTTAATATGGTCATGTATAGGAATACAAGAACTAATCAAGTTTTACCTTGGAGCTTACCACTTTCTGTATTGATCAGTATTGAAGTAATTTCATGTAGAGAAAAAAAAAAACACTAGCGAACACCATGCAATTTAATATATATCCTGAAATAATAATTACATTATATCTGGGAAGTTGCAAATCATACTAACAACTAATGCTTGACACAGTGAAATCTGTCTAAACCAAACCCTGAATAAACCGGAAACCATGTTCTGAAGTCCCTTCATCTCAGATTCAATGCATTTTGAACTTTAGTCACGAATGAGATTGGTTTACAGATTTCACTGTTTAATAAAAATATTGTAACTGATATACAGATATGAATTTACTTTACTTTTATACATTCATACAAGTATTTACAGTGATCTGACATAATTATTTTGTTTGTAATTTCTCAAATAAAAATAATGTTATATTTATTTTCATTGTTTTTCAGTGCAACAGGTATTTTAGACCATAAGCATTCACTATACATGCTATATAAGAATAAGAATATTTCATTAAATAGAATGTTAATGAAAAGGAACATTCTAAAACTATCATGACTATACAAAGACAGATGACATACTTCAAAACTTTTCTCGTCTCTCATGGTACACAAATACACACATATACATTTGTAGATAAAAAGTAATATTCATATTTAAATTTTGTTTCTTTACATTCAAATGTTTATAAAGTTTTACTTTTCATTTTCAATATACCAACTGATGTTCTGAAGAAAGGAATACATGTATATAAAGGTATCGTCATGTTATGTGACTTTGGACGATAGAATTTCATGAGAGTGGTTGACTTTTTCATGCTTTATGCTTCTATTTTGACCAAAAACTTAACATGGAGGATTGAAATTGACTAACAAGATGTATAAGAAGCAATATAAACAAAACTATAACCCAAATGATTAAAAAAATGTATTTAATTATTTTTTAAAGAGAGGAAACAGTTTTTCTAGAATAGTAAAAAATTACTGTTTTGAAAATTTGCTATTTCTTCGATGTTATTATGTGTATTGATAAAAGTGAAACTGTTTTGAAAATGTCTTCACAGTGCCTTTAACATGAGGTAAAGTTTTCTTAGATCAGTTGATTTAAAAAAAATCACTTTCCGTACCTACATAAACATAAAATTTGGTGTATGTCCAGTTCACTGTGACATAAAAAAAACCAATATATATACTCTTCCCAGATAAAACTGACAGTAACAGGAAAATATACAAGCTGGGACTATTATACTAACTAGTATACAAGCGACAACTTTTTCATATTACTTTTTTTGCTTTCGTAGAAAATGCATTACCTACCACAGAAATAGTGTGACAAAATGCGTAGTTTTCTTCAAGTCTAATTTTGGTCTCATGACACAGAGTTGAGCAGATCAATCTCAGAAAACTAAATTCTACTTTCGTTTTCACTTTGTAGGTTTACCTATTTACGTATGGGTATGGTGCAAGATCGTTTCGTAACCTGGTAGTTTCGTACCCTAATCGATTCGTAACTAACTAGGTCGTTTCGTAACTGAACCGTTTCGTTACCTTATAATACTATATGATGATACGAACTGTAGGTTATGGAAGAAATGTTAAACAAATATATATAAAGAAATTAAGATAAAATTGTCACTAACTTAAATTATGAACCACAATTGAAGTATTCTAATATTTCACACAAAAATATATCAATATATTTGATTTTTTTTTGATTTTTGGTGTTTTAACGCCACTTTCAAGCACCGCTTTTTGGGCTATTTCGTGGCGGCCAGTTTTTATTGGTGGAGGAAGCCGGAGTGCCCGGAGAAAACCACCGACCTTCGATAGGAAAACTGACAATCCTAGTCAATTAAGATTGGAGTCGAGTGCACCCGCACGAGCGGAGTTCGAACTCACAACCTCAGTGTTGACTGGCTAGTGATTACAGTAGTAACTACTTACACCACTCGGCCACCGAGGCCCCTATATCAATTTATCATTGAGGGATACCTATATATACAAAAAAAAAATAATACTAATCTTAATTTCAATTTTATTAAATTGTAATCAGCTATAACACTTTTGAATAGCAGTTTGCCAGTCATTATGATAAAAATCACAACAAAATATATTAATGAGTTTTTTATTGAGAAAATCTGTATAATTTTTATTTTTTTAAATTTTTTTTCATTATTGTTATTGGCTTTAAACTAGGTGTCAGTAACTGCGAGTACTCTCAGATCTGTACTTAGTGTCTTTCTGTTGTGTGGATGTATAAGTACCCACCCACGTCCACTCTGTGTTTTTGTTAGATGTATTTCTATTTTCATTACACCTTATATAAGAAAGCCAGATTTTGATTGGTTGATAGCCAGTGTATTTTTCGCATATTCTAATATTTTTTCCTCATTTCAAACGAATTTGCCTGTTTTTCACCACTGCCGGTGAATTTGCCTCAATACCATGGTATTTGCCATTTTGGATATTCCTTTTTTACCCTCTCGAGCATTTTCCCGCAAAAAAGTTCGGATATGACGTTACATAAAAATGCGAGCTAACGCGTATTAGTACATGTATAATTCCCGCGGTTCTATGATAATATCCTCAAAATTATGCATAAACATGTTAATGAATTAGTTTAAATCCAAATCTATTCAGTGCAATTAAACAGATATATCATGTTATGGAGGGGTATTTGCGAAAAATACCAGTCTTGGGACCGAATTTCCCTCGCCTAGCGGCTCGGGAAATTTTACAGTCCCTTGACTGGTATTTTTCGCAAATACCCCTCCATAACATGATATATCTGTTCAGTATCCTTCTGATGATTTAAGATTGTTATAGTCAGTTGTTCTTATGTTGTACTTGTTACACCACTGTCCCAGGTTAGGGGAGGGTTTGGCGCCAACAAACTGGTTTAACCCCGCCACATTCTGTATGTGCCTGTCCCAAGTCAGGAGCCTGTAATTCAGTGGTTGTCGTTTGTTGTTGTGTAACCTATTTGTTTTGCGTTCATTATTATGTACATAAATTAGGCCGTTAGTTTTCTCGTTTGAATTGTTTTACATTTGTCATTTCGGGGCCTTTTAAAATTGACTATGCGGTGTGAGCTTTGCTCATTTTTGAAGGCCGTACGGTGACCTATAGTTGTTAATTTCGGTGTCATTTGGTCTCTTGTGGAGAGTTGTCTCATTGGCAATCATACCACATCTTCTTATTTTTATAAGCATTGCAAATGTATTTAAAACATATAGTGATGAAGATGTTCTCCTCATTTTAAACATAAAGCTTTTCTACCTTGTTCTGTTCAATGTTTCTGTGAAATAAGAAATTGCAAGTATGAAAGAGAGGCGAAAGATATCAAAGGGATATTCAAACTCATAAGTCGAACAAAAATTGACCATGTCAATCATGGTAAAAAACGAAAAACGACGAAAAGACAAACAACAGTACATGAAACACAACATAAAAAACAAAAGACTGAGCAACACGAACCCTACCAAAAGCCCGGCGTAATCTCAGGTGCTCCGAAAAGGTAGCAGATCCTGATCCACGTGTGGTTCCCGTCAAGTTGCTCATACAAACTCTGTGATAAGTCTAATTCGGTAGGTCAAATTAGAGGAAAAGAGGTCGGGATTGGGATATCCGTCATCATCTGCATGTGAAACACTAACTCGTGATGGCGTCTGTAATTTTTTCGAAGGGATGATTTCAACTTCAACAATGGAAACTCTAGGTTCAATTTGGGACTTTTATACTAACTGTTATATATATATATATCCCAGCTTCAATAGCTTCTTTCTTAGCAGCAATCCTCTATCAAGCCGGAAATTATAATAGGAAATGCAAGCTCTGAAATATTAAAAGTTCCGTATAACTTGAAAAGAAGAGAAGGGAATGAAATACTATTAAACATTTGTACAAAAATTGACAAAATTTCCTTTCAGATTTGTGACTTTTTTTTCTACATTTGTCAAATGTGTGACTTTTTTGCACCAAATTTGTGATCTTTTTCCTGCAACTTTTTTTCCTGTGACTTTTTTTTCCGTTAATCATTTATTAAACATATACAGATACTTGTTTTAAATATAAGTACATCTGTTAAACGTATACGAAGGATTGCCAAAGTATCGGGATACTTCTAAAAAGTCACAGGAAAAAAAGACACAAATTTGGTAGGAAAAAAATCACAGGAATAAAAGTCACAAATCTGATAGGAAATAATGTCCATTTTTGTACAAATGTTTAATAGTAGTGGAGCGGCGGAGAGGACAATTTTAGAAATTTAAATTACCTACATACCTTATGGAATCAAAATAGCTCATTTGAAAGCTTAAATCGTATACTTGTTGAATATATGTGTCGTAAATATGAAAACTGGTCAAATCATGCCTTAAATCAAGGTCAAAGGTCATCACTTAAAAAAATGTTATTTTCATCTGGAGAAACAAACTGCAGATTTTTTCAAAATCTATAATCCATTCAATAAATATTACAACTAGTATTATTTATCAATGCTTAAGTTCAGACTTGGATGTGTTTCATATTTGCACATGACGTCAGAACAACGTATTCTTTAACTTTTTCGAAGGTAACACGTTTGATGGAAATTTCAAAGCCTAATAAATAACTGCAACATAATGACCTTGATCTTCGACCTCGATAAATAGCATTTATGGACAAGATATACATACATTTGAGAATAGTATATATTAATAGAGTATCCAAAATACATTGTCGATAAAATCCAACAACATTTGCAGGTTAGATTTCGTCTCAGTTTTCCAGGATTCGACATGTCACGGAGTTTTCTTGAAAACATTTCCCACTGTTAGTCTCAATACACGATAATTTTTCATATGATTCAAGAAGCATAAGTGACAACTACGATTAACTTTCAATCGACGGTACTGTAGTGGATGCAAGCGGGTTTTATGACATATTCAAAAAGTAAGACATGACCGTTTTCATATACAAAATGAAACGTCTAAAAAATTATAGAAAGCTAAAATTAACGTACGACATAAACGAGGAACACCCCAATTTATTTAGAAATATTTCTAATAAATAATGTTCATGATATGTCATCTGTGTCATCAGCTATGTCGGCTGATACGGCATGGACATTATTACAATTACCTACATTTTGACAAACACAAATTCGTGCAAGAAAGATTGATTGATTGATTGTTGGTTGCCTAACATCCAGTGGCAAATATTTCATGCATATTTGGGACGAGAACACATTAACAATAAATACAATAGGTAGGTCCTGTAACAGAGGACGTCCGGGATGAAGGTCGGGGAAATTTGGACTGCCACTGGTAAAATTGATCGTTAGATATACTGAAATGTTCATGACTTACGAGTTTTTTCTTTCTCGTAATATTGTTTTAGAAATGAGTCACTGCTCCTTGTCCTCCTTACATGAACAAACAAGGTCTTGGTGAGAGTCTGATGTCGTTTGTCCTTCAAAGAAAACTGGTTCTTAGTTGTCATTTTGCTAAATTTTCCAACCAGACTCACATGGCGTGCCATTATTTGGGTTGGCCTACACCTAAACTTTGCTTTTCCATAGTGCACGTACAAATGTAGTACGTGTTGCTTAAAAACTAACTCACATTGCGGCTGCTTTATTACACTCTTATCTTTATATTTAGCCAACTGTTGTCTTAGCAAATTTAAATTGTTGTGCGATTTATTAAACTTGTTTTGCAAGTCATATAAAACAGTTATTGACCAATCAAATTAATCTGCACGGTCGGGATGACCCATTAACCCGAACTCCTACGTCGTTCGGGTCAAGTAGGGTCACCCGAGCAGTGCAGATTAAATGACATATACCGACTTGCTTGGTCAATAACTATAACTTAATGTTAGAATACAGGGGTGTGATGGTATTTCAATGTTTTTGTTTATTGCAATTTAATAAATTTCAAAGATTAAAACACAATGTCTATTTTTCAAAACAATTCGAACAGATGGTTATGGATTTAATTTACTTTCTACATTTCCTTTCAGTCGTCTATTGTCTGGGCAGATTAACACTTAAAACATTAAAACATATATACTTTTTTTTTATAATATGTCATTTATTTACCATCAAAAGTTCTGCATAACTTTAAAAGAAAGAGTAGTTAACATTATAAACAAAGACATTATTCATGACAAAAGGACTCTTGTTATTTAATTAATGTTGATAATTACCAGTCTTTCTTACCAAATAACATTATTAAAACCTACTGCAATTACTCTAAACTCAAGACTAAACTTAAGCAGCACTACAGAGATGCCAAAGTGTTCTTCGCTAAACAAGGACATTAAATAACAAGAGTCCTTTTGTCATGAATAATGTCTTTGTTTTGAAAAATAGACGTAGGAGTTCGGGTTAATGGGTCATCCCGACCGTGCAGATTAATTTGATTGGTCAATAACTGTTTTAACACATGACGCCATCAATTT